ATATAAAGCTGTTACATGCTCAGTCTGCTCATTTATGTGTCTACTATTGCACAGTGCAAGCTGCCATGGGTACCTATACTGTGTAGGTTTTCAGGTTTGCTCTGGGTGCTTTGGCAGTTGCCTCTGAGACTCAGTTGATTTACGGGTTCTTGTGGAAACTTGAGATTTGATGAGGTATCCACTGGAAGTCACAGTGAGTAATATGTCCAGAAACAGAATTAAACTGTTTGCATATTACCGCAAACAGGGGTTATATAAGGGGTTATATAAATCAGCAAAAAAATCCTATAACACTTGTTAGACTGTTCATTGAAGCACTCAATACTATGGTGAACATCTGCAGAACGACTCTTAAAATGTTCTTTAAAAATGCATGCTTCTAAGATGCCATGCTGATGTGGTGAAACTGTATTTAGTTTAACTGATGTGCCATAAACATGGCCTTGTTATTTTTCAGTGTTGAACTTAAACGCATAGACTAGTAGAGTTGGAAGGGGCCAAGAAGGCCATTGGGTCCAATGCCCTGCTCAGTACCAAACTCCAAGATAAGCCATCCTTTTCAGATGGCTGGCCAGCTGCATCTGGAATGCCTCTAGTGTGGGAGAGCTCACAGGATCCCTAGGTAATTGGTGCCATTGCCATTTCACTGCCATTATAGTGGTTCCTTTGTCATGATTGGCAGGTAGTTTTTAGTAAAAAGTGTACCCATTGAATAGGTACAAGCAGAAGGTCATGTTCTTGGCCTTTTTACAATTTCTTTGAGCGTTGCAAAAGTCATATGATTTACTCATACTTCTTGCAATATATTATGAACTAGTTGGATCAGCTCACCTTGATGCCCATTTTATGGATAAAATCTGGTATGCTTGTGCTCTGAAATGAACTCTCACATTAAAATAGAGTAAAAGATTTCTCTGTGTTTGAAAACTGCTCACAAAGTGATTACATCATGAGAAAAGGCCTGGTTTGCATGTAATGACATCCCAGAGTAGGGCTTGTAATTGAATCATGGCTTGCTCTTGAATCATGACTTGTTGTGTGTGGACCCTGCACTGATAACTATGAGCTGGTGACCATGCATAACCCAAGAACCCATGTTTTGTTTTTGGGTTGTGAATTCCAGATTGTTTGTGGCTAACAACCAATAGTTAAATCAGAATGCAAGCTTTGCGCATAATGACAAACCACAATTCAACAACAGGTCTGTTCATCTTTAACCAACTCATACTCTGAGTTGCAGTTAAATTAAACACAAAGCAGTCATTGTCATCAAGTTTAATTTGCATAAAATGCTTGTAGGCAAATTGGATTGTAGCTGGATCTAAGAAACAAAGAAGGAGTGCATTAAGGAATTGATAGTCTTATGCCAGACATTCTTTTATTATTACAAACACCTGCATTTTGCCATTTCAGATTGAAAAGGGGAGGAGAGAGGCTTCCTACATAGAAAGCTAGCATTAAGCTAGACCCCTTCTCCCTAGTAGCTACCTTTTTATGTGCAGGCAGTGGGGGTGGGTTGTTTGTTTGTTTGTTTTGCTGAAGAATCCTTTGATCATATGGCCCCCCTGCCTGATATGGTTTAGTTCAGAAACATACGACCTGCTGCTTATGTAGATTAAATATAAGAAGCAATACCAGGGATAGACTTGGGTAGCTGTAGAGGTGGAGCTACAAAGATGGGGCAGGCTTCATTCAGTGACTTCTCTTGAATTGAGCAAAACTGAAAGTTCTGCACCTGCCATGTTGTTCATTAGGTGTCTGACACAAACACACAGTTTTTGGTAGGAAACAACTCATGATGTTTATCAAACCCCTTTGTGGCTACCATGCATGGTTGCAGATCATATTCTACTTCATTGGTCATGCTGTGAAGTCTTACACTGGAACTATCATTCCTCTAGCCCAGAACTGCATGTTTTTACTTTCAGTTGGTCTCAGGCCCCATCCTTACAGGTTCCCTTTAATGCAGCCTTCCTCATCCTTCTCTCCAAATGTGTTTGATTACATCCTCAATAATGTTTGTGTTGGCCAGGAATGATGGGAGTTGTAGTTCTACATCTAGAGGGAAGCAGGCTGAAGAAGGTTGCTCTAAGGCATTGTTTTCTTTCCAGCTTCAGTCCTATCCATGTTTAGACAGGAAGAAAAACAGCTCAGAGGTCTCTATTTTAAACCTTACTTCTTAACTCTCAGGGTACAATACCAGGTGGAAAGTTCAACAACTGCCAGCATTTCTTAGCCTGCCGAGACTGGTGTTGTAAGACTTCTCTGTCTTGGACTGCACCCTAGGAGTCATAACTAGAGAGGTGTGGAAGAGATACCTTCATGTAAACAAAGTATGTGGTCTAATGCAGAATTGTGTGCACACAGCATAATTCAACGATGTTGTCAAAAGTAGCCCAATTTTTAGGCTGAATTGGTAGCATGCAGATACTGAATGGAAGGCGCAAATTACCATTTTGTTTGAAAGGGTGATCTAAAAAAAACCAAAGATAACATTTCCCCCCTTTGGATATCTATATGTTGTCCTTTTAATATTAAGGTTGTAAACTTCCTCATTATAAACTTGGTTGTTATTTTGGCATCAAAAAGTAGTACAGCAATAATGATTATTTTTGCCTGTCCACATTCACTGTCTTTGGCAAATGTTTTGTTATGGCTGATTCACTTCAGGTTCTGAAGCTCGTCACTTTTGTCTCCAGCTCTGGCCATTGCTAGTATATCCTTCTCTGTTTCTGCCCTATATTGCCATATTGCAGGGTTCCCAATGTGGTGCCCTGTGGGCACCCAAATTTATTTATTTCCATTTTTAAAATAGATGCACATAGATTTGTATGAAATGAAAGAGTGAAAAGGGACCAAATATCCAAATAAGAATCAGTTTGGAGTCTATATGCAGCCCATTCAAATACGGAAAGGATTGTATGGGTCCGAATGTATTGCATTATATGAGGTGAGTGTTTATTCTTCTGATATTATAACATTTACACTGACCATTTGTTAATCCCCATGAAACTAAGGTAAATGAGCATGTAAACAGCATGTATACTAGTGCTCATTAAAGACTGTTCAAGTACAAAATGTATCTGTGTAATAACCTCACAAAAGCAAAAACGCAACCAACTACTGGACATTACCAAAATACATGTTTAACAAAACATGGCTATATTGCACTACCAACAATAAGTTAATTTAGATGATCCTTTATTAAAGAGATGTTGCAGTGGCAATTAGACACAAAACAAACATTTTTGCTGAATAAGACATAGCCTAAGAATCACTGATGTGACAAGTAGACACCAAAGTAGCAATATACTGATATGTGGTCCCCACCACAGTTTCTTAGTTCCCAAAGGTGCTCCTCAGTCCAAAACAGTTGAGGGACCCCATCAAGTAGAGAGAATGCAATGCTCAATTAAAAAGAGAGGTTTCCCACTGTCATTTACAGATGTATTAGGGAGTAAGCCCCAGTGGAGCTTACTTTTGAATTTATGTAAAGTTGCAGCCTAAGTAATCTTGCTCCATTAGGATTTAAGTTATGTGCACTGAACTCCCATTCCATTATTTTTCATCTTTGTTTTGCTTGTTTCACACTCTTTATCTATCATGATGTATAGTTATACTTCTATGGACATCTGTTCTAGACTGAACAAAAAGAGGCAACCAGCAAAGCAAGTTTTCCAGAAAATTAGATTATTGTGAGGTTAATGTTCATAGGACAATTTCCAGTTGCATTGGGAAATTTTCTGATACCTTAGGGAGATCTAATTTACCATGCTTATCTCAGTTCTATTAGTAAACAATAAAGCTTTTAAAAGAAACCCATATTAATTGTCTTGTCCCAATATGCCTTTTTTCAAGGATAGGCTGGACTTGCACATAGTAGGCATGTCATGTGTGGAGCCAACTGGAGACAGGGATCAGACTAGATGGCCCGGGAGACCCCTTCCGACTCGTTGTGTTTCTGTGTTTCTATGCCACAAGTATTTGACCTGAAATACCTGAGGAACATGGAAGCACCTGTAGACCACAATCCAATAGATTGCACTTTGGATACAAGGCTTCCAGTTCAGTGCTGTTGATCATTCCTGTGCTCTCTGCCTTTTCTGTGCCCTGCCGTGTGGAGCAAAAGGAGTACATGGGTGATTTTGCCTCTGTGCCTCCATTTAAATTTCAGAAAGCAACTAGATGGAGCTCTGAGTCAATTTATCTGAATTAACTTTTGGTGGGTGGGGAGGCACTGGAGAACCCATAGGATACTATGCATCATAGCCTCTCCCCCTCCTCTCCTCTCTCCATGAGCATGCCCTGTTTATTTCCCCTCCAACTTCTCTTACAAGGTTACACTTGCTTTCTACAGTAAAGGGGAGATCCATGACTGGGTTTCCTCCTGTGTAGCTCTGTCTAAAGACATGGAAGAAGAGATCTGCACCATCTCATGGCACCCAAGATTCTGTTTAGGGACTGTGGGATTGCCCTCTCCATGTGATGTAAAAGTTAGATTAGGTAGATTTGTATTCCACTTTTAATTGGAATACTAGTAAAAATGTAAAGGCTATAATATATATTTCTCTTACATTGTTGAAATTAAGAAGTACTGTAAGTGTTGATACACTAATTTTAGCAACCCAAAGAAATGTGTATGAGATGAACAATCATCTGTTTCAACAGAATTCAGTTTGCTTCTACTCTGGTTTTAGGGGCACCTTAAGTTTCAGTGTCACTTCTTGTTCATTCCATTTCATGGAAACATATTTGTTTCAGTAACACATGTATGATAGAGATTATCCCCTGAAAAAACGTAAGTTACAGTTTTGAAATTGCTTAACATTGCCTTTGCAATCGGCACCCGTTTATTTTTGCTAACAAACTTAAGAAATGGATTTTTTTCCATGGAAAAATAAAGCACTGGGAAAGCACTGTTCTACCCCACATCACTGGTGGCATTCCTTTCAAAAGTGACATCAATATGACTAACACAATGCCCTTGTCTTTGTATTCAGTGCACTGAAGAGCCAACCATAGGTCCATCTGAGTAACCATGGCAGAAGGTGGATTTGATCCTTGTGAATGCATTTGTTCGCATGAACATGCTATGAGGAGGCTGATCAATCTGGTGAGGATAATGTGGGGCGTGTGTTTTCATTTTATTGGCTTGTTGTGAGTGTGCGTGAACATGTGTGTGTTGTTTAATGTTTCAGAATTGATTTTGGATCAGATTTCCACAGTTGTTTAATAACCTTCTGAGTGTAGAGCTAAACAACCTTGAAATGTTCATGCCAGCTACATGTTTTCATTTTAGCAACCCTCCCACAAAGTCCTTCATGATGCTGTATCTATTATCTATGGAATGGACAGACAGATACATGGGTCCCTCAGTGGGTGAGAGGGTGGGAAGCCTTCGTGATGAATCTTAGCAGTTTTAGATAGCCATACATACATTTGCACTGTGAATTTGATGCTCAGTGCAAAAGTGTGGTTGAAATTTAAATAGGCAGAAATATGTACGCTGGTATTATTGGCCTTACTGTTTCAGCCTTTAGCCCTTGGCTTGAATCACCACCTCCAATGGAATGTAGTTTCCAAGACCTTCTTCAAATTTAGTTTGCCTTCTAGCTGCAAGAGTTTCCCTATCCCATATTTTAATGTATTAGAAAGCTCAAAAAGAAATGCTATAAAAATTAGGGTCATGATTCTAGTTCCTAGCTTTTATATTCCTAGCATAGCAATTGTCCTTTCATAGAAAATAATCTAATTGAAGATCACTTGAACCTTTGCTGAGGCTAATATATGTTAGATTTGAGATTGTAAATGTCAGGTAACACTTACTGTACATTGTACAGTAAGTCAGTGACACTGGTAAGTGTCAGGCATTTCTGACCAGTAAATGGCAACATAACATTTCTGACATTTACTATGTCAGAATCCCGGAATCTCAATTTGAGAAGAGGAAATAAAACTCGGGTTCGTGGGAAAGATCAAGCATCCAGACCATCTTGGCTTTATTGTATTATCTAGGTTCCCCGTGGGTCCGTACTCACGATAATGCATTACCGGGCAGGCAGAGGTAAACTGTGCTGCCAAGCTTCAATACCATTGCAGGATATTTTATAGGTACACAGGTACAGGGCAATTGATGACAGAATGCAGACATTACAATAAGATTCTGAGGTCATCACATATCATACAGAGATAATGAGATTACAATATTTCTGATTGCAGTGTATTGACACTTTAGTTGAGTAACTTGAACCCATCTCCAGGTCTGCTTAGACATGTAAATTTAAGCTACTGAGAAACTATTAATGATAAGCTCAGACCCTTATCTAGACTCTAGACATTCTGAATGACCAGGGCACATGAAACCCTCTGGGCTAGGAAGATACTTCCTGGTAAACTGAATTCCAGTGCCATTTTAAACAGTGACTTAGCTTGGTTTTGAGAAGGAGTACAGGATTTGATCCCACAATACAAAAGTACACAGAAGTAATGCTTTTCAGACAGGATTTATCCAAATTTTCCCAACAACTACAATGCATATACAGATCAAGAAATTAATGTTCAAGTAAATTTTGAATTCACCAGGTAACACATAAATGATGTAATGTCAATTTCTAACAATTCACACTTGATTCTCAAAATAATGTTGATTGCTGAAATTCAGAGCTCTCTCCAATAAATATCAGAACTCATCAAGTTTCCTTCTGCTAATCAGGCATCTTTCATTTTCCTCATTTCAGTTACGACAATCGCAATCCTACTGCACAGACACAGAATGCCTTCAGGAATGTGAGTAATAAGGAAAGCTTGGATAATTGCTGTTAAATGGTGAAAAAGTAAAATGTGCTGTTTGAGAGGTAAATCCATCATATTGACCATGGTCATACAACTGTATCTTGGCTTTGCCCATGAATGCAGCCCCTGCATTCCTCCCTTTACTGTGAGTAGTGATTAAACCCAGAAGGTTCTTATTAACCATGGTTACTAATATCTGAATTTTGAACAAGGCAGGATGCACAAACCTTGTGCAGATTCAACTTAATACAATGAGATGTGATTATCCAGATTGGGCCACTGAGTTGTATTCTGTTTTACCGTCAAAATGCTTTTTTTTTTTTTTTTAAAGGAATACAGCTTCAAAGGCTACAATCTAAATTGGAAGATCATGCCTTTTCTTTCCAGTGTTTTATGCATTTACAGTTCCTCCTCCTGTGTTCTCCCTGCAGCTTGGGAAGGAGTGATTTTAACAGAAAAACAGCAGGAGTGGAGAGGATTAAGAGCCTTCCCACCACCCCCATACACAGCTCTTTCACTTCAGATTGTTACCTCTGTGATTGCATTTTATCAAAGAAAAAGGGAGGGAGGGCAATATGTGACTTGGTATTTTGTATTTTGGCCCTGGAAAATGTATCCCCAGCCGAGGATATCAGGTCAGCATGTTAGGAAATTGCAAGGGCATGAGTTTGGATCCAAACAGAGAAACAGATAATGGATAAAGAATGAACCCATTGTAAGTCTTGCACTGTTGGTAATATGAGGCAAAGAAAATAAGGAATACCAGGGGGGTTTTTTCCTATGTGTAAGTTGCTATTCCAGTTTTAGAATGCATTTACATGGTAATCAGGGACACCCATACTGAATACACTAGGAATGGCCAGTGTGTGACAGTTCTTACTTTAGATAGGCCAAATGATAGGCCACAGTGTTCTATCAGCCAATTATAGCTTGGGTGGTGGAGTAGGGCAGCATTATTACAGGAGAAAAGAAAAATTCAGGAAACTATCAATTACAGGCTTGTTGGGAGAAATGAAATAGAAGTGGGAGCTGCTTAAAAGCATACAAAATGCTTTCATCCCCCCCCCCCACTTTTTTTTGGTAAAGAAAATAAAAGGAGGCTGGAAATGAAATTCAAGTGATATAGAAAGGAGGGGCACCCTGTTTTAGTTGCAAGTTTTCCAGATTACATCTGCTTCCAAAAATGCTTTTATATGGCTTTTCCCCAATTTGATGGATTTTCTGCAATAAGAGATACAGGAGGAAGTATGGGAGAATTACAGAAGTGTGATAGTGTAACAAGATCCCTGCAAAATTCCGGAGATGGGGTGATAGCTCCATAAAACTGTTGCATAGAGCACCCCACTCTTTTATTTGTCCTTTTCTTACATTTCTCCTGCAGTGCTCCCTGATATCCAGTGAGGAATTTAAGCTAACACTGGTCCAGTGTATACCCTGTCAACAACGCAGAGTTTGAACCATGTTCATCCCACAAAACACCAAAGCTCCATGTTCAGGCTTAAAGATCAATAATCTAGGGATGAAACAGTTCTTGGTCATTTATCAGAATGGGAATTGGCAGGTTCATGGAAAGCAGCATTTATTCATTCATTACAATTTTTATGCTGCCCCATAACTCATTTGGCTTCCCTGGGCATTTTACAATTTAAAAACATAAAGAACAATACAATAATCAAAGTTATAAACAACAACCAAAAACAATAACACCAGTATAGCAAAAAAACAACCTGCAGCAGTTAAGATTTAATTAATATATAGCATAGCAGCAGATATAGTAAAAACAGAATTAAAACAGATCTTGTTTATTAAAATATTTGGAAAATAAAAAGTTTTTAACCTGGCGCCAAAAAGAAAACAAGGATGGCACCTTGAGGAGCATGTTCCAAAGACGAGTTGCAACTGCTGAGAAGAGACTTCTCTTAGTTGTCACCCCCTTATTTCTTTTGGGGGTGGTTCCCTAAGAAGATCTTACAGTCCAAGTAGGAACACATGGCATAAGGCATTCCTTCACCTATCCTGGCCCCAAACCATTTAGCACTGGCACTTTGAATTGGCCCAGAATTCAGCTGGCAGCCAGTGCAGTTAAAAGAGGATTGATGCGATATGGTCTCATGGGCCAGTCCTCATTAGTAGCCATGCTGCTCTATTCTGAATCAGCTGGGTTTTTGGACCTTTTTCAAAGGCAGCGCCAGGTAGCATGCATTACAGTGATCTAGGCAAGAGGTTACTAAAGCATGGATCACTGTGACCAGGCTGACTGTGCAGATAGGGTTGTGATTGGCCTACAACCAAGCTATTGCCTCTCCTAACCTTTTAATTATTTCAAATGGTTAACAGAGCTCATGCTCCCCAGTCATTAAATATCTATGTTTATCTTCTATCTTGGTCCAAATATTGCTTGTTTTATTCTTTTTAAGCCCTTAAAAAGATTATTAAAATAATATCCCCCCCCCCCCGTTTTCAGTTTAACTTCCACTGATAATTTTTGTTTTGGGGACTTTTTCAAGGCCCATCATCATCTGTCTTTCTTTCTCTTTCATAGAGAACATGCATGCATGTTCTCACTTACCTTCTTAACAACCCATGGTTCATTAACTATGTGTGAAGTGACTCCTTGTGTAGTTCAATCCACTCCAATAGATGTTGTGGTACACGGGGTGGGGGTTGTGCTGTGATACCAATCAAACTTACTAAGAAAAGTTAAATGAGAGTCACTTTGCAATCTGTATTTCACTTATTTCCAGCTAGGGCTTTAAAGCAGATGGATACTGTGAAGAATACATTTTATTTTAGTGTGAAGAATACATTTTATTTTAGTTAAGTGATTTCAATCCACTTGTTTAGCATGAAGGAAGACAGGGACAGCAGATTCATAACTTACGAAACTCCAGAAAGCAAAAAACTTCAGTTCAAAAGGCTAAGGGAATGACAGAATAAGATCATCTTTGAGCCCAGGGAGTTGGCTGGGACTTTTTTCCCCTCTCATCCCAACTAGCCAAGGGATTTTGTCTTTCAAACTACTTGCTGCATTCCTCCAGCTCTTAATTCCTACACTGGTTCTGCTTCCTGTCTGAGATCCAGCTGCTTTTACTGCACAAACACTTTTGGTCAAGAGTTACGTCAATAATGGCTGGGGTTTTGGGTGTGACTTAGGAAGCAGGAGGGCTGTGGCTCAGCTGAAGTCAGGGTGATGTCTGCTGTTCTGTTGGGACAGACCAGTGAATCAGTCATGACAATCCTGGCATGAAGGGAGTTTTGCATATTCAGAGTCTTTTTCAGAGAATTTTAAATCACTTGGGGTTTGCTTGTTTTTGCATCTTGACAAACTGGAGCTTCAGTATTAGAAAAATTCAAAAATTTGGTGATTTAAACTGATCATGTAGCAATGGTTCTCAGACTTTCACTACCCAAGGAATACTGTTTTTAAAGTAAAATTGAAGGCTCTAATTACCCATATACCCATAAGGTTTGGAAGAAGTTATTCCCAGAACAAGTATATGGACAGAGATCTAGCAGCTGGCTTCCTCAGAGGAAAAGTAAATTCTGTTTGGTGTCTTAACCATGATTGATTGATTGATTGATTGATTTGGTTCATTGATTCAGCCAAGCATTTTCATACATATGAGTAATACACACAAACAATGGGTACTTGTGAAAGAGTGCCCACAATGATTAATTTTCTTTTGGCACACTAGTGATTCCATGAAGCTGTGCTAACATGCCCCAACCTACAATGTGGGAATGATTGCAGGTGTGTTTGTAAAGGGACTGTATATTGTTAGAGTATTGTTGCCCTGCTGTGCACTTCTGATTGCCCAGTGGCAAAAACAGTGAGCTAGAACAGGGTCTGTGAGCCACTCAACCAGGACAGGATGATGAGGGAGACAAGACGCATTCTTGACAAGTAATGTGGGGGTGACAAGTAATGTGGGGGGTTAAAAGGGGCTTTGAGAAGTGGCATGCTGGAGTCACTGGTAGTACCGCCACATGCCCCCTCTGCATTCTCTGTGTAGGGCCTGAGGAAGCAGTGATGGACGACAGCTGTCCAAAGTGCTGCTTGGGCAGCTGTTATTGGTGCTCACCTGAAGTCACATTGCCAGAGCGGCAAAGTTTTCTGCTGTTCTTGCCAAGTGAACTTTCAGGTATTTTGGCTTCCTGTGACTTAGCATAATATCTGAATTTGCATGACCTGCTATAGCAAAGAAGATTAAGTACACTGTAGAGCAAGCTGTGCATTCTGGAAGAGACAACATAGGTATCCTGAAGCCATGCTGTGGGAAGAGTGTCTCATTCAGATGACATGCTGAGCCATTGTGAATTGGAAGCACCATGTGAATCCAGACAATGTCTTTTGGGTGTATTACTAGCTTTCCATGTATAAGTGCACTTTGACTTCTCTTTCACTCCTTTATTCCCCATATTCTGTCCATCAGAAAGCCATGTTTACTTCTCCTTTCACAACACTACAAAAAAGCAGCTTTTTCTTTCCAGACTCTTGGCAAAAGCTGGTAATCTCTTGACTATTGAAACCTTGTCCCCTCTGCTTTATTACGTATCACCTTGCTCTAGTCCCTTCAGCTGCTGTATGTTTAGCCTAGCACTCTAGTCATCTACCTTTCTCATTGCCCTGGTTTATATGACATATCATAAAATACGTCTATTTCAAGATTCAGTAGACTCTTACAATATTCAGAGCTGTTCATGTCACTGTCCTGCTTAGTCTCTGTGCTCTTATTTCTTGACACATTCCTGTTTCTTATGTTCTTCCAGCTTTGCTTCAACTCCATCTCCTAAAGTTTAAACGCTCAAATGATTTTGCCTTTTCCATCATGTAGCTCTGAATGTTTGAAACTGACTGCTGTGTGATGTTGTGTGTGTGTGTCTCTCTCTTTGCATGCTTTTAAATGCACTTTTTTGGCACAATCCTCATGCCACACTATTGTAACTTAAGCCTGAATGTGCATATGTAAAATAACACTTTTCTCTCTCGTTCATCCTCCCTTTCCCCTCTTGTGTTAAATTATGGATTGTATGTCTTCTGGGTAGGAACCTATACTTTTGCACCCTGAATAAACCTGGATTCTAGCATTATGGCAGAGAGAAATGTCTCTCAATCCACATTCTTCATCCCATGCATTTTTGGTACAATTCCCCTTACCTCTTTTCTAAGCTAAACCGGGCCTGATGTTATAACCCTTCCTTGAAGTGGAGTTGCTCTAGCCCCTTGATCATTTGTTATCTTTTTCTACACTTTTTTCAAGTCTACAATAGCCTTGTTGATGTGTAATGACTAGAATTGTACAAAGTATTTAAAATGTGGTTACTTCACTACTTTGACTATGGGCAGTAGGATACAGGGAGAAGAAAAAATGGGCATGAGAGAAAGCTGAGGACGTCAGTTTGACAAGATGTTGTAGGATGAGGCCATAGACCAGTCTTCCCCAACTTGCATCCCTTCAGCCATGTAGGACTACAACTATTATTTCCCACCAGGATGGCTATGCTGGCTGGAAATGATAGGAATTGCAATTCAGCACATCTGGAGAATGTCCAATTGGGAAGGCTGTCATAGATTTTCAGAAAGGAGCACAAGTGAAATAAACTTAACAACATGATCATTTTAAAAGCAATTCAAGATGAAGTGGAAATGAAGCAGACAGCATTTAACTAAGTCATCTATTTCTTAAACTTAAGGTTTACAGTCAGTACAGTGACTCATAAAGAACTGTGTTTAGACAATGACTGAGTGGAGTCTCTTGCCAGCCAGCCTTCCTTCATCAAGAGTTGGGCTATGACCAAACACACAAGAACAGCCAAGGAAGGGTGTGGACCAGGATTAAACCCTACTCCACCAAGTATAGAAACCAGAGACACTTGAGGGGAAGGGTCCAGCAGGAACTGGACCTCTAAAAGCAACAGAAAGGGTTCCGTATGAGGGATTGCATTTGATATTATACTGCAACCATGTCCCAAAGGGACCACTTACAGTAGGAGATTAGGAAATAAATAGCAGCATGACTTTCTAAAAAGTGGAGGAAGTAGATTTCCCATTTGCTTTTCTCCTTGATGTCCTCTTCTCAGAGTTGTTCAAAATTAAACAAAAATCAATGTAATGAGGGCCATTTTCTGCTGCCTGTTTGAATGGTTAAAGTGATGGAAAGATGGATTTGAAGAAAGTCACAGAGAGACACATTGGAAGCCTATATTGAGAGTTCAGCTAGTCATCCATCAGGGTTTGCAGATCACAGGCAGGTACCTTCCCCCAAAGTGGTCCAACAGATTTGCCTCAGACCAAAAATAAAAAGACTTTGCTCTCCATCATTCATCTTCACAAAGCAATGTATGATCTGAAAGAATTTAATGCTGAAGCTATAATCAGCCTGGGAATCATACATGTATTGCTTCTTGAAGGAATAATAGGCTAAAATGTTGAATAATTTTAAATAAATTAATGCAATAAACAAAAGCTTCCTTATGCTAGCATTTTCAATTGTTATATCTTGTTTGGTTTTGTGTGACACAAGAAGCCCACCTTTCTTTTGCTTCACTTTCTCTGCATAATTAAATTGGAGATAGGCAATAAGTTTAAAGCAAATGAAAACTGTTTGCAAGATACATCTATTCCAATGGTATAATCATGGATTTCTTCAGTCCCGCTGTAACTTCTCTTCATATAGGTTTTGCAGGTTTGGGAAAGATTGTTTACTAGTGGAAGGAGCATCCACATCATGAGCAACTACATGCATTTTAGCTTTCTGGATTAAAACTGTCATCTGCTTTCAGCCTAAGGGGTGTTCAGGTTGCACAATCATCTCATTTCTTCTGTGATATATGCATCGTGAAGTGTATCTAAATTTAGTTTTATGAATGGTTCCTTTTTTATTTGATTTTCATAAGAGCATTTCATATTTCAAGAGTTTTTGCTGGTTTAATGGCATTTGATCTCCATATAATCATACTTAGAGTAAGCCAACTGAAATTAATACTGCTCGGGCTCTCAGTGTGTATTGGGCTTCTGAATGCTTCTGCTGGCAGTGTGGTCTCTTCCCCAACTTTGGCAGGGGAATAGATTATACCCCACTTCCTCCTCCTCCTCTTTCCCCTCCAGATGGAGCTTAATCATGTGCCCCATTCAGCCAGAGATTCTTCTATACCTGATCAACAATATTGTCCAATCCCCAGAACAGTTTCCGTACTGATGATTTGTGGGTGGTTTTTCCAGTTTGATGAATGTGATGGATTCTGTACTTCTTTTAACTGAGTTTCTCTCATTTTTTCCAGTACCAGGACCAAATCCATCTGCTGACAATGGCATCAGTGTTACCATGATAATTCTGGGCTGGCTGGTTCTGGCATTTGTCTTGTATTTGATGAGGCCTGCTAACCTAAGGAGATCAATTACAGCTGAAAAGCCATCCAGCCCACATAATGTGAGTGTATCTTCTGGTGTTTTGATCTGACTTGGCCTGGGTAACAAAGAACAAGGAAGATACGTATTCTATAAATACTGAGTTCCTTGAAATAAAGGTGACACATAAATATAATCAATACATTCTGATACAGTTCTTTACAGATTGTACTACATTGAATCAATAATAATACATACCCAATCTAATACTGTATTCCTACTTACACAGAGCACTCCTGTTGGAATTTGCATATTTGTAAATGACAGTATTTTGAAGTCCTAGTATTTTCATGAGCAGACAGCAGAAACCCACAATGTCTGATACGCTGCTGTATTACACAGGATGAAGAGGGAGAGAGTGCCTTCTCCTTCATCCTGTGCAATGCATGAACACTTCACAGATCTCTTGCACACAGTATTTTTAACATGTTTAGAACAAACTTTATAATGCCTCTAGTGCTGATAGGGAGGTCTGTGTGAACTTCCTTTTCAGAATATAGAAGATACCCTGCTGAATCAGGTTGTGTTTGAAACACTGGGTGATTTTAGATGGTGTCAGGGCTGGTGTACATTTGAGTCAAGACTCCACTCAGCAGCAGATGGAAGATCTTCCTTGTTGATTAGGCAGTGGCAGATTCCTGGGCTTCTAGTATTAATCACTGACTTTCCTGTTGGGCATCCCTGTATCCTGTCTTGCCAGAAGACAGATCTGATGTCCAGTTGCCCCCAGTGTTGGATAGGCTGCACCTTAGCCAGACAAGCTATCTTTGATGTTCCCAGATACAGAAGGTTCTTTTGACAAACAGTGACTTCAGTTTTGTACACACCTTTCCCTGCTATTCTAATTCAATGTATTCTCAACTTTCAGGGACAGGAACCACCAGCTCCACCTGTAGACTAACCCATACTGAAAAAGGTCAACCACTGTTTTCTTGAACAACCAAAAGAACGAGCGTTATTGGAATACCCCTTATCTCTACACAACATAGTTCTGTACATTTGAAATCCTTTTTTGCTTTTTCTGTGATCCTTCATAGAATATTATATTTGAATAAATTAACATATGTGGTAGGAGGTGATTAGCATTTTGGTGATGTCTGTTAAAGCTACATTCATTGCCCCTTGCAGTAATAGCTGAAAGAAAATTAAAACCTCTGTATTTAACTATTTGATCTTTTTCAAACTAATATTCTTTCTTTTATATGGTTGAACTTGCAACCCTGGGCACAATCCACTAGCAGTATCTCTGTGCATCCCATTTATTGGGGGACTCATGCAGAAGTTTCTGGTTGATTGTACCCATTATCTGAACTTTAATGTAGAATAATCCAAACTGTATTTTATTAGTATAACTTTATGTCTGCTGACTAGAATTGATATTTTATGAGTAGATAACAGTGGGGATGTGGGCAATGAGATATTTGGCAAACTCTGGAATGAGTGGCCACTATGCCCATCATTGGCTGTACACCTTCATGCAGTGCCCAGGACTTTATTTCCTAAGTCTTAAATGGTGGGGCAGCAGCATGGTGTGTGTAAAAGGATGCACTTGTGGGATTTTCCCCTTCTGAAGTTGTTGAGAAATTTTTACAGCCAAGAATCATTCTGTGTAGACTGTGCCTGGAAGTCTGGATCAGAATATATATTAATATTTTATTCATAGAAGAAAAATTAGTAATCAGAACAAGCTTGTTCTATTTGGAAATGGATGCTATTAGATTCGTCCTATGTGTTTTCCTATCTATAACTCTAATGCTGTTAGTTTCACAGGGATAGCTGAATTACTAGTGGCTCAGTCTTGGTGTGCCAGAAAACATATGCTTTGAATAGTACTAACTAGTCACTGGTCTAGTGCAGCATTATAAGCTATGCCATGCAATCACTGCTAAAATGTTAAGGCCAGTATCATTTTTAAAGATTAGATGCAATTCTAAACATTGTGACTTTAAAACAGACCTTCCCAAAATCACTGGGATTTATTTCTAAGAAATGTGTTAAGTCTACGTCTCACAAGAGGCACTTAATTTTCTAAAAATTGTCCATGTCTGTGTGATAACATTACTCCGATCAACATTTATTTTAACTTAACATTTTCATACTCTTTGGAACAGCATGCCACAGCTGTGCCTGTAGGACAGGGGTGGGCCTCCAACTGCCATCATCCCGTACCATTGACTGTGCTGGCAAGGGCTGGAACATCTAGAGGGCCACAAGTTGCCCAACCCTGTTCAGAGGCGAAAATCCAATTGCCATGTTTTCAATGGATGGCACTCGGCAAGTGACAGTGTACTTCTTATAGTTGTTCCCAGCTGTTCACAAAAATATAAAATATTATTTGCATATATTAAATATATGTGACTGCCATTTGTTTAAATTTTGTTCTGTATATTATCATATTATTTATATTCACCACTAAAATGAGACAAAAAGGTTCACTTATAAGAGCACCCTAGGGTTTCTTAAAAAGGAATGTGCATGCAGTTAGTGAGAAAGTGTTGCTTCAGTACTTAAGTGTTTGTACAAAAAAGTAGATAGAATTTCCAGCAACTGAAATGTGTAGGTGCCCTTCTATGTAATATAAAAACATCCAGAGTTTAGGTGGTAACATTCCTAGAATTCCTGGTAGCCTAGAATTCTGCCATCTCAGTATGTATAAGGATAATACATAAAATGACTTTAAGGCAGAAAGTGTACTTAAGTTGGCACATTTAAACAGATGCTTCAGTGAGGCATAATTCATAGTTGCCAGCAATGGAATGTAAATCTTGTCATTTACATTCTCATGTGTTCCCACTTAGCCTTCCTCCAAAATTCTTCCTTATTCTTGCCATGATAACAAGGAAAATCTAAGATTATTTGGTATGCAAGCATAACTAGGGGTGCATGTACTTCCAAATTAATTATTGATAAGGAAAGTTGCTTGCATGTGTTAAGTAATTTAAGAACTTTGTGTGACCCAATTCTATGTGTGTGTTTACTGGGAAATGTCCTATTATGTCCATTAAGTCTTTTTCCAAGTAAGTGTGCATAAGTTTGCAGCCTTAGTGATACAGTGAAAAATAAACTACCAGTTTTTCTTGATCATGTTAAAAGAGAACTTACAGTTCCATATATATGAAGCTTCTTCCCAACAAGAGTATAGCAATTCAGCAAGACTACAGTAATTTAGCTTTTGATAATTAGAATAGCCCAAAGGCACAATCCTATGCAGTTCAGACAGAAAAAAGTATAAATTCCTAGCAAGCCACAGCTGGCTGGCTGGCATCCTGGGAGTTTTAGGACATGTTTTTGTTTAAACGAATCCTTTTATTTATTTTATTTTATTTTAATGTGTATGCCTACCCCCATTCTATGCTACATTGGCATTGTTCCTATAACAAAGAACTGAAAGAAAAATATTCCTAGCAGCTTTCCACCTTGTCATGTAACAATTAAACCAGTTTCATTGAGTTGGATCCAAAGTAAGCATGTGTAAGAGGACAGTGGAAGCTGAATTCTCTTCTCCCTTCTCATGGCATTTCTCCAAATCCCTTGGAAAAACTTTACCAAGAGTTGTGGGACTACACTGAATGGAGTGGTCTGATGGGAACCCCCCAAAATCAAGTGGCAGCAACTTCAGTGAATATAGTTCCACTTGTGAAGGTGCCGCTACCTGATTTGGCAAGGGGTGGAATTCCCTCGCCTCATACCATACTCTACTGTATTGGAGTCTCTTAATACTCAGAGCAGTTTTGATGGGTGGTTAAGGAAAAGACAGGGAAGTCAGCTTCAGCCATATTCGTTACACATGAAGCACTCTGGATCAAAGTCATTATGTTTGTACAGTACATGTACAAGGTTCTCAAATGGTGTCGTGGCAGGTTGTGCACTTCTGAGGGGAGGGGGAATCCAGTAACAAATTAACATCTCTCATCTATTACAGCTGAATTTAGACAAGGTAGATCAGTTTGTAAATGTAGTGTTCACTAAATTCATGGTGCCCCAGAAGCTGCCAAATTAATTCCAGAAGTTGTGCTTGGTATGCTCTAAGATGGTATTTTCAAACTTTTAAAGCTTCAGAGAACCCATTCTACATTGACTCATCTGTCACTGGAACTGCATTAAATATGTTTCTGGGACATGTTCTTATCGTCCCATTATTTGAATAGGCTAGGCCCTGAATATTGCCAGTATTTTGTATGGAATTCCGAAGTCAAAGGATGGCTCTGTTCAGTGCAGGCTATTTAAATGCAGGGGATTCAGAGTTTAAATGCTTCTGAATTCCCTCTAACCTCTGATTATAGGTACACCATAATAGCATGTAGCATGTGAGGCTGTGTCTACCCTGCAGGCCTAAGATTCTACACCCCTACTCTAAAATGTTAAACTTTTGTATAGTGCTAGTAGTGAATAGGCTGCCTTTTAGGCATATTCATCCATCATGACTAATCTTATTGCTCAAACCCGGAGATGTTTCCATGGCACCCAAAAGTTGTCCAAATAGTTTGAGAACCACTTTAAAGATTTTAGACATAGGGAAACAATCTGTTCAAAATATGGACTGTCCAGTTTTGAGGACAAGGAAATAATCCAGTAAAATGTCCAAATTGTATTCTTTATCCTGCTCCAATGTAATGCACAGAATACTGTGAGGATAATTTCAGGAAGAAACTCATCGTTTTAGCAACTGCCAGTGCCTCCTTAGAAGATTAGCCTTTCTTATAGGAACCATGGTATTAGAAAATGGTATGTCCAAACGCTTAGGTAATCTTCAGAGGCCTCAAGTCAGTTAACACAATGAAGTTAGGGGGTGACTACAAAAGAGGAGAGCCTTTTTAGTTCTGGCACTGCACTTATGTTCTCCCCAAGGGGGTTTACCTGGCACCCATGCTTATCTTCTGTGTTCCAGGCAAAGACAAGTCCCTTCTCCCATTCATTTTTTAAATCATTGTACTTGTTTTTAAACCTATTTTATTATATGAACTTTCCTGAGAACTTTTTGTTATAGTGTGGCATATAAAATAAGTCAGTGTGGCATAGTGGTTGGGTGTTCAACTGGGACTGAGAAGAACTGAGTTCAAATGGCCACACTGCTTTGAAGTTCATTGAGTGACTTTGGTTCAGTCAGCCTAACTTACTTCATAGGATTGCTATGAGGGTAAACTGGAGAGGATCATTTTGGACTCTGTGCAAGAAAAGGCAAGATACAAATGTAAAAATAAACATATATGAAATGTACAGTGCTCAGCTAGTAAGACAGAGAAGTTGATGGGATAGAAAAAAAGCAAGTTTACAATTTATGCTTTAGTTTATAACATTTTTTCTTGCTCTAAATTAACAAACTAGACATGATGTTGAAGTTCCATGATTAGGATATCTCACATTATTTTTTTAAATAGTGCCTACAGGATGATGGTGGAACTGAATTTGGGCTGTGATAGAGTAGCCTTCTTACTCCTGTTTTCTTAATTAAAATCACCTCCAACTGCTAAATAGTTTCAGTGGGTGGTTTTTGTTGTGAAAGTACCATGGTGTAAAAACGCCCCCTCTGAAGCCCATATTCAAAGCCTATAGCACAACTTTTACTAACTTGTTCAAAAAGTATGGGAGATCCTGATCACAGATCTGTATCATATCTTGTTTGACACTTAGGTGCCAAGATTCACATTATTTATAGAATATCAGCAGATCACTTTGCCTTAGTTTCTAACAATACAAGAGATGAATAGTTATGTTTTTAGTGTAAATTGGTGGCTTAAATCATATGAATCATGCCAAACAGAAATAATATCTGTTCCATTTGGGACTTTCTGTTAATCTTTTACTAAGATTTGGTTGGGGATAAAGGGCTTTTACTATGCACTTTTTATTGACCTAAATAAACAGTAACCATTAGTAACCCTCTGTGAATGTCTGGATTTTATACATACCAGTTTTTGGGATGGGCAATCTTGAAACTTTTTTTTTTCTAGATCTTCCCCTCCCAATACCTTATTTATATTAACAAGTGTTTTCCTGGTTCTTTAGTATGACTAAAATTATTTGTGTTTTATTATCATTATACATTACTTCAGTAAGATTGAATGTATTTACCACCATCTATATGGGAAGTCGTTTATAGTGCAATCCTATGTGCTTACCTAGACATAAATTGCAATGTATTCAGTGGGCTTTAGACCCAGGATTGCTATCTTAAACTTGTATAGTTGCACTTAAGCTGATACTCCAATAAAAGCATACAGCTTTCCCATCCATTCTATGATGGAATGCAATCACTTTGTAACAGTGCTGGCTTAATTATTGATAGATCCCATTCTTTGTGTAGATGCTAGCATTTTAAAGACTTGAAGGGTGCACTGTAGGTATACCACTGTCTATGGACAGATATTTGTTTTGTGTGATACACCGTGGTCTTTGCTTGGACTGGGTTTTATCACACTTCAGATTGTGTCATGGCAAAGTAAAGAACAGTTTTCAGATGTGTGACTACTATTGAAGTACATATGGAAAAACGTATTATGACTTGACCATTGTGGATGGGTAGAGAATACTCCCCAAGTGGAATAAGTTATTTTCTCACCCCTGCTCAAAGCAGTTTAAACACGAGTACATTTTTAGTGAATAGATGTGGATCCTTATTCACATACTCAAACACTCCTGTAGCTCTGTGCTATCTGCTTTCCTAACTGATGTACCACTGTTTCAAGTATATTTTCTTAAAATATTGGTTAGGCATTTAAGGCTCAAACTGAGAAAACTGGAGGAAAAAAGCGCTACTTATTCGTTACATTTGGGGCAGCCAACTGAAGCTTAGATGCAGGTATATCCAATGAGCAAACGCTCAGGGGAGAGCTCTCATGAAAAATCCAGCTAGCTTTCACTTTTTATTTTTAGGTTTCATTATGTTTCTTCAGTCAGATCTAAAGAAATATCTAATAGCAACTGCAACCCAATGCTTGATGCAAACGTGTTGGTTCTTCAACTTGTACATACAGGAGTAGGGACAGAAATAAGTGGAAAGACACTACTTGCCCTGATTTTCTAGATTCAGAATTACCTGACTCTATGCCTCACATTTGCTGTGGCAACCCTGTATGTTTTGCATTCTCAGTCAACTGAAATAGCAAAATATTAAAATATTGCAATCAATTAGGACTGCACCATTTTGGTTCTGCCCACAAACCGATGTTGACTTTTGTTCCTTCCCCTGGACCCTACAACCAAATCTCCAGCCCACCTCTTCCCCTGAACAAGTCTGCTTTTCAGGTGAGAATGATGCTGCCTGTTAGCTGATCACCCAGATCCACACCAATACCTACCTACCTTGAAGGTCTCATTTTAGCCAAGTAAGAACATATAGGATTCCCTTCTGAAGAAAGCATGCATAGGAGACTCCCTTGCCTTGTGTTTCCCTCCCAAGAACTGGGCCTGCCAGAGGATGCAAGGAATATCACCAACAATGTTTTACTTCAGGAAAGCCGAAGACCATTGTCTGTACTGCTACCATAGCCTGCTTTTGCCAAGGTCCAGGAACAGAGCATCTTTTATTTTTGGGACTGTGTGTAAATGTGCACTGCCTTGGTTACATTACAGAATTTACAAAACCTACAACAGCCCTCCACCTCCTATGTGGTCTATTATGAACTGCATAATGTCCCATATTCTTTTTGGACAAAAAACCCATGGAACATAAAATATCCCCAGAATTTATTGATTTCAGCATTAGACTGTCTGTGCCCCAATCCATGCAGCTTATTAGATACACTTGCATGCTTTTTAGCAAAAGAAAACTGGTCTAGGGTTGAATGCTCTGGGATTGCCTAAGTCAATAGATAACATTTATCTCATCAGAGATTGATTTGCTACAAGGTTAGAAAAATACCCCACAAAGTTCACCATAATAATAAAGTTCTATATCGACTATTTCCCACCTAAATATCTTAGTTTAAAACACGCTACTTCTGATACCATAAGCACGTACTTGTTCGGGGAATAGTTTACCATCCCAGGCTTTTAATTTGTACCTCCCAAAATTCACCAGAGGCCTAACCAGCTGCTGTCACTTGCGCAACCAGTTTCCGTGCAACCCCACAAGCAACAGATTTCGTGAGCTGATAGTGCTATTGTCGTTGCTTCTCTGGAAATCGCTGCAGATCCCTTTTTCCTGTGCAGTGAGAATCCCTCACCCAGTGCTGCGAAAAATACAGCTGATATGTTTTCCTTTCCCCGATAGAAGCGGCATCTCGAGGGCTGGTGTTCGAACGACTGTCAGAAACTTGATTTTAATTGCTGTTAATATACCCCTAAACATGGACTGTTCAAAAGGAGTAATCAAGATACGCGGTTTGCTTGGTCGTCTGGAAAATCTTGGTGCAGAAAGGTGCGGGGATTAAAGCGTTGAGAAATTATACACTGGCGTTTGAAATACGTGCCACGGTTTGCGGCCCGCCCCCATTGACGGTAGCTGCTGCCTCACGGGCGCGACGGGATTCAAGCCAGGCGCCGGGGAGCCCACTAGGCCGCACCAGCCCGCTTGCCTGCCTCCTTCCCATCCGCGCCCGGAGGCCCCGCTGCTCCTTCCCTGCGCGCAAGAAACAGTAGGCCACTGAGCCACCGCAGGCGGCGGGCTTACCTCGGCCTCCTCGCGGGAGCAGAAGGAAAAGGCCAGCTTTGGAGCCTAAAAACATTTGTCGGCGGAAGAGGAGGCGGACACAGAACCTCTCCTCCTCCTCCCCTCCTAAATGCCTACCAGCCGGCGAAGCAGCCGCTCTTCGAGTTGATCCCCCAGCAGCCCGCCCATCTCTTGTCTTTCTGATATGACGCCTCCGTTCTTCGTCCTGGAATCGCCTCTCTCCTCCTCCTGCCCTTCTCCCCAGGATTGCCCACGCACTTTCTCCTGGGTTTAGCTATTCCCTTTTCCGTCCCAATTTCTTACTCTCGCCCACCCCTTTCTTCTTCTGCCCGATCCCTGAGTATGCATCTCCTTTTCTCGTTGCCTGCTCCAATTTCTTATTGCTTCCAAAGAGGGAGAAATGAGCCTCCCACTTCGTTCCTCCCCGTCACATCATTCCTTCCTACGGTTAATAGTCTCGTCTTTTTCTAATAATCCAAATATTTTTCCTCCCACGTCACCTTTCCTCCTCCTCTCTGGAAAAGATTCCCAAGTCTATTAGCGTGATTCTTTTGCCGTTTTTGCTACTGCGTCTTTTTTTTTAATTGCCCCTCCTAGTCCGATCCTCTCCTAGCCACGTCCCCCCTCTTTATTGCCCCCTAAATCTTTTCCTTTCTTAGTCTCCCACAACCAATTTTTTTGTTATTGCTCCAGATTTTTCCCTCTCCGGTGCTGTTCTTTGCTCCCGGCCTGCCTGCCACTAACTTAGTGCTAAAGGGAAAAGGAGGATCCGCCTTTAAACTCTCCTCCTCCGATGAATAACAAAGCGACTCTTTAAATAGGGGCGGTACTGGCGGCTCGGCTCCACTCGCCTGCAGCAGCCGCTTCTGTGCTGGCGCATCCGTACCACCTCCTTCCAGCTGCGGTATCTCCTCTTGCGCGTTCGGGAAGCCATAGCATTGTATGTATCTTCTATGTTTACTATTTATGGACGTGGTGGCGGGCTTTCCTTTCTACCTCCTCGCTGTAAAATGTCAATGTCGTTTCCGCTCTCGCTTTGACTGCTTTGCCATGTACATCAAGCAGGGATGAACCCGTCTCAGCGTCTTTTTGCCTTTAATACCGGACAAAGGACTTTGTGCAGGGAGATCAGTTGCTCGATTCTCAAAGAACAAGACGGCGTGAGGGTGTATATTCTCGAGTTTTACACAGATGAAAATAGAATTGCTGTTGATTTTTTAAATACGCTTGTAGACTTTTTTGTTTGATCAAAGGCTTAGGAAGTCCTTTTTGTTTCATATGCCTGCACTTTGTCAGACGGTTTGAATTACTCTGGAGGGTTTTTTTAAATGTTGTAATACTACTTCCTGTGCCAGGATGGTTAATATCACTTAACCACACACACAAAAAGTGGGAAGTTAAATTCCAAGTTTATTGAAATTTCAGTTCTAAAATAATATTTCAGAATTGCTTTGTAGTGGGTTCATTATCTTTACTGGACTCATTATCTTTAGTAGGAAACTGAGAAGATTATATGATTTCAGGACCAGCACAAATGAGGTTACTCAGAGTGCAAGCAACATACTAGATCACATCAGCATGTTGTGATTAGCATGAACTAATCTGGAGTAGCTATCACATTTTGGTTCCACATGCAGACATGCAAACTATATCTCGCATTGAAGAAAGAAAAAAAAAGTCAGAAGGATGCATCTTTTGACTGTTGGAAGACTATTCTGACATTACACACTACATTCAAATTCATTATTCATTTAGTACATATGGCTTGTAGCCAGTGTTCTAGTTGAAGTAGACATTGATACACACACACACACGCACACGCACACATTTAGACCATTTCTATGCTGCCCCATTCGCAAAAAGCCTCGGGGTGGCTTACAAAATAAATACACAATCATATAATTAGCCATTAAAAATCCAGAAACATCTCGGCACAAGCATAAAAACCCAATAAATACAATCAATAATTAACAATTAAAATAACTTTTAAATAAAAAGGTCTTGGCCTGGCGCCGAAAAACAAATAACGACAGCGCCAGGCGGACCTCTCTGGAGAGCGCATTCCATAGGTGGGACAAGTTAGAATAATACGAATAGAACCCATTGGATACATTTCAGTGTATTGTACTTTTTATCCAAGGAACTCTTGAGGACACTCAATCAGAATTATCTCCTTTTATTCTAGAAACAATCCTATAAATTTTGCAGATGGTAAAAAATTCAGGGTCATGGCTAGGCAAGGATTTAAAATGCAGCATTCTATGCTAAGGTGTTGCTTAAACAATTTGGGACCCACTCCCATTGGATGTGAATCTGTAAGGTAATTTGTACATATTGACTCATGAATCTATAATGAGAAATGTAAAAATAATTAGTAATATTTGGAGGCAAAACCAGTCAACTAATTTCTCAGACAAATAATCTCAAATTGAAAACAACTTAGTTAATTTGCACCCAGCACCAGACTATACTAAATCAACAGGAAAACATTTTGTAAGCTTAATTACTCTGCAGGACAAAGTTAATTGGGGTGTGTTTGAAGCATACAATGAGGGGATAGTTAATCCTTCCCTGCTCCCCACTTGGAATTCACTTTGAAAACTGTACATGCATGACAATTAAGCTAAGAAATACTGTTATTGTCAACAATAGATGCTCTGCTGCTCTCAGGTATAGATTTGGGGCCCTGGGAAATAGATTGAGCTCCTGGGCCCAAGCCTCTGGTCTATCCACTCAGCATCATATCTCACCCAGAATTTAAAACAACTGTACTGGTTCCTGAGCACAATTGAAAATGGCAGTGCTTACTTTCAAAGTTTTGTATGGTTTGGGACACAATCTGCCAGGGTTCTTGGAATGTCTGCCTTTGTGTCAGCCTATTCTGACGTGCTTTCCTCTTCCTCTGCCATTGACTCAGAAAAGGCCTTCTCAGTGGTAACACACCACTTGTGGAATGCTTTTCCCATAGAAGAAATTTCTGATTGTGAGATGCTGAAGAAATATGGCAGGAGATGGCTTAGCGTATCCTGTCTTGCTTGCATATTTGCCAGGGCATCATAGATAACAAAATGCTAGGTCAAATCCTGGCAAGTGTTTACATTCTAGTAAGTGATTAAACAGATGACCCTTCTGTCTGTGCAGCTAGTTTGACTGAAAAGCAATTAAGTGGTCTGCACTGAGGAAAATAGAGTTGATGTGATTACAATAGGGTTAACATGCTAAAACAAATGTGATCAATTTAGCCATCAGTGGAGAAATATTTATTCAGTTAAAAGAAGATGAATTCAACTTAATGTGTAAGGTCTGCCCCGTGCAATTGTAGAAAAATCCAATCAGACCAGCCCCAGTGCAAATGACTGAAAAATGAGAAAAAAGAAGACAGAGAAATGTTTGTAATTTTAGCTGCTTGAGCTGCTTCAGGGAGGCTGTCTAATCCTTAGCCAGGGTGAGGCCAGGAAGTTGTGAAATCCTCACATACTGGCCTGTCTGTCTTGTGCAACAGACCCCTCTCCTCCCTCCACCCAACTGATGGGTCATCCCACATGCTGGCAAGAGAAGCTGGGGGGGGGGGGGGGAGCCATGCAGGAGGGGACCGTGTTTGATAGTTGCTAAGAACACTACTTGCCAGTTACTGACGGAACTTCCAGAAGATAAAAAGAGCAGGGATTGTTGCTGTTTAATTATGCTGTAGTCAAACTCTCTTCATACTCTCTCCTATGGTGCCCATATGACCTCTGCCAAATGCTGTATGCTTGTGTATAACAGTTTCTCAGGAACTGAGAAGGAAGTTGCTCTTATACTTGTGACCTAGCTATTGGCTTTCTACAGGTAGCTGATTGGTCACTGTGTAAACTGAATGCTGGACTAGATGGGCCCTTGGTCTCATTCAGCATGGCAGTTTGTATTTTGTGGGGCAAGGGGGAGGTATCCTCACATTCTGGCCATATGGCTGCTAATGCAGTCTTTTTACCATGAGACCATGTGATAGTCCTCCTGGGAGGGTCAGTTGGCAACTCTGTCACCTACAATATATTCTTTGAGTTTCTCAGTGAATATGGGCCCTTCACTTCAGTTAATTGAGAAGTCTGCTATGTTTACTCATGTCCGGACGATTTGTAAAAACAGACAGTATCTCAGTCTTTACGGAGGCTTGTTCTCTGTTAAGAGGGATGCAACATGTTGGGCTTTATTGAAAAGAATGTTATATTTTTCATCAGCTTGATGGGCATTCTCTCTAGCTCTAAGGCAGAGGTAAGCAAACTTCAAGCTCGTGAGAGCTATTTTGGTGTTTTGGAGTTGTTTTTTACTTAAATGCTGAGAAGCAGACACAAAATGGTAGCTCAGACTCAATTATCTACTACACTCCATGAATTGTATACCAGGATAGATACAAATCCACAAGTGAGTTAGAATCTGTGATTCTCATCTCATTCTTGTCAGCAGAGCTGAGCAAAGACATGATTGCAGGTAACCAACTAGCACTTTGGCTGCTTTTGGTTCTTGCAATTATAATTGGTCTCATTAAAAATCCAGTTAAATTTTAGGTAGGACTTAACTTGTGTTTTTCCTTAAGAGTCAAATACCTTTGCAGACCTACACATCTCTCTGAGATTCTAATCTACCTCCCCTGGTTTAAGGTGAATAGATGATAACCCTTAACTCAGGAATAGTTTGTGTTTCATTAATCCACAATATAAAAACATGAGTGGCTTTTTAGTGTTCATACTATTTAAACTGACCCTGTTCCACTTTGTTTTTTCCTTCTCTGCAGAATAATCATGTTTGAAATTAAGAAAATCTGCTGCATTGGTGCTGGTTATGTTGGTGGGCCAACCTGTAGTGTCATCGCTCATATGTGCCCAAAAATTAAGGTCACAGTTGTTGATATCAATGAAGCTAGAATCAGTGCCTGGAATTCTGACACACTTCCGATTTATGAGGTAAGTATGTTTAATAATATACCTTTCCAGCTCAGACCTTAGTTGTGCATGCCACTTCTTGTATTTCTCCATGACCATATTAGTGTTAGGCATGCCTCCATTATTAAGCAAGTTTGTATTATTGTTGCTCAGGTATGGTTCTAGTTCGTCCTTTGAGGAATTCAGGGTGGCTCATATGGGGACGTCCCATTTTTTCCTTCACGTCTGCCAAATGGGCTGAAGCAAACTGAGAGATACTGATGTGCTCAAGGCCATTTGATGGAAGAGGAATTTGAAACTGAGGTTGAAGTCAGACACTATCAAAATTCAGGCACAGGGTGGGCAGGAGAGAAAAAGAGATTCTAATAGTAAAGAAATTCCCACACATGCTATCCTCTGTGTAGCAATTGTGCAGAGAGACTTTCCTTCTAATATTCCTGCCATTGGGCATTTCCAATTTAATGTGAAACATTTGGAGAATACTAGGGTTCAATGCAGCTGGAACTGCATAACTTTTATTAACTTTGCAAGACCTAAACAAAGTAACTTCTGGCCTTCAGCTGTAAAATATTTTTTAAAGCCAAAATATTTGCACAAAAGATTTTTGACACTAAAGAGTGGGAATAACAAATGTCAACAAGTTAAAGACTGCTTGAATTATTTTTTGAGATCTGTGTGTGTGTGTGTGTGTGTGTGTGTAAATTTTTCCCCTGTTTCTTTATTAGGGTTGGTCCCATTTCCTTTCAGTTTTAAGTTTTGATTATTTGCTGGTGATAAGAGCAAGAAATGCACAAGGCATTGCCAAAACACTTGAAGCCTATGTCAGATAAGGAGGAGGGGTGGAACCAAAGGAATTCTGGGGTGTACATTTCCCACCACCACAGGGATTCTTTTGGGTGAAGGGCAGGGATGAAGCAGCAGAATTTTTTTATCTGCAAAGTTTCCCCCTCAAGCCTTCATATCTCTAGGGTTAACTATGGATATGTTTATTTATTTATTTTTTTCAGTAGGAAATTTGGCAAGTTAAAGAACTAGGTTTACAGAGAATTGTTAACAGTGTAAGATTCCTTAATGTTCTCTCCTAAAATGAAATTACAGTCTAACATTCAATTTACTATTTTTCTTTTGTGGAGAGTTTGTATTGACTCTCCAGTTTCAGTTAATGCCAATTCTGTATCTAGAGGAAAGACATTCAAAGACCTACATACCTGTATTTATGCCTGTTGGCAGGTAGCAGATATAGCCTTCCTTATTATCGCTTGTGCTATGCTCCCTCTTGTCACAGATCTTTTAGATGAAATGTTTAACATTGTCAAGGCTGTGTCAATTTGTCATTTGTGGATAGCAACATATATGTGATTTATAAGCATAATTTACGCGTGTGTATCACTGGTAGGGGATTCAGTGAGAAATCAAAAGGATCCAGGGCTCCTTCTCACTTGCCTCTAGAACAGGAGTCTCAAACTCAACTTACCTGGGGGCCGCTGGAAGTAGAGTCTGGGAGAGGCTGGGCCGCATCAAGTATCCCACCACCGCGGTGGTGGTGGGCCGTTCATCCCGTGGTCGGCCCAGGTGCCGCCGGCGCTTTGAAGGCCGCAGGGCCCCTCCCCCATGCCCCGCCCGTCCCGGCAATTGGCCCGCGGGCCGCGAGTTTGAGACCCCTGCTCTAGAACATCCCAATTTAGGGCCCACTGCCAGTCGGAATGTCACTAGTGGTGGATCTGTACCCATGAAGCTCTCTTTGAGTACAGAGAGGATTACTGGACTGGATGTACTCTGCCCATTTGCTTTCACTCTGTTCTGACTTGCAGTGACTGTATCTTTAGGCTTCAAGTTCTCACTGACTCTGCTGTCAGGTGTGTCTGTGTGCGTACAAAGAGGGACAGACTTACATATCACCCCATAGACCTCTCAGGGCAGTTTATAACACTGCATAAAAAGAATACAATTAAAATACCATGAAATCATATCAAAAGAAACATTAAAACCAGCAAAAAACATATAGTGAAGAATGACCCTGTAAAAGAAAACTGCCTGGGGTGGGTAATGTTCTCAAGCCCCTGGATAGCCTCATATATCTTTAAAAGCTTCAGCATAAAGGGCTGTTTTAACCTGGTGCCAAGATGATGGCAAAGTTGGTTCCAAGCTGGGCACAGTGGGAGGTGAGGGACCACTACAGAGAAAGCCCTCCTTTTTGCCACCATCTTAATGTAGTGTCTGGATGGATGTTTCCATATACTGGACATATAAGATGAAGTATATTTGTGAAAGTGGGAGGGAATCCTTTCTGTATCACATGTTTTGCTGCTTGCTTATGTATAAAGTATGCTATAAAAACTTAAATAACTTGCTTCCCTCATTCCAGCCAGGGCTAAAGGAAGTGGTAGAATCCTGCCGTGGAACGAATCTCTTTTTTTCTACCAACATTGATGATGCCATTAGAGAAGCTGATCTTGTGTTTATTTCTGTAAGTAATTGTCTGTTTTGCTCAGTACTGCTAGGGCAGCTTGTGGTCAGAAGTGCCAGAAGACAAGATGTCCTCCTCTGGCTGTTCCAGTGAGCTATGCCGAGCCAGTGGGCTTATGCTCTGGGGCTGAGATGGGGAAGGGCTTGCAAGAAAAACTTCCTTTCTACAGTATTTTGTGGGTTCCATAAATACAAAATATGTGCAATCTAAACAGTTAAATATTTGTACTGACCATAATAGAATGGTACATGGAACATTCCAGTGGCAGAATTTCCCCAAACCAAACCTAGAAGGGGTGATGGAGGAGGGATGCCCAGTTTAGTCAGAAGGAATCACTTATCAGATTGCAATCACAAACTTTTCAGCTTGTGTTTGCTATTCACACATGCTGCCTACATCTTTTTGCAGACCAAGTGCATGTTACTTTTTGCATACCAGGAAGCTGCCTTATACTGAGACAGGACTACCAGGCCCCTCTAGCTCAGTATTTTTCACACCAGTTTCTTCAACCTGGCACTCTCCAGATGTGTCAGACAGCAAGTCCAGCATTTCTGACTTTGGATTTGATAGCTGAAACTGGTAGGGTTCTTCATCTGGCCTGGCATTCTGGAAACCTGCTGCCAATCTGCCTTCTCTGAAGATTGGATCTAGGACCTTTGGCATGCTGGGCATGCACTTTGCCCATTGAGCAACAAAGCTTTCTCTCAAAAGCATGGCCAGTAGGGTGGCAAAGACCTATAATCTGGGTTTCAGATTTGTGTTCTAGGATCATACCATCGGAGAAATGGAAGCAGAATACACTCTTGATTCCTATGCTAGGTAAAAGCAATTGAAGGGAAGAGGAAGAATCAGTGCAAATTTGGGAAGCATGGAGGGTTGCTGGTTTGCTGCCAGAATAAAGATTACACAGCACTAAAACTGCAAAGGTATCATGAATGGTCCTTTCATAAAACCCACAAGAGCCTGGTGATGCTTCTTTAGTAGCCAAGTGGTGATTGGTAGCTCCCTACCAGCCTACAGCTAGGCTGGTGGGCAGAACAGAAACCTCAGGTTGGAGGAATTTTCCTTAACAGCTACAACCATTCACAGAAATGGGAGCAGAGGCCAGCTTGGCCAGATTTAAATCAGCTTGGCTATTTTACTGTGCAGATATCTCCTGTACCCATCTGGGAAGATTGCCTTTAATTCAGTGTTGAGCAACAAGGCTACTTCAAATTTGCTTTCATTTAAGCAGGTTAGCACGTACATATGAACATATGCATATATGCTTCTTTGGAAAAAATGGCAATCCTGGGAATTAAATGTGCTGCCCTATGACACTTCCGTAAAAGGATTAGATGTTTTACATGAGCACAGGATTGCACTGGGAGACCGGTGCTCTGCTAAGTCAAAGGCACAAGCTCCTGGGGTGATGCAAGGCAGGTCTGGCCAACTGAGCACAGCAGATCTAATCAGGAAGATGTTATAGCAGGAATGGGATATGTGTGACCCGCTGCGTATCATTGGACTGTAGCTTCCAAAGTCGCTCATCATTGGCAGTGCTGGCTGGGGTTGATGACAGTTGCAGTCCAACCATATCCAGAAGGATACATGTTCCCTGTCCCTTGGTGTATAGACCTCAAGTATCACAAGATCTGTTCTGCCTATCACTACTCAAGACAACTCTTTGCAGGTCATTTGAGGGCTGCAGAACAGAAGCTATTCTGATGCCGGGTGAGTGTGAGTGTGACCATGACCTGATGCCAGGAGACATGGCCACCTACACCTGACTTCATCTGCTCCCTGCGTGCAGTGAAGCTGATGTGATTGAGTCCCCACTCTTTGAGTAGTAACTGGGATTCACCAAGTTTGGCTTCATTGCAAGCAGGACTTTGATGACCAGGAAAGCCTGAGTGTAGAGAAGCAGCATCCTTGAGGAATCCCCACTATTGGCTGCAGTGGGGTTTCCTCTCCCAGCCTATCCCCCAGGCCCCAGTAGTGGCAAAACCTGAAGAGGTGATGTGAGCCTTTATGGACTGGATGCAGAACCTCCATGGGCCAGATTAGGTCGGCAGGCTGGAGGTTATGTACCTTCACTATGCTTGCTTTTTTTGACCAGAGTTTGGTAGATAAGCTTAGTTTGAATCCCTGCCTGATACCTCACAATACATATGTAGCTACTTTAGAACTTCACAGAAAGTAGCAAATTGTTTCCTTAGTTACCCAAAGTTGAATGGGAGTAGTACATGGTGGAATGACAGTGAAGAATGAAAGTATCAATAGATTCTTTTAAAAATTCATCTTTGTCTTTATTCTTAAAACAGGTTAATACCCCAACAAAGACCTATGGCATGGGGAAGGGCCGGGCAGCAGATCTGAAATACATTGAGGCTTGTGCAAGAAGGATTGTGCAAAACTCCAATGGTTATAAAATTGTAACCGAAAAAAGCACTGTCCCTGTCCGTGCCGCAGAGAGCATCCGGCGTATATTTGACGCCAACACGAAGCCCAACTTAAATTTGCAGGTAAAATTCACAGCCATTTTGTACTGGATGAATTATGTGCTCACTTCTGTGCTTGAAATGGACCTTTGGTCTTTGTGTGCAGGTTCTGTCTAACCCGGAATTCCTTGCAGAAGGCACAGCCATCAAGGACTTGAAGAATCCAGACCGTGTACTGATTGGGGGTGATGAAACTCCTGAGGGTCAGAAAGCTGTTCGTGCTTTGTGTGCTGTCTATGAGCAGTGGGTGCCCAAAGAGAAAATCCTTACAACCAATACTTGGTCATCTGAACTTTCCAAACTGGTGAGTCTTGTTCAGTCTTCTCACATCAGTAAAGGAAAGAAGGTATAAAGTGTCAGCAAAGCAGTGATAAACTTTCAGCTTTCCTCAGCCTCTGAGCAGCGCTATTAAAAAATGACAGATGAGTAACAGGTTTTATTTGATTGTCTGCTTTCACAGTATGAGGCTTTTCAACAACTGCACTGATCTGTACTTGCCTATTTTACATTTATGTCAGGATCTACCCCTTTTTGGGTCATTTGACACATCTGGAATTTTGAGGGAGCATCATGGGCAGTCCCACAAAGTAGCTGTCATGAAGGGGCTTACCCATTTGTAACAAGGTTGTGTTTGTGGGCATTTCCCAGAAGACAAATGATAAAACTAAAGAAAAGGAAGATAGATCGATAGACAGACAGACAGATTTGTCAGAGGACCTAAGTACAAGGCAGGAATGGGAACTGAGCTCCAAAACACAAACCTGCTATTTTGAACCCAATTAAAGATTGCACTGGAAGGCAGCATGCCAGGCTCCCAGTTAAAAATAAACAATTAAAAATAATAGGTAAAGGTCATGAGGGGCAGGGAGCCTGCTGGGTGCCTAGAAAAGTGTTCATGGACATTTAGTGATCTTATACTTTATAGCACTGGCTACTTACCCCACGCTCCACATGGGGCTACCCTTGAAGACAATCCGGATACTTCAGTTGGTGCAAAATAGAGCTGCCAGGTTGCTGATGGGGACTGGGCATTGTTTTCATATAACCCCAGTTCTCCGTCAGCTTCACTGACTCCCTTTTGAAGTCCGGGCCCAATTCAAGGTGTTGATTATGACCTATAAAGCCCTTAACAGCTTGGGACCTGGTTATCTAAAGGAACATCTGCATCCATACATGCCCTCCCACCCCCTATGATCGGCAGCGGATGCCCTTCTCCGGGAACCCTCCGTGAATGATATTAGGAGGGGTGAGTACCTGGAGGAGGGCCTTCTCTGCGGTGGTGCCCCATCTATGGAATGCGCTCCCCAGAGAGGTCTGCCTGGCGCCATCATTATTTGCTTTTTGGCGCCAGGTGAAGACCTTTTTATTTAAAACTTATTTTAACTGTTAATTTATTATTATTGTATTTATAGATTTTAATATATATAGCTGAGATGATACTAGTTTTTAAATTATTATTATTTTTTATGAATGTTGTGAGCCGCCCCGAGGCTTTGTTGCGATGGGGGTGGCATAGAAATGTTTTAAATAAATAAATATTGCAATTTCATCAGTCTAAGCTTGTTTTCTTTTTTTCTCCATGCAGGCAGCTAATGCTTTCCTTGCCCAGAGAATTAGCAGCATCAACTCGATAAGTGCTCTTTGTGAGGCAACAGGTGCTGATGTTGAAGAGGTTGCAAGAGCCATTGGAATGGATCAAAGAATTGGGAATAAATTTCTGAAAGCCAGTGTTGGTCAGTTGCAACCGTTGTTTCTCTTGGGCTGTGACAGAGAGCTGCTTTTAGACAGGAGCGGGCAAGCTGAGGACCTCCAAATGTTACTGGACTCAGGCTTCCATCAGCCCCAGCCAACATGCCACAGGATCAGGAATTACAAGAGTTCTAGTTCAGCAACTTCTAAAGGGCACCTGGTCATCTGGCCCTACCTTAGGCAATGCACTGTTTAGACAGCAGGCCTTTATCAACAACTGTTGAATTGTGGAACTTAGCATTGTGCCGCACCTCAGATTTTCCAAGCTGTGTTGCCAAAGCTTCCCTATAATTACCAAATGTATCTTCCCTTTTTGGAAACCCCATTCACACTTCTCACCTGTAAGCACATGAGCTCAGTCCAGCTGCAGGTGTGCAGAAGCAAGCACAGGTAAAGAAAGCTCATGCATTTTCAGTTCATCACCATAATGTGAACTATACCATGGAAAAGACTGGCTAATTAGCCACTGACTATTTGATATCTATCCAGATATCAGACAGAAACCCATTGGAGCTAGTAGAATGGGGCATGGTAGGATCCAGAGGAGGTTGTATTTCTTTGCCCACTTGATGAGACTGTGGCAGTACAAAGCCGTGCAGGCTGATGTAAAGATCTTTCCCTTTTGATTTACTGATAGGGATGATTAAGCCAATGAGGGCTCCATGAACTCTCACAGGAGTTGTGGGGAGGCAGGACAGAGTGGAAGAGCAGTTGTGAGAAGACGTTGCTGAGAGCTCTCTAACCAGATCCATCAGGAGGTTTGAACAACCCTCCTAGGAAGCAAACCTCCTTAGGGACATGAAGTTGCACAAGTGGTCTGGGTCTCACCCTTAAGAAACAGAAAGTGGCTTTAACTTTGGTAGGACAAACTAGTGGCTATATGAAAACGTACAGTTAGACTGCCCACTTTCTTCCAGATGTTCTTCCAGTTTGTTCACTTGTTTATTTTCAGTTGAATTGCTTCTCTGTCCAAAATATACAAAACCATGTAATGCACTGTTGCAATCAACAGAAACCTTCCTATCAATGTCTTTATTAAGGACCACTTTCTTTTCAAATCACAGATACCAACACAAAAATTAGATGTCATATTTTAACTACAGTCATATTTATTTCTGGTGCAATATATGGGAGGAGACCCTAGGACTCTATTCTATTTGGCTGGATCTTAAAACTGATAATTGTACTGAACTAAGTAGACTGCTTGATTAATAATGTGTAATAATAGTAATAATACCCAAGTACTTTGATTTTTCACACTTGGGAATAAGCTCTGTGGCCTGTTAAGGGTGTACTTCTGCTTAAATGTGTGTAGGATCAGTTAAGAGAAATCCTTGTGGTGCTAAGAAAGCACTGACTTTTTCTCCCTTCCTCCAGGATTTGGTGGGAGCTGTTTTCAAAAGGATGTTCTGAATTTGGTTTATCTTTGTGAGGCTCTGAATTTGCCAGAAGTAGCTCGTTACTGGCAGCAGGTAAGAACAAATGAAGTTGGCTAGCACTAACATAATTATCCTCCCACCTTGTTAGCAAGGGGTTTGCTAGGACTAAAAATAACATGTGCTTTCATTGCTATGATCTGTCTTCTCAAATAATATCAAATTATTTTGACTCTGCCACCTAGAGAACTTTGGTTGACTAACACATGTAGTCACTAAATAAAGCCACTCATATTGCTCCAAATTATGGATTGGCTTTATATTCCAATTGAACTGAAGCTGTCTGCTCTCACTTGACTACATAAGTGGTCCTGGGACTCAGTGCCATCAAAGCTGAATAGGCCATGGTTCTTTCAGAAGATTAGGATGCCCAAAGCATCAGCCCTGGACTACTGAGTGTCATTCTTTTCATACAAGGTCCCCTCTCTGTATTGCCTTGTCACTAATACACATACACAAAGAAATGTCTGAAATGACAGTTGGAACAGCCAGCTATATTTGAGGCCAGATGTAGGTGGGATTTTTAAGAACCAAGGCCAACTAATTGACTGGATTGTCGGAGCACAGTTTCTGCCACAGCCTTCTTAATATGGAGGGAGGACTCTTCTGGGGCTATTGGGGTCTTAAAGAGAAGTTAAAGGGTCCTGTGATATATTTATTAGGGTATATGTTTTTGTGGACTGCAATACACTTTATCAGATATATGAGGTACTATCCAGACTTTCAAATACATATATTATTTACATTTGGGGTAAGACAGAATGGTAGTGGGGAAATTATAAACAATGAGGTCAGAAATTAAATGCAGAAATTATTTTTATTTATGAAATTTATATCCTTTTTTCCTTACAAAGAACTCAGAGCAGCTTACATCATTCTCCTCCTGCTCTCAATCTTATCCCCACAACAACAATCCTGTGAGGTAGGCTGGGCTGAGGGTCTGTGACTGGACCAAAGTCACCCAGTTGGCTCTATGGCTGTTGCCCAATTCCTGTCCCACTCTCATAATTACTATTACCAACAATGGCCATTTCTAAAACAGTTGCCGCTGTTAACGCAAACAGTCCCAGTGCTGGTCTATCCAAATAACACATACTATTTAAAAACTAATGCTTTATCCAGTGTTAAGCCTCTGGAGATAAAACTGTGAACCTCTTGATGAATTCAGTACACTCCTATTCTAATTCCCCTCTGACTTTTCTTCACTCTGCAATGGCAAAACAGAGATGCCTCCTTCCAGTGCTGGATCTGGCTCAACACTGATGCATATGAGAAAAATACTTTTCATAATGCAGAATCTAGTTGATGAATCACATTTTTGTGATTGATCATAAAGGCTGGACCAGATTCTAGATTTTTTGGTTGGGTGCTTTCCTTGCAAAATCCAATTGGTAGCAGCATTTCCAATTTTTCATGGGTATTCTTGCTCAAGGATATTCTGTGGAGGAAAATCACTACATTACATGGCCTTGAATTCTTGGGATTGAAGTGTTTGATACAACATAGCTGTTCAGAGTTTGGAATGCAGAGATGGGGTAAATAATAACCAACCTTTTTCTCTAGTAAATAGACTAAAATTTCATTTCCAGCATTCCTTAGCAAAACTGCAGCAGAGCTGGCAAGCAAATCCAGGCCTCTTCATTCTTGTATCTAGTGTTGTTTGTCTTTGAGCTTTGTGGAAATTAAGTCCTGAGGCAGACTTTGGAAAGCCAATGTTTGATCAGTTATTCATTTCTGAAATTGGTATGAGATGAAAATAAAGACTCAAAGTTATGCAGTTCAATAAAATATCCAAGAGTGCTGGTTTTTTATTTCAAAATATGCAGTCCTCCTTCCAAGCCACATTCTCTGGCCTCTCCTTTTACTCTTTACCTGCTGAGGAAAGGATGTTATGTCTGAGCCGACATAGGTTAGGTATAGAAAGGATCTTGCTGATAAGTGAGACAGCCTGGATCTGGCTCTTGAGCTGCAAGCCAGTGTTAACCTGTGGGAGATCATAGGAAAGAGGAAGTGAGGCCCCAGGGACCTTGAACTGTCTGCAGAGTTCTCAGTGTGGGAATGGCCTTTTTTACTAGGGCCAGGGTAGGGGATGAGGAAGGGCTGCAGTCAAAAGTCCTGTGGGCATATATGTTTAAAAGAGCATGCTTGCAACCCTCGCTATGTGGAGAATGAGGTGCATTTGAAAGGTTTCTAACAGGGATCCAGGTTTATCCATATTTTCAGTATCTGGAGTGCCATCAGAGATTTCTGTTACGTGCCTTGACCATTACACCAAACTTACCCATTTTCCACACAGCTGTCTTGCTGCCATCATACCTGTTCCTGAGAGAACCTATAAAAGAATCAGGTTCAAACAATTGTGGAAGTTACAACAGAAGAAGAGCTCTTGATTTTTTTATTGATTTACATGAATTTTCCTTAGCTTTTGCATTTTTAACTAGTTCCTCTAGCCATGTACAGCCATGTACAAGTTACTGTTAACATTCCATTGTTACCAAACAGGGCAATTTGCAGTCCCATCACTGTATCCTTTATAATTGCAGGTGATTGACATGAATGACTATCAAAGAAGAAGATTTGCTTCTCGAATCATTGACAGCTTATTTAACACGGTCACTGACAAGAAGATTGCCATTTTGGGATTTGCATTCAAGAAAGACACAGGAGACACCAGGTAATGCACAGTGAATTCAAACAACAGTTATAAAAATAATTTACGCACCTATTGCCTGGCTGGTTCATGCTCTGGAAAACAAGGCCAACTCCTGCACAAGGGAATCCCAAACCCTGTGCTTGAGACAAATTGCAAATATTTTTTATTTCCTTTTCCAACATTTACCCCACCTTTCCTCTCCAAGTGCTCTTGTTGGCTTATTTTCGAATGAGCTCACTTAAACCTTGCTTATGAATAGCAATGGACAGAGGCCTGAGTAAAGTTGGAGCAAGACTACTTACCTTTCAAGAGGCTACTTTTGATTACAATGGGGAGAAAGAGCTGTTTGCGCATGGGGCTGCTCTGCTTATTAAAGAAAGAGAAACCCAGTTTGCTTCTAGTGAAATGCCTGGAGAAGTCCTTGCAGGTTATGGAACATTCCCATCAGGGAATAAGATGTTGAATGTGTCAGAGGCCAGCGAGTGGGCAAACTGGATGAAGACAATTATCCAGGGGGTTTTTAAGACTTTGTCCCATGAAGAGGGGATTATCTACACCCACTTTTTCCTCCTGACTTGACTCCTTTTGATGAATTCAATCATGGAATGCTTACTGTTTCTCTTCTGCTGGTGTCCCTCTTTCCTTTATAAAGGGATCTGGCAGGTAAAGCATGCTCCAACAGGCTTCTTTTTGAAATACTGGCTTCTTGGAAGCTGACTTCTCCTAAGAGGGGCAGTTTGTGATGGTGGACAGCTACTGAGTTCTTCATGGCCCCATTGATCTCCTTTGCTCTACCTGCTTCTGGGTGTCCTTGCTCCCATTTGCTTATGCCTGCTGGACAACCTCTAGTCCCTCTGAACTGTCCACCTTCCCTATAACCACACAGGGACATGTGAATGGTGATCCTTAGGAAGACTGAGAGCTTCTTAGATACATTAATTCTGCCATATAAAACAGATTTGTGTTCCTGGCCAGCATCTCAAGAACTAAACAGCCAGTTCTGCATGTCCAAGGAGGCTTTGGACTTCTGTCTGAAACATTCATGTTCAATTAGTAACTGGTGTTTGGCACAGAATTGGATTTCTTAGTCCCTTAACCTTCTGCCCCTGCCCATTCTTTAAGTTTCCATTGTTCTAGAGAAATTGCTTCATTGCACAATCTACATAATTCAGTATCGAAATATTGAGGAAAGATTGAATAGAATATAGAGTTTTTCCTTAACTTGTTAAATCAATGGACCTGTTAAATCATTATTTAACCATGGTTGAATGATTTGGCACTTTGATTTGTTGGCCTATCTCTGTGGTGAATTCAGTGTACATTTATAGGTGGCTGTGCAGATAAAAGTTCATCTGCTTGGTTTGTAGTGCAGCCAGATTGACTTAAGTCTAAACATAGATTAATGATCAATCCTATGGGGCAACAGATCATCCAGTGGAAACTTAGCTGTGTGCCCAGTTGTAATGCAGATTGAACTCACTGTGTGCAGTCATGGCCAGGTTTTTAACAAATGAACCAGTAACTTGAAAGATCAGTTCTTGCACATGTTAAAAGTAAGGTTTATTACAGGCTAATGTTAAGACAGTGGAACACTATGCATTTAGAGTGGATGAGGAAGATTTAAAGTCAATGTTAAAAAAATAGAACAAAAGTAAAATCAGGAGACTGACTGTAATCTCCAGTAATATGTAAAATTGTTCTCCCTTGGTGGTTCTGTGAGGGACTCAAAGCTGGTGAGGAGGCCAGGAGATACTTTTGATGAACTAGGTATTTATCAAACTTAAAAAGTCCACCTGCCTTTCAGGAACTTAGGATGGCTTTTATGGGGTTTTCCATTTCTTAAAAAAACTATTATAACAGGTTTGTGAGGTTAGCTCATTAAAAAGATAATGACTTTGGTCCAAATTACTGAGTGAGCTTCATGGCTGAGAGGGATTCTTCTTGATCTCCTTGTAGGATTTTATTTATTAAAGTCTAATATTCTGATTGCTGCAACACCATACTCACTGCCCAGTGTGGTGATCCTACAGCTGCAGGCCAGTGTTATGAGGTTGCAGCCTCAGCAAGTGGTAGCTATTCACGCAGAAGACCACAAATGCCTTCTCTCCCCCACACTCTCTTTAAGAGTTTGATTTTATTGGCCAGTTCAGCTTTATCCAACTGTGCCATCCATATATTTTAGACTAAAACTCCTAGGCATTCGGGGATGCTTGGGCATTGTCATCCAGTACATCTGGAAGGCATTAGGTTGAAGAAAGCTGAATTAACTCGTACATTCAAAGCAGTTACACCAAGCAGGGAAGAGGAATATATTTGGTCTGATAACTTCTGTTCCAGTAACCTTTGGACTACAGTGGCACTTCAGTTTATCTTAAGGATTAACAGAATCTGTCAGGCCTATGGCTTAACAGTTATTCTGGTTTACAGTTTGAGCTGTTCGCAATGCTTGATAACTACTGAGATTTTAATAAGCAAGGAAGTTTTGAGGTGACATTTATACTGCAGAATACAGCACTGAGAAAATCTCATGGCAGTGGCCAGAGTGCCCAAGGGAAAAGGTAGCCAAATCTGTTACTACATTCATGTTTGTATCTATTCTATTTTTGTCATAAGAATTCTTCTTGCAGTATAAGATTATGACAATCAAGGACACTGCTTCTCTGCATGGTTCCATTCATGATATAAACAATTTGTGGAAAACAAATGCATCCTCTGCTTCTGAGCTTTTGGAAACTTTCAGAGTCATGTTTCTTGGTCCCATGATCAAAGCTATTTTCTGAGGCTACTTTTAGGCATTTAGTTGCTGGCTTTAGAGTGTACCTGTCTGCTTGCTTCCTTAGAACTAAATACCCTCTATTCAATAAAATTACTCTCTAGTAAGTGTAGCCCTTAGAGGTCACAGTCTTCCTCCTGTTCACCTACATTCCTGAAGTTAACATTTTACCTTGTAGTTACTGGATGTAAGTATCTTACAAATTCTTCTAATTGGTGTTATCCTTAGAGAATCTTCCAGCATTTACATTAGCAAATATTTAATGGATGAAGGAGCAAAACTTCACATTTATGATCCCAAAGTGCTGAGGGAACAAATCATTCTGGATCTTTCTCATCCAGGTGTCTCAGAAGATGATCAAGGTGAGCAGGATATGCTCTTTACAAGCTCTTCTACTCTATAGGCTATATAATAAAATATGTAATCTATGGACTACATAATTTCATTAAAACCTTAAAAAAACAGCAAAACCAGAGCATATTTCTCCTTCCACATGGGAAATGGCATTTTTTGGGGAAAAAAACCGTACAAAGGTGTAGAAAGGAACATAGGCAAACAGGAGAGGCAACTCCACAAACTATGGCAATTGCTGAAAAATCCTTGTTCCTTTCTGCTGGCACCAATGCATCCCAACAATGCCTCTGAATGTAAAAAGAGCTCATGTGTTAGAGCATAACTAGGGTTATGCATGTTATGATTCTGTGGAGTGCAACCCACTAAAAGAAAAAAATAGCTCAAAATATAGAAAGGGCTACATAATTAAGCTTCTTGGGAATCTGTGATGTAAGGGTAGGAATGTCGCATTTTCTCAGCTTGGCTGCTTCAACTCCAGCTCACATTTTCACTGCCCTAATTCAAACTTGCCCCAAGTGTTCTTGTGGTTATCCAGCAGGAAGTGAGTCCAACTGTTGCCTGGGTATAATTGGCAAGACTGACTTGTACACATACCACCTGCTGCCTGCATGACTACTGTGCGAGCAAGTTCGCTTCTGCATGTGTGACTTGGGGGCTTAATATATTTTGTACAAAAATAATTCAGTGCAAAGAAAGGGACCTGTCAGTGTTCATAAACTCTATCTGGTCTTGGCTCACTTCCTAGGTCTGGGCTGAGCACAGGAAACAAGCCCAGCAAGTGCAAAAGAGCCAAAATGGCTGGATCTTCTCATCACTGTTGTGATATCTTTTGTTTTTAAAGGCACTAGGCCTTATTGCAGCTCAAAAGTATATAAGGAACACCTGTAAAAATGTCTGAAAACTGAAAAGTAGTTGAATAAAATTTCTAGTAGATGGGAGAGGACTTCAGTGCCCTTGTACAGATGCTTACCATTTTTAACACCTTTGTGGAAAACTAGATATATTGTGCATACCTGCATAATGTATATAGATTACTCTCTGCATTAACACATGTATCTGTGCACTAAGGAAAGCTATGTTCTGTAATCAGTCTTGACTCTAATTCTGTATTGAATTGTCATAGGAAAAACAATAAAAATGCTCTGAAAAATGCATTTCAGTGGGAATGATATAGGGTGCAACCCTTTGCATGTTTAGACAAGAAGGTCCTACAACTCTCAGCAATCTGGAAGTTGTAGGACTATTTTTGGTCTAAATATGCATATGATCGTGCCTTTAAGGACTGTTTTTAAAGATGTGGTTATGCAAATCCTTAAATCTCATTGAATTCAGCAGGGCATAAAAGTGGTAAATTTGCCTATATGGTGCTCACAGGGTAGTGCTACTTTCTCTTTTACTTTTGCTAGTGTCTCGACTGGTCACCATTAGCAAAGATCCATATGAAGCCTGTGATGGAGCCCATGCACTTGTTATCTGCACAGAGTGGGACATGTTTAAGGTATATGAAATACAAAATAGACATATGCAAGAAATAAATGGTAACTCCCGTCACTGACACACTTTACTCTCTGGACCCACTTTCAGGAGCTGGATTATGAACGCATTCACAAAAAAATGCTGAAGCCAGCCTTCATTTTTGATGGCAGGAGAGTCCTTGATGACCTTCATAATGAACTGCAAGTCATTGGTTTCCAGGTAATTCTTCTTTTGCTGACAGTCCATCTTTCAGAAAGAGCCTTGTAAGACTTGAAAAGCAAATAAAGCAGAAACTATTTAACTCCACCCCCACCCCATCCCCCTTTTTTATAAACATCTTTGTATCTTGATGGGGCTTTCACTTGCGGGGGCTAGCAGAATGCATTGGAAGGCTGGGAGGATGGAGCAGGTGGCACAGAAAATGCAGTGCCTGGGTAATCACATGAGTAAGTTTGGCAAAATCCACATGCTCTGGAAACTGAGTGGGGTTGTTTGCTATGTTGTGTGAACCCAGCCTTTGAGAGAACTTGCTTGTGTCTCTTCTGTCACCTTCACCAGGCACATAAGGTAATAACTGCAGAATTACTTGGTTTAACTATTTGAAGATGGACTGACATTGGCTATTAAAACGTATTATCATAGCAGATTCAACATAACTGTGGGATTTCCCAGTTTAGGTGTTGCCTTCTGTACCCAGCAATCAGAGCATTTCTTAGTTTCACCCCATGTAAAGAAAGGTGTCTTTGTTGGGAGTAAAGTTGCATTTGAACAGGCTCTAGGTACATGACAAAGTAAACATGATTAGCACCATTTTAAATAAAGGCTGACCCACATGTTCAAAACTAACACATGGTTAGGTCTACCATTTCAGAAAATAAGTATGATATTTGGATGGATCTCATATTGGTTTTTTAATTTTCAAAACAGTCTCAAAAGTTTATGGACACCAGCTGTTGTATGTTTTGTTTCACTAAGATGTCTTAATTTCTCTCCCCACCCCTTTCAGATTGAAACAATTGGGAAGAAGATATCAGCAAAGAGGATACCATTTGCTTCTTCATGTGACATACCAAAGTTTAGCCTTCAAGATCCCCCTCTAAAGAAGCCAAGAGTATAGGTTTTGATTGTCACAGGGGGTTGCAATTAAACTTCCTATGTGAACTGTAGATCAGCATGATTTAAGAGGTGGCACAATGTTCAAGCCAAATTTAAGTATTGAAGTTATGGGAGAGTTAACCATGTGTATAACTATTCCCCATTGAAATTAATGGGGCTACAAAGAGCTAACTTCTTGCTAGATTATGCTAAATATTTTCTCATAATGAAGACAATTTTCATGAGTATCCGTATCTAGGATATTTCAATCCAGAATCTGTTTTATAGTCTCTATTTTTATATTATCAGAACTTGAAAAAGTGTATAGTCATGAATGATTTTAGTAATTTTTATATTAAAAACCATCAGCTCAAAACTTCTAGAACATCTACTTTATAAGGTTTACAACCCACACTTCAAATTGCTATGACATGTTTTCAAATCCCAAATAAACAAAGCCCTCTCCCCCTTCCTTTGATACTCTTCTACCATGTAACATTCTTGTTGGAACTTTTAATTTGACTGTAGTCAGGTATGGTCAATTTGCTGAAGGATCAGAGGTTACTGGAATGTCTGTAGTTATTTGTATGAAATGTCATTCTTAACTCCTCTACTACATAGGTATCTGAAGACATGAAGGAGGGTCGATAGAATTTTTCTTTTAGACTGATGTGCCTCAAATATGGACTACTAACTTTTGTAGGATTCTTCAGAAGTATTCATCAGAAAGAAACCTCTGTTTTGATCAAATGATAATTCAAACCAATGACTTGAGCCAATGTGAGATGCAGGAAGAGCACTTTGCCAACCTGTAGCATGAAAATCTGTTCCTTAATGCATCTTTAATACATTAACCATGCAGTCTCATACATGGCTACTCAAAAGTAGGTCATGTTCAATGGAGACTACTCCCTGGTAGCTCAGGGTGGGAAATAGGCATTCTTCAGGCTGCATGTGGCTCTCGTTGTGGACCCCATTCCAAATTCTAAGAATGAACAAAGCAGAGAGGCATCCAGAGCAGCCATTCTGAAGTATAATTGACCCTTGTAGAGTTCCATAGCAACTACAGAGCATCAGAACAATGTAAAGGAAAACCAGCTAATTTGGTGCTTGGGAGCTGCTCCAGTTATTATCCATCATATTATTTGTGATGGCCCCACAGTTGTGTGTTGTGTCCAAAGGACCTCACCAAAGGACCTCACCAATTTGCAAACTTCTGGTGTAGGCAGTTGCAAGGAAATTAGTGATTTTCTAAGTTTTTTTAGTGTGTCTAAAACTGACTTACCTTATTATATTCTTTGCTATCTTTGAGATTTAGTCAATATTGCCTCATTTTTATAATTCATAGATTTCATTAGAGCAGAAGTTCTTAAAGCTGCGGATGATGAAAAGGAGCCAAGCTCCTCCCTTCCTATAACCCAGGGCACTTTGCCAGGAATGAAAATCCAATAGCTGCAATATGAACACCTTACGGCAGGCCATCCAACAACCATGAGTACAAGAGAATTGTTCTTCTGTATTCTTTTGTTTAGGGATCTAAAGGCACACCGACTGGCTGCAACATTTCCTTTAATTTTGATCAGCTGCAAGTGCTGCCCTCCAAAACTGCCTTTTTGTCCAGGCTGGCTCAGACCAGTGTCCCAAAGCATATTTTTTTGTCTTGGGCAGCATTATCAGAACTCTTCTATGAAAGTGAACTTGTTGCTGTTACTGATCATTCATCATACAGATAATCACAAAGTTAAGTCAAAGGTTTCACTTTGAATGGAGTAACGCCATGGCTTTTGTAACCACCATGGAATTCAGTAGTTTCTCACTGCTGTTTTGACACTTTGAATTATGTTAAAAATGTTGTAGGAGTAAAGGGTTCTGTGGCTGTAGCAGAACAAAAACTTCTGTCATGTATTAATCAGCTTACTACCTCACCATGATTACAAAAATATTTTTATGCTCATTAGTATTAATCTGTTGTATTGTTTAGCTTGAGCTTTTCCAGTGTTAATAAATCACTTCCATTCCCTTTCATAACAATTTTTACTGCCTTACATTTCCTAGCTTGAGATCTGTAACCAAAACACAGACCAGAAAAAGGTTCATTATCAACTCTTGTTAAAACAAAAATTGTAATTCTTATGATATGCTTTCAAATGACATTGTCACTATGAATCTGTTGTATGGTTTTAATATGCTTTCAGTGGAGGACTATTAGCCTCCACTGAAAATGGACTATTATAATGGTTCTCCTAATGTACTCCCACTAACCAAGTTTAAGGATTTTTTTTTGAGAGAAACAGAAACCTGAACTTGGCAGTACTCTGGAAATTTTCATAATTCATGCTAAAGAATGGTAAAAAAGGAATGTAGAAATATGAAGTATTTCTTCTAAAAAAAACTTGACACTTTAGGAAGCAGTCCAAGTTCTCTTGCAAACTCATGCTGAAAGACCTACTGCGATTAATAGGATTGGACTCATTTTCTTATTTTTTCAGCTGTTAAGTTTTACATGTACAATGCTCAGCTTCAACCATGATGGACTGAATCCAGGATTTGCTGCCTCTGGGAGGTGTGCTCCCTGAACAGAGATTTTCTCAGAATGGTCTGGCTGCTGAGAAGTGGGGGTGGGTGGGATTTTACTCTCTCTCCATTGTTGTATCAAGATGGATTTTCAGGTGGCATGGAGAAATGGGAAGTCAGCAAAAATGACCTTATCCATTCTGCCTACAGGAATACCCTGCTGCATCTGAACCCTTTCACTGAGCTGGAGGTGGAGAATTCTAGATGCAACTCCTCTTTGGTTTACCCAGGGCAATATTCAGTGCTACTGACACACCTCAGCTAGTTCTGCCTACTTGCAGGATGTACCACTAATACAACAGGAACCAGTATCTCAACAAGTAGCCCAGGGGAATAACGGAAAAGCTTGCTTGTGGAATAGGCGAGTTAAACAGAGCTCTGTAGTCTTGCCCTATGCAAGAAATGGGGATTTTCACTCTGGTTGCCTAATGAAGTGCTACCTTCCCATTGTTCTAACCATGAGCCATACTGGATATTACCCTAAGTGGTTTGGCAAAAGGCTGAGACCAGTTTCTTCCAATAAAGGGATACAGTCTGTTTTAGTCAAGGCTCAATTGTTTTTTTTAAACTGGACTGAATATAAATAATCATGGTATTTTCAACAGTTAATGGACTGTCTTTTAAAGAGGAGGGGCTGCTGCAAATAAAAGATCTCAAAGGGGAACTATGCTGCCATCTCCATGCATAAATTAACCCTCAGTCTATTGCCAGCATACAGTCACTAACCTGTGCTACCATAAGGGGGAAATTACTTGGAGTGGCTAATGTGCCAGTATTAACACGTCATAATATATCCACTCCTATCCATATCTAGCTATCCACAATATGGTGTCCAAACAGCGTCAAACTTTTCCCTAAAATATTTAATGTCTTACTTATTAAATAAAAACATCATGGATGCAGCCTATGATCTCGATAGGTTTAATTAAAGTTCAGTGGGAAAGCCTATGCTTAGCATGTGTTTAAATTCTACCTGCAAAAACTGAAAGCTGCTCAATTTTGACTAAATTGTGCCTTATATTTGCTCAATGGGAGTGAAATTATACTAAATGCAGTATAAATACTGGTGCATTTGAAGCACTATAACAAAAGATGCTACATTTAAGTGCTCAGCTGATGTCCTCATTTTATTCTTCATATTACCCATGTGATGCTGAAAACTTTAAACATTTGAATATCTTCTTAAATGTGTGTTGTGCTGCACCTTTATATATCAGAAAGCAAAGGCATCCTAAGTAATTTAATGCATATTTTTTACTACATTAGGACATGAAAGAGTTCAAAAACAATCTGAATACTTCAGTGCAAGGTTGGGTGCCAGTTGAATGGTCATTCCTTCCTTCGACTGTGAGGTTGCCATCCAGAAGTACCATACAGTAAAATGGTGAAATTCTTTATATGGATACTGTTGTTTCATATGTTTTTTGTCTTCCTCTTCTGTATTAAATTTTTCAAGAAGAATTCACCTACACAAAGACAATGTGCATCAATTTTAACAATGAAAGTTTTAATTGTTCTTCATTGTCATTATTGTAAAAAAACAAAACAAAACACCAGAGCACTAGCAACTGCAGGACTGATCTGAAAGACCAAAGTCCTTGGTGCATATTCCCTTGCACTGCAGGGATTAATTTGTTTCAAAGGGGATAAAGCACATCTAAAACAATCTTCCCAATTTCAAATGAAGTTAAACTCTCCCTTACAGTTTTTTAGGTGGCAATCCTACACCCCAGAAGCAGGCAACAGTTTTTGGTCCAGGGGCTAATTTCCCTCCTGGATCAATCTGGTAAGCTAGATGATGTTAAGGAAGTAGGATCCCTCTCCAATGTCATTTGTCCTATCCATTTTTATTTGTGCTGAGATACGAAGCTCTGTCTGTCTCCATGGAGAAAGGGACTCAAATTGGTGTTTGAAACCATTTTTCCAAGCAACACCTGGTACCCGATTCAGGTGGTGAGCATGTGAAAACAAGGAAGTACGGGCATACTTGGTCTCTCACAGCTGGCATAGTAAGAAGCATGTTATCCACCTCTCTAAGATCAAAAGTGGGTCTCAGAGAGAGCAAAAAAGGGTATGCAGGTAGGCAGCGATGGGGCTGTGGACCTATGATTCTTACTGGCACCCGGTCTCCTAATCTCCCCAGTGCTTTATCTAGATGGTCAAAAGAAGCTGTCTAGATAAACTGCAAGACAATTGTGTGCCTCATGCCACACATGGAATGCATTCAAGCTTCTGGCACTGTATGTGCACCAAGGACATGAGTCATAGGATTAGGCCCTGACTAGTATAATGCAAAATAATTTTCAGGGGAATTAAAGTGCATAATTCAAGTGTTTATTATACAGTAATTTAAATATGAATTTAAATTATAATGCAGTATACATAGCTACTGTCCAGCTGCCTTCCCACTGACACGAATGGAACTTATACAGCTAAAGTACTTGGTAGAGTACATATAACTTAAAACATGTTAGAATGCCTAAGCAGGTACCTATTTAATATTTACTATGATTATGCCAGTTTTCCATCATTAAACCTACATAAATAAAACACATTCTGTATATATTGCATTTGTCAGTAATGGGAATAGGCTTATAGTTAAACTTCCTTTACAATATTCTTATGGGTCAGCTAATCTACCACGCTACGTGTTTTACCTGCTTTGTACGAAGAACGCACAAGAGGCCCACTAGCAGTATAATGAAATCCAAGCTCATTTCCTACTTTTTCCCAGTATTTAAACTTCTCAGGAGTAACATATTCTTCAACCTAGATTGAAAAATGCTGATCATTCAATGGCATATAAATTTTAAAAAGAAATAATAAGCATAAAAGGAGCCATGCCAGAGCAGACCAATGTCCACCTACTTCAGCATTCTGTTTACAGTGGTCAGTTGCCTACCCATAGAAATAATTCAGAACTGCATCTGTCTTTAATATTAACAATATAATTAACAACAACTGCAATTATTACACTATGAATGTGCATAGCCCTATGTTCCCCACAATAAACAAGGCCTGGCATAATTGCTTTACCTAAAGGGCTTCGTTTTGTTTGGCAAAAGAACATTTTATAATTCATTCAAATAGTGCCATTGGGAGGATGATGGCCAAGTTTACTATCCTTTTGTATTCTCCCTTAGGTTTCTTACAAACAAACCCAGAGGTAAGATGGACAGATTTTGGGACCAAACAAACAATTTCAGTTATTTGCAGTGGGCTCTATGACATCTCATGCAAGAATGATAGTTTGTAAGCATGCAGAGTTTCAGGTCAATACAAGATGCTTATACCTTTAAATGGCGCTTTGTTGGTTGCATGTATTGTCCCAAGGTCAAACAATCTACATCTGCTTCACGTAATACTATAAGAGAGCAGTATATCTTTAGTAGATGATAGAATCAAGATATAGTATTGTTTCAATCATGAATATATTTTCTTGGAGATAAAAGAGTGGGTTCATTAGAGTTTGTTTTCAAGAAATACCTTTAAGATTGCAGCTAAAGAGTAGATCTTAATCATCAATTTCAATTCACTAAAAACACAGTTATATCTATGTTTAGATGAAAAAGTATTTTCTCACTAAATATGCATACAGTTTCACCCTAAATGAGGAAGGCTGAACACCATATCAAACATTAAGATTCAGACTCTAAATGAATTAAGCTACTTAGATCTCAAAGAATGAAAACACTTTGCCACTTATTTAAAGACAAATGGATGTAAGGTCAGAGGATTCCTGGATTGGGTTTAAATAGGGATTTTAGAAGAGAGCTGCAGAAGTTGCATACGCACGGCTTACAATGTGGCATCTGAATCCAATACTTAAGCACTCAAGTGCTTGTCCAATGGCCTCTGTGTACACAGAATCCTTACTTACTTTTCAATGCACCATGAACTTGTTCATCTGTTTCACCCAGACCAAGCATGATGGATGTTTTAGAAATTATATCCGGCTGGACCTTTTTAGCATGTTGCAAAACATGGAGTGACTGTTCAAAGTTAGCCCGGGGATCACGAATCTTTCTTTTAGAAAAATAGCAATAAACATTGTTTTAGCATAACAAAAGTGGATTCTGTTGTGTTTCTGAAAAGTCTATTGTAGAGGCTGCCAGATCAGAGTACTCAAACCAAGGAAATATACATAGTTCAAAAACAGTTCCTCTAATGTTTAAGAAAGAAAACCCCACATTTAGTATAACTGAGTTGGAGGTCAACCCACATGGAACCAAGGCTGTGGATGACTTTGCTAGTAATTCACAAATATCTTGAAGAACCAGACATTTATGTAAAGTATAGGTCATTAAAAGTACATCCATCAAAACCTATGGGGCTTACATTAATCATGACTGGCATAAGTCTGACAGATTCCAAAGGGTCTACTCTAAATATCAATAAGTCTGATTCCAGCCCAAGATATTTATGTCTGTTTGTAGTTAACAAGCACAACTTGCAGAAATAAAATTCTTAACTGAATATAATCCAGTGTGGAGCATCAGACTTGGGAGAAACACCCCCAAGTTGATCAACACTACTGCACTTTGCTTTATGAAGCTGAACAAATTTTTCACACAGTACAGTGGTACCTCGGCTCACGAATGCCTCAGTTCATGACCAAATTGGGTCGCAAACAGAAATTTAGGAAAAAAAATTTCCTCCGGTCGCGAACTCCACATCAGGTGAAGATCGCAGTCATGCTGGGTGCGGTGGGGAGATGGCTGTGATCACGCCCATCTTCCCTGCACGAGCGCGTCCACAATTGTGCCCGTCTCCCCCTCTGTGCGCCCGCGATCATGCCCATCTTCCCTGTGATTAAAAAATAATAACAATTACAGAACAGATTAACCTTATTTACATTGTACTTATGGGGAAATTTGACTTGGCTCATGACCAATTTGGGTCACAACCAGAGTCGTGGAATGGATTAAGTTTGTGAGCCAGGGTACCACTGTATAGTTGCCCTGAAACAGAAATTTTCTATGAAGATAGCACCACTAAGCATATAAGCATGTATTTTGCACACGCACAATTCTGAGGAATTCTGTGAATAGATGACAAAAACAGATCCACAGATCTGCCTTCCATAATAAGAAAATGGCTTGATAGTAATGTAGTGGAAATCAGTCAATCTACATACATTGCAGACATCTTTAGCATAAATATTAAAACAAACCAATTAAAATATTCTGCTGTATAACTCTTATTTTATCTGCATATATATCACCTTTCATCACCTCTGCAATTCAGGAACTGTTTCCACATTGTGGGCATATACATCTAGTCCTGACAGAGCAACCTTTTCCACAGCTTGAAGATCTCCCCGGAAATCAGGAGTTAAGCATTCCACCAGAATTTTTGGATTCCTGAGAAGCAAGGGTTAAACACAAACATAAACAATAGTTTGGAAAAAAATTACAATCTTTTAAAAAACTAAAACATGTAAACATAGTAATATTTATACATACCTTTCTTTTAAGTGTGCGACTGTCTTTGCGAAGTGTGCTGCTCCACCATCAGGAATATCTAAGAACAGAGCATGAACAGTATTACACTCAAAACAAATACCGACTTTTACATTGATTTGTTGGTACTAAGGATGTAAGAATGATTTCTATATATTTAATTCCTGAAAAAATAGACTAGCTCAGTGAATATAGGAACGTAACACATACATATGTGTTTACTTCTTGAGCAAGTCAATTCATGTGCTGACTAGATCTATGTATTGATAGGCTTTTACAACACACTGCACATTTAAAGCCAGGGTTTCTGACGCATTAAAGTTTAAACAGTGTATGTTGGTATGCATGCGGCTATTCAGATTAACTTCTTGGAAAATGCATCTTCTATAAATACATATGTTTATATATAATGTGTATGCATTTAAATTTGAATCAGAATTTTAAAATAATAAGATTTCTATACACAATAACATTGTATTTTCTCTAGGAAAGGCAACTGTATGTTTACTTACCATCCCTGTCAACAGAAGTCAATACAACATAATCCAGCCCCCATTCAGCTATTGCTTTTGCTGTATTATATGGCTCATCAGGATCTAGTGGAGGTGGACTTTTTGCTGTCTTTACTGAGCAGAAGCGACAGCCTCTTGTACACGTGTCCCCCATTAACTGAAATAGGTAATAGTTAAATTTATTACTTTTTTAAAGTGGAGAACCACCTATAATAAAATTCAAAGAAAGTCAGCACCTGGCCGATAGATGAGATCAGGTTCAAGGCAAAAAACCTCTGAATGTTTCTGGGCAAAAATATAGAAGAGGCTTATTGCCTTCACTACTTGCTCAAGGACATCCCAAAGATCTCTGGCTAGCTATAAAGGGAAAGAATGCTGGACTGGATAAACCTGTGGTTTGATTCAGCAGGGCTCTTGGGATCTTAAAAGAATGCATTCCATGCTCCAGAACTACTCTAAGCAATACATGCTGCATTGAACCCAATCCTTCCACCTCTTTCCTAGTATGGTTGATGCAGACACCAAATCAGTGCATTGAGACTCTGTGTTCTTAAAGCCGAGATGAAGCAGTGGGCCTTTCCCAAATTTTCCATATTAATGACATGGCACACCCTAAGGCAGGGAGCCAAAATACAGTCCAATGAACTTTGCTGTCCCACATGGTCCCCTAGGATACTAGATATATATGGCAGTCATTACTGAAATTGGACTTTGGGCCAATTCAGTTACCAGAGCAGTATCCTGTTCCAGAATTGCAGTACACAATTCTGCTAATTTATTTAAGTGGGAAGATCACATGGGAGGAATTCTCCATGTCAACACTATAACTCCTTGAGACTCGATGCTATGACATACAGCCATGCCCTATATCTTCACCCTGTTTAAGCATAAGTGAACCATGTTATGAGGCTTTTCAAAAATGTGAACACCACCATTCAGATAACATAAGAAACTGTATTTAGTCTGTTTGCTGTTACTTGAAAACCCAATTTTTCTGTTCCTTATAAAACCCAATCAGTTGTCCATGATCAGCTTACCATTATAGTTGCTGTTGCAGTAGCATATTCACCACCTCCCCAGCACTCTCCAATGTTTGGACAACGCGCTTCTTCACATACCTAGAGTTAATGAAACAATTAACATTGTAAAATTCTACTTTAATTATGGCAAGTACTGGTAGTTTAATGGTCATTATTTCATGCGGTGGGAAACTGAGATTATACTCAGGCCATCAAAATGCAAACACAATGCCATAATTCATGCTATTGAACCACTGCTAGGAATCAGATCTAGCAGATGAATGAATGTATCACACACACTAAGAATACTTGTGCTATACTATAAAGGAGAAGACCATACCACAGTGGCAGAAGCCTTAGCTACATTGGATTGGATCACAGCAAGACACTCTACATACAGCTATTTGAAGAGCTTTTAGAAATGTAAATTGATCTAGAATGCAGCAGTGATAATACTAGTGGACATTCACACATGAAATTATATTACTTATGACTTGACAACTGGCTAGCTACTCATCTGTTTCCAGGCACAATTCAAAGGCGATTATCTGTAAAGCTGTAAATGGCATGGGTCTGGGATACTTTAGAGACCACCACCTCTCATACCAGCTTGCCTGCATCCTAAGAGCTGGTGGCAAAGCCCTTCTTTGTGTCCCTACTATGACAGTGGCTCAGTTGATGGGAATAACAGAAAGGGCCTTTTCAGTGTTCATGCATGAATTATGGAATTCTTTGCCCCATGAGACCTGGTTGGCTCCCTCTTTTGCTGTGCACAGGTAGATGACAACCAATCTTTTTATACCTTTAGGTCTCTGTTTTACTGGCTAAATATTTTATCTAGTGCCTTTGCTTATCTGCCAAATGCATTTTTCCTGTGTTATTGACTTTACAAAATGCTATTTTATTTAGAATTTATTTAAATTGTTTTAAGCAAGCCAGGGTGGTATTTACGCCTTGAGAAAGATATAAATTTTATTATAAACCAAAGTAATAAGGATAGACCTCCAAAGTGGTATCCTGTGTGGTATTTAGCCCATCTGAAGTATGTAACTTGGTGCAACCTGTTATGGCTGTGATTTAATGGCAAAGAGCAGAGCCTTGTTTGCAGGAGGAAAATGTCATAACAATGCAAACCACTATTTCAGTGAATGAGAACCCAGTTCTGGGAATAAAATATCAATTTCAAGCTAACCGTCTTAAATTTACAAGCTGCTTCTAATCACTTTCCATTAGATTCAAGTTCCATTGCAATGGACTTTTTAACCAAGGAAGTGTAGCTACAATTGGAATCTTAATCATCAATCATCCAGATTATTCAGAATTATTTAGCAGACATTATATTTACCGTATGTAGATTTAAATTACGCAACGTATTCTTCAATTTGTTATAATTTTTACCAATTGGAATCTCAGTTTTCAGCCATGGAGGAAGTCGCAGCCTAAAAATAAAATATTTAGTTTGGTTTGTCAGACAAGTTAACTGTTTGTTGGTCTGAGAAATTACTTAGCTTTCCACATAGCTAATTTATTTAGCAAATAAACTATTCTCCTCATTCTTAACTTCTTACTCAGCAGTTACATGCAAGTAGTTCAGACTACATGAAGGCTTTATATGGATTTCTAAAAGTTAATTGCTCCTGGCACATTTTATACCTTTCCATAACCTAATCAGATGGTAGAGTGCTAAAATTTTAACTGTTTCCTTTTCACAAAGCAGGTCATGGTCTCAGCTTTTGGATGAAATATGTCCATTTGAAATGGTGTATTTTTATTATTAAAAATTATTTGAAGCATATATCCTTTCTCTCTTTTCTCTTCTAAAAACAATGCTTCTTACAAAACTTACATCCTGTTTAGATAGATGAGGAGATATTAGGGAGAACAAAAGCCCACACAGGTAATGGAAACTTTGGCTCATGTTGTCCACAACATGAAAATGCAACTATTTATAAATGTCACTCTAGGATGGGAAAGCATCAGTAAGAATTTTTTAAACATACCTTTCTCCTTTTTGGCGCTTTAATGCACCTTTATATTCTTCCCATTTAGTTTTGTCTGAAAGTTCCCCAGACACAAAGTCTTGTAAATTGGGTCCATTTTGCAGCAGTCCCTTCTGTTCTTCTGGCAGTGAGCTTGATGTTCTGGATTGGTTGTGTTGCTTGTTTTCAAACACCTGAGAAAAAGTGATTGCATGTATTTGCAAAAGTGATTTAGACATTTAAAAGGTAACCTCAGTATTATGCAGAAATGTAAATGTGTAGATCTTGACTCAAGGAGCCACAAAGAAAGTTTTCTGACACTCAAGGGCCATGCATCTACATACTCTAGTCCTCCATATACACACCCTTCACACTTCTCTCATTCCATTAATTTATTTAAAACATTGATACTCTGCTCTTCAGAAAGAAAAGACCTAAACTAGCTTCTCAATTGTTAAGAGCAAGCATGTCTCTATCCTACAGTTTATAAGCTAAAGGCATAAGTAGAAAAGGGTATGAGCCGAAAAAGAAAAACAAAAATACTGAGTTCTTAATGTTCTAATATTCTTAGAATGGACAGCCATAAAGCAGCTGGATGTTACTGATGTGCCAGAAACCATTTGGAATGGAAAACATGAAAGACTGAAAGCCAAAAATTGCTGGTCTTCCAGCACAGTCAACAGTCTGTGTCTCCCTCTTCTGCAACCTTCTATCAGCTAAAACTGATTTTTCAGCTACACTCCTACTTGAATTACCATATTTATCAAAGCACTGAAAACCTCTTGCCTGGATTACTAATGTACTCTACATAAGGCAGCTGTTGAAAATGGACCAGGCACATCAACTAATTCAGAGCAGGGTGACACAGCTGCTGATGAGGCCCTTAAGATCACATCAAGCCAGTCCTCTGTTGACAGCACAGGCTGCCTGTTTTAGTCTGGGCCCAATTCTGACTGTTGGTCAAAATTTCTTCTCACTGATATCAGAATGTAGGACATGGAATAATCAACTCAAGCTGTGACAACCCACATTCAGGTTAGATATCAGGAGAAGTTTCCTCACTATTAGAGCAATATGACAGAGGATTCAGTTGCCTAGAAAGGTCATGGGCTCCCCTACATCACACACATTCAAAAACTGGATAGTCATCTCAGCAGCATAGCGTAAATGGGTGACTGGCATCTGCAGAGGGTTGGACCTGATGCCCTTCTCGATCCCTTTCAACTCTCCCATTCTACGATTCTATGAAAGCCCTAAACTGCTTGGGGCCAGGATGTTTGGGGGAACACCGGCTTCCATATATCACTACCTGATCACTAACATTTTCAATGAAGGTTCTCATCTAGGAACCACCCCAACGAAGTGCGACACCAGTGCAGCCTACATCGGCCTTTAGGTACATCTGATTCCTCAAAGATTTAACCTTAAGACTTAAAGACGGATGCTGAAATCTGGCCCACAGCAACTCTTAGCCACCGATATACTAGCACAACCATCCCCAATCAGGTGCCTCGCAGACGTGTTGAGACTACAACTCCCATAATTCGCCAGCCAGCCATTTTGGCTGTGCGATTATAAAATCGTAGTCCGGCATCTAGTTGGGATAAGGCTCCAATGTCAGTATATTAAAACGACGTGCCTAAATACCACAAACAGACAAAACTGAGTGACGAGGTGCTTTGGCTTGCAGCAAGTGTCAGCGAATACGGCCCGAAAAACAGGAGAGGCTTCGCAAATTATTATTATAAATCACGAAGTTCCACGAAACAGCTCCCTCCGCCTCGGGCTCCCTCCGCACCGCGCGACAGATCGGAGGTCGCTCCTTCATAATTGCACTATGGAAGACGCCTCCCTCCGATACTCACCGGCCTCCCCAGTCCCGTCAGCCTCTTCAGGTTCACGGTAACGGTGCCTGTGGCAACAGGCCCACGGGGAAAGACACCCAACTGTAGGAGAGCCATGTCTAACCCAAGCCTAGCCCGGGAGACCCTCCTCCCTGGCCGAGGCTAGGCTGCGGCTAGAATTCTCCGCCGGTTGCAGCCTCTCAATGGAAGTAGCCGCTCGCCTGAATCCTCGACAGTCAGACAAGACCGCTTCTGTTCGACAATTGATATGTTTTGCCTGCGCTCGCAAGTGACCCGAACGCGGTGAGGTCAGTGCTAGACGTCAAGAGCGCTACAAGACCGTGATGACGTACGACGCTCTTCCTTTCTTCCGCTTGCTTCGCTAAAAGGTATGGATGCTGTCTTCCTTTCCGTGAAGGGACGGGGAATCCAGTTCCATCCGGGGCGCCGGGAGCATCTGGTGGCCTGAACGTCACGCGACAGCCACAGGCAGGAACCCACGTAGGGAATAAGGAAAGCGCCGGGGTGGGGTTCGGCTGGGCCCCGGAGAGAGAGATCCAGAAGCGGGCCCTCCCCGTGCCCTGTCCTGGACATGGAATTCCGCGCCTCCGTCCAGTGCACGCCGGTGTGAACTGGCCGGCTGCGGAGTGCCATTCGCGCCTGGGCCCCATTGCGTGGGGTCTACTGTGCGCCGTTCTGCCCGAGTGAAAGTGCTGTGAACCGGCAGCGGCGTTTGTTTTTATTTTAACCGTTAAGAGGACTAACGTGGCTTAAGTCCGGTGTGAAACCAGAGGAGAAACTATTTTAGACCAAGGTTGCATTTCAAATAATCAGTAAGTGGTATGCAAGTAGGCAATTTAGTTGCGTTAAAATGTGCTGTGTTACAGCCCCCATCATTCCCATCCAACATGGCCAGCGTTTTGGTTTTATAACAGTTAAGCTCTGGGGAGGACCATGGCGTCTGCCCTGGGTACAAGATCTTTGCTGTGACACAATTGGTTGAGAAACAGAACACTGTTTATAGCACAGAACAATGGTACAGTATTCGGGTATGGAAAACAGCATTAAGAGTCAGTGTGGTGTAGTGCTTAAGAGTGCAGGACTGGGACGTACGCGATACAGGTGCCTAGTCTCCAGTCATCTGTGGAGCTCACCTGGGTGACTGTGTGTCAAGAGTCTGTCATGATTTTGTTTTAGTTGTAGTTTTAGAAAAAAACATGTAATAGAGATCCAGTGGCTATTTTATTATATCTGTAGGGTCTTTTTTTTCTTTTTAGCGTTAAAATGAAGACCATTCTCAGCAATCAGACTGTTGACATCCCTGAGAAAGGTATGTGTATCACTGGGTATTTTTTAAAAAATTTAAAAAAACAGGATGAAGTTTTTAAAAAGAGCTTAATATTCCTGTCAAGTGTCATCACAGGATGTTATACTATGTTGTTTATCTTTCTTTCTCCAGTTGATATCACTCTGAAAGGGCGGACAGTTATTGTCAAGGGCCCCAGAGGAACCTTGCGAAGAGACTTCAATCATATCAATGTGGAGCTCTCTCTCTTAGGGAAAAAACGCAAGAAGGTGAGCAAGTTGTAGATATTTTGGGGGTTACGTATCACTTTTCTGTTTTCATTGATTGGAATGTGTTGATCCTATGTCATGTTTTTGGGTTCCCAGCTTTGCACATCAGCATAATTTTCTTTCATTCTGTGGCTGAAATCACACATCTGGTAGTAGGATCACGTCTTTGATGAGCAATCCCAAAAATAGTGAGGCAAGAAGGTAATTTGTACTGCAAAAAAGCAGTGGGTAGGAGAGTCTGCTAGCAGAGTTTCCTCAAAACTGCCTCTGCCCAAGTGCCTTTCTTTATGATGCAACGGAAATGAATGTGGAAGAGTGAGGAGGGAGTTACATGAAATGCTCAAAATGAAGGAAAAAGATTACTGAATTGGAAAAAAAATGCAGAGAAGGGCAACAAAAATGATCAGGGAGCTGGAGCATCTCTGTGAGGAGAGGCTGCAACAGCTGGGACTTGTCCAGCTTAGAGAAAAGGTGAGGTAAGGGGAGATGATAGAGGTATTTAAATTGTGCACAGCTTGGAGGAAATGGAGAGGGAGGCATTCTCCCTCTTCCATAAAACTTGAACCCAGGGTCATCCCATGAAGCTGATTGAGGAAAGGGTCAGATCAGACAGGACAAAGTACTTATTCATGCAACATATAATTGAGCTATGGAGTTAGCTGCCATAGGAAATAGTTTATTTATCACATTTGTATGCTGCCCCATAGCCAGAGGGATGGCTTTGAAAAGGGATTGGACAGATTGGATAGAGAGGAGGCTATCAATGGCTACTAGCCTTACTGAGGTCTTGCACCCCTTCTGCTTGAGCAGTCCTCTGGACAGCTGGTTTGCAACTGTGTGTTTGGAATGCTGGACTAGGTGGACCTCTGGTCTGATCCAGCATGGCATTTCTTATGTTCTTTATTTATTGCCGGTTTGCTGCAAGCTGCTCCCTCACTCCACAGTTTGGAGCAGAGTTGCAAGACTCTGCAAGACTGCAAAGGGGAGCAGTTCCTGTGGAAATGTCTAAGGCTGTTTACTTACTAAAGTGCAGGAAGAAGTAGCAAAGTATATCAAGATAGTCTGCATCTGATAGCCCTTCTCCTGTCTTGAGTTTTCCTGAGCTTTAAGATCTTTGTGGGAGGCCATGCGTTCAACATCTTTTGCCTTCAGAGGTGATGTGAAAGAGGGCCTTCTCAGTGGCTGTTTCCAGGCTGTGAAATTCTAAGCTGGGAGAGGCTAGATTTGCCTACAGGCAAAGACATTTTTTAAAATCAAAGTAGGGTTCTGGCATTCAAGCAAGTCTGTTGGGTTGGATGCTGTTTTTATTCTGTTAATGTTGTTTTCAATTGTGATCTACTTCATTTATGCATGATAGTATGTCACTTAAAGTAGGTTTTCTTGGTAGAAAAGTGGGGTCTAAATTGATACCTAAATGGATTATTGGTCTGTTAGAAATGCTTCTTGCTCATAAGCTGCTATATTTAAAATCTGTGAATTAGAGAAACAGTCATTGGCAAATCAAATACCAAATATTTTTGTGTTTGTTATCATTTGTTTACTCTTAGATTATAGTATACTAGGTGTGCAATCCTGTGGCAGCCAGACACTGTCTAGATAGCCATAGGAAAACCTGGAGTTCCAGATCCAAGCTGAGGAAAATGTTACAATGCAGCTAACAGAGTTTGTTCTACACTGGCTCTTCCTCTGAAGATGAAGACTTGGAGCCAGTGCTGGGGTGCATTCCAGTGAGAGGGGAGAGCAAGGCTTCACTCAGATACAAGGAAACCTGATGGTTCCTCAATCCCTTCTCCTCACAAGCAGGGCTAAAATATTTAGACAGCCAAAATCAGCTGACTTAAGTATTTTGGAGGCGATCCTTGCCTCCATGCTTTACCTGCTGTCCATTGGATTCCTGTAATCTGTCATGTTCAGAAGGTTACAGGCACCCACATTGGATAGCACTGCCTGTGGGCCATAGCCCTTGGCAGTGTATGCACAGATCACTTCTCAGAATGTTGGAATACTGTTGCTTCACAGGATAGGTTTCCTAGGGGTATTTGGCTTAAGTCTCTCCAGGTCCATTATTTACTTTAATCCCAACCTACAATGTGGGTCCCTCTGTTAATGCTGTATTATACATTTTATTACCTTTAATATAATTATATTGATATATCCTTTCTTTTTATCTAATGGTCTCTTTTCAAAAAAGGATTGTGGCAGTATCTGGATGGAACTGTAAATAGAAGCACTCTGTACTGCAGTGTTTTGATGCAGGTCCTATTTTGGTAGATCTGTATAGAGAGAATGAACAAGTAATTGAGATATGAGCTACCCTTCCCCATAAAGGATAAAGTGCTAGAAAAGCAGCTCTAACCTAGTTCACATGAGATAATATCTTCTCCAGAATCAGTTCTAACCACTCCAGGGTCAATATTCCTGTGGATAATGTATAATGTGTGAAGTGAGTCTATGGGTGGCAAATTGCTGGCAACAATTCCTGTATTGAAGTAGCTTGAAAAGGAACAGTGCAACTGCAGAAATTGTTGTCCAGCTGCTAGTTGGATTGTTGTATGCCAATTTACTGCTTACGTTATCTTTGGATTCCTAAGAATGGTTGGGATATGCATATTGAGAGTCTAATGTCTTGTGTGAACCAACCCTCTTTTTACCTGAAATGGAAAGTATTTTGTTTTAAGCAGGTACCATCTATATGTCAGGAATGTGTGTTTTCAAAACTACACATAGCACTGCAGCACCTTGCTTTGGGTTTGCAGAAACACATTTTGGCTGCTGCCACCAATCAGAAGAGCAGAGTCTGCTGGGCTAATTGTAGAACTTCTGTCCAACCAAGAAAGGAAGATCCATCTCACCTCAGCTAGATAGAAGTGCCTGTTTTCAACTCACTAGTTGGTCTCCTTCCTTGTCCCTTCTCTTCCATGGATGAATTATTTTCTAAATTTGTGATTTTGAGGGGAAAGCCACTCTTGCTTTTTTATTGATGTGAAACAGTTTTCGGAGACAGCAGTTCTCTGAGAAGTGTTTGGAAATAATAAGTTGGTTAATTAAAGATACTTACTGCTACTAGTTTAGCAATTAACCTTGTGAAACATTTGGTGCTGGTCATGTTTTAGGGAGAAAGTTGTGAGACTATAAATTTTAAGTGAACAACTTTGTGTTTTTAATACATGTATTTTAATTTTTACAGCTGCGGGTTGACAAATGGTGGGGTAACAGAAAGGAGCTGGCAACAGTCCGCACAATTTGCAGTCATGTGCAAAACATGATTAAGGGTGTCACATTGGTAAGTCCTAGTTTAAAATGCTTACAGATATTAATACAACCAACTTCATCCATGGAGCTTTTCAGTGGCATTACTTTTAACGTGCTATGTGCTGTGCTATATGCTGTGTAAGGCACTTTCATGCCTTTAGCTTGAAGTAAAGAAAAACATTGGCAGGACCAATCCTTTGGCCCATGCACCATGCCTGAGGTTCCATAGGATATTTTGGATTGAGGTCGGAAAAAGGAACCCCAGGCAGGGAATCAAATCTTTATCTCTCCTGCCAGTGAAAACAGCTGTACTGTCTGCACTTGAAGCTCAGAATGAGGAGGCAGAGATCATCTCTATTGTTTCTCCTGCTCTGCATAGAATGACCAAAAGCCTTCAAGTTTAAGGGCTTGCAACAATTGTAATAGGATTATACTATAAGATACTAGATTTACTCGTTTTTGTTACTTTTGATTTAACCTTTTTCAGGGATTTCGTTACAAAATGAGGTCTGTGTATGCCCACTTCCCCATCAATGTTGTCATACAAGAGAATGGCTCACTTGTGGAAATCCGTAATTTTCTTGGGGAGAAGTATATCCGTCGAGTACGCATGAGGCCTGGTAAGGAACTGGTTAACATAATAGTATTCCTTACTTTCTTTGAGATGTAAAAGAAATGACAGAAGGGATATCAGTTGCTTCCATAGACTCTTACCATGTTCTCTGCAAACATTTTTCCATGAAGTAACACTGAACCTCCCCCCACTTAAATATAGCTAAAAAGATTTGAAAAGACTGTGCTATTTTTTCATTCCATATTACCTTCAGCTTTTGAAATAAAATATTTTAAGACTGCAAAATTCATAAGTGCTAAAATAGTCAAGGTAATACAGGCACATTACTTTTTTTTGTCAGAAATGTTCTGGCTCGGATGTTAATGTCCTGTTTCTTTGAAGGAAGGAATTGGCTGTAGACATGCTGTTATTTCAGGAACTTAAAAGTACCAATGGAATGGTCAAGATGGTGCTTGTAAGGTGATTTAGATCCCAAGACTAGTTAATCCTCAGGATTTCAGTCTCTGTGGACAGGATGAAGCTGTATATAATAAGGCATTGGGATTAGATAGTTATGGTATTCAACTATATTTTAATCGTAATTTTTAAAGTATGCACTTCTGTGACTGGATACATATGTCCTTTTTTACCTTTTTAAGGTGTCAATTGTGCAGTATCTCAAGCCCAGAAAGATGAGCTGATCCTTGAAGGAAATGACATTGAATTGGTATCTAACTCTGGTATGTCAGTTAAACATTTGACTTTGGAAATAATGATTTTACTCTGATAGAGGGTATTATTCATAACAATTGCTAAGGTGAACTTGTATTCTATGTATATAATCCAAAACACATAAACATTTCAGATCATTTCTAAAATTAAGAGAAACTTCTTTCGTGTACAGTAACACCACAAGGAATGTTAGTCTGTTGCTATTGTATCTCCAACTGCAGATAGCTGTATTAAACATTGATATTGAGTAGAACTGAGGGAATTGGATTTAGCCGTGGAGCATCCAACATTTGATTTGAGATGGCAATATCTGGCCCAGGTCTCATTAAATTGTTCTGCTAAATTAATATAGGGAGAATCTTTTTCTTATGCCAGTCTAATATAAATCTACCTTGTTTTGTTTATAGCTGCCTTGATCCAGCAGGCTACCACAGTAAAGAACAAAGATATCAGAAAGTTCTTGGATGGTATCTATGTTTCTGAGAAGGGAACAGTACAACAGGCAGATGAATAAAACTAGAAGGTTAGTATATATTCTTTCAACATGAACGTACAAGTGTCTTATGTAAGGGCCTGAGCTCTTCTTACGGAATTGAGTGGGAGTACTTTTTGGAGGAAGTGTTTTGGCATCCCACATACTGAAATCAGTAATATCACTGTTGTGTCTATGATGTAGGGAATTGCTCTTGGATTATATACTATAGGCACGGGCTTGGAATGATGTGTTCTGTGGAAAGTTTTATGTTCCCAAATGAGATACAGAAGTCATCACTCTTCTGTATAGATGTGTAACTATACAGTGGTGCCTCGGCTCATGAACACCTTGGTTCACAACCAAATCGGGTCACGAACAAAAATTTCATGAAAATTTTGACTTGGATCATGAGCTCCGCATTGGGTGGCAACCAAGATTGTGGCCATTTCCCCACCCCACCCCAAGTGAGAAGATGGCCACGATCGCAGTTGCATTTGTGCAGGGAAGACATAGAGGAGCTGACGACAGAAGAACTTGCTGAACTCCAGAGTGAGCAGCAGAAGGTACTTGCTGAGGAGGATTCCACTGAGGAAGAGGAAGACAGGGAGGAGGTTAGCAGTGATGTGATACAGTCCATTATGAAAAAATGGAATGAGTGCCAGGATTTCTTTGAGAAGCACCACCCCAACATAACTGTAACGAACAGAGTGTTGAATCTGAAGAACAATAACATGGTCTCTCATTTCTGGAGGGTTATACAGCGCAGGAAAAACCAAGTGACTATAGACAGATTTTTCACCAAAATTGACCCTGCAGCTAAGAGGCAAAGAAGAGAGGAAACCCCTGAAAGAGATTTCCCCAATGTCCTTATGGAGGGGGACTCTCCCTCAAAACAATCTCCCCTCCACCTAGGTTAGTGTTCTCCACTGTACTGTATAGTACTTTGTTACTTTGTTGTTCTTTGTCACTTTGTTTCATTTTTTTCTGATTAAAAAAATAGTTACAGAATGGATTAAGCTTATTTACATTGACTCTTATGGGGAAATTTGACTTGGGTCACAAACCAGAGTCGTGGACTGGATTAAGTTTGTGAGCCAAGGTACCACTATATAGATGTGTAAGCTAGTCCACCTGTTCAGAAATCCAGAGTTGTAAGGGAATGGTAAGAAATTTGTAACTACTCAGCAGGACCATAAGACACCAAGCTCACCAAGTGGTTACATTTACTCCTTTTCAAATTACCACTTGGTAAATCACATCTGCATCCATCTTGTTTGAGTGAGTAAGAACAGCTAATAAAGTGCATGTATGAAATGTCTATTCATCACTAGTGTGTATGCACACATCCTTCAGACAAGGAATGTCCTATGACCTATTCAAATCAAAGGGCTTCTTCACACTTACAAGGCTAAAAGATTTATATGCTATTATACATGCAATAAAATTTCTGGTCTGTGTACCAGGGGAAAAAGACCACAATGCTGTATTAACATCAATTTGTACAAATAACATGCCTTTGGAAGGTTTGTCAGTTTTGGCTAATCTAGAAAGTGTATTGAGTAAGGAATTACTTCAGTCCAGTGCATGTTTGGTGGAGGTAGATAGTGGTGAAAGCACTTTTATAGCCTACCATCTCTGGTTTGTAGGATTCTGAACATAATATTAATCATCTGCCAAACTTCATTGGGCAGAATATGCTGTGCAGCCTCCTTCAACGTGATATCATCTAGATGTATTGGACAGTATTTTCCATTGTCCTTAACCAGTATGGCTGTTCGGTCAGTTGGCTGTGGATGGTGGGAGCTTTAAGCACATCTGGAAAGTACTGGATTGAGGAAGGTCACTATATAGTCTTTGGGCCATCTGTTACTAATGCAGTACCAACATGGTTCTTTATGGGGCAAAGGATGCAATAAATCCTAGTAGGATACAGTAAATGAGACTTCTATAACTTTGTAATGCTGAGTCTGCATGATCATTGTAAACCACTGTGTTTTATTTAATCTGGTGTGCACTGCAGCCCACTATGGGTTGTAATACATGCCAGCAGTGATTTTGAATATTCAACTCCTAGGAAAAGGTCTTACTACGTTTTGTTTAAATTTATCACTCCTTTAACTTGGTTGCAATAGACACATTAGTCTTAACTACTTGAAATATTGCCATACAGTTAAAGAACATACTTTAGATATTTGAGTCATCTGAATTATTGATTGCTTCTTGCTCGCCCTGAAGTGTACTCTTTCGTTTTCTTCTCAGACTACACTTCAACTTTTTTCAAAGCTCTTAATTTGTTTCCTATAGTCAGGCTGAAGTCTAACTGATAGGGGCAGCAGTTGAAATATCAGCATGCAAGTTTAATTCTTGATGCTCAAACTCAATGTTTTTTATTATTTAGTTCATGAAGAACTTAAAAGAAAGCCTGTCACATTATTTTGGCGATGTTTATATAGGATAGTAAATGCTGTAAAATATATGTTCATTATACTTTCATTGTTCTTAATGCTTTAATCTTATTCACAGTTCTAGATCCTGAGATGACAACCCAGGCACAAGACACTTCTAACCTTCAACCAGATTGGCTGAACAGTTTTCTTTTATTTGGAAAAATAAAACTTACCTTTCAGTGTGCTGTGTGCTATGTTTGAGCTGATTCTACCACTTTTGTATTAAAGGTAAATAGAGTTGAATGCTTTGTAAAGCTTATCCTAGACAAATAATCTCTAAAACCAAAGCAATTCTGGTGAATAATAGTCTTTTCAGTTCTTTCATTATAGAGACATTGCTGATGAACATCTCCAGGCTGTGCTTTCAAGTCTTTTAATTTTTCCCGCAAAGTATAGATTATCTTTGAGACTTCTCAATTTAGTAGACTCCTGATAGCAACCTGCAACCCATTTGAAAACTGGCAGGAAAAGTTAAATAGAAGTTGTAGCCTTGATTTAGGTTTAAGGAAAGGTTGCCAATTTCACACAAACACAATCCAGACTGTTAGACTTTGGAATTTGGTTTACCAGATCAATGTATTTATTAAAAACATAATATGCCTCTATTTTTCTCTCTCCATTGACCCAGCAACTTTTAAAAGTATGTGATGGTATTTTATACAAGATAAAGAAATGAAAATGGAAAAGCTTAGTAGCCCACCTAAACTGTGTGTGGGAGGTAAAACTGATAGCATGAACCATGTCTGTTGTGCAGATTGATAGATTCATGTTACAGATGTCCCAGGTATTTCAAGTGTAGTTTGCAGTATGTCCACATTCTAGATAATTTTCAAACATGTTGCCATTCTAAGTGGAAAAGAAAACACATTTCTGCAGCTTATGAAGGTGACTTTAATAGATAAAGTGCAGTATTAGAGTGACAGTTTCAGAGAACTGCCAGTCAGCACTGAATATTTGAACTTGAATACAGAATTGTGTGATTTGCACACCTCAAATAAATATATTACTATAAAGTTTAACTACTACATCTTTCCCACTGACCCCAAAAATAAGATAGATGGTTTGAGCCAACAGAACAAGGTGTATTTGTGTTGCCTTGGTCCTGAAGAACTGGAGTGTAGTCTAGCTTTAAAATAATGGCTCTTCAAAATATTACAGCAGTAGCTTGTGTGTTTGTTTCCGTTCACTAACAGCACAAATAGACCCACATTTTCTAAATATACTTAACAGTGTTGTAGCTCATGCTTGTACCTGGAATGTGTGTATTTCCAACTAATAACAGTTTTTTTCTGGGTTCCAGTAATCTTAAAATTACTATTTTGAAACCTGGAGAGGCCATGCAATCTCTAGTTTTTCTTCATCTAGTTTCTTTATCCAACTGCCTTTGAAGTTATTTCCTGTTTTGAGCCACTGCCTCTTTTCAGCTGATGATAATGGAGGTGCTTCAGCCCCTGTTCCTAAATTACACCCTGTATTTGATAAGAACTGTTAGTGAGCATATGCTGTGAAAGAGCTGTTGCTTTTGAGGAGGGATAGGGAAGGCCTAGAGTCCACAGCAAACACCATCCCCTTTCTTCCAACCACAAATTGCTTAGTGATTTCCTGTGTTTTTCCAGCATATGAAAAGATTGAATCATTCCTCCTGTGGATTAACTACTGGCAGCAAGAGCTTTAAACTGGTATTTTTTTGTGTTTTGCTCTGACCTTTGGCTTCAGTCCCATCCACAACAGGAATGCATCTATTCCCCCTCCAGAGCTCTAAAATTGAATACTACTGTCAGGCTGGAAATGGTTTAACACCCCTGGTTTTGAGAAATGCTTCACTGATCTTTTTGAGCATTTTAGAATTACTTTTACAATGGATTACTACAACTCTTCTGAATTAACATTTTGTTATCAGCTGTATAATAAATACTGCAGTTTGCCTAGATGAATCTCAGTTTTGTGGGGACAAATTGGCAATTGTGACACTCAGATTTTTGGAAGTAAGATCATTGCTTCATAAGAAACATTAATTGATCAGCTGTTTAACAAAAATGATAATGAAGGAACTAAGTTACATCTTCAGACTACAACGGATACAAGCATAGCTTAATGTTGTAAAGCTGAAGACCTTAATATAAAAGTGCACATGTATTTAAATCTTCAAGTCCTTCTCAAGTGAAGTGATTATTCCAGGCTACACAAGAGAAACACTTTGGTCTGAAATATAATAACTTAAAACTATTTATTTATGAAATGCTATCATATGACAGCACTTCAACTTGCATTATCTGAAAGGTGAATTTGAAGTCTAGGGAGAAAAATGTTAAAGGGGAGGCCCTGGATATCTGACAACTTTCTAATCGTGTTACTCTGTTGTACAGAATGACTTCACACAGAATAAAAAATGACTATCCTGGGATTCCCAGCCTGTAAGCATGAAATATTGATTCTAGATAGCAGTCCTGAATCAATTATCTTCAGTATTCTAGTAATACTAAGGATGAATCGATTGGTGTTGCCACAATACCTGTGGAATGGACCACCACTGGTGGTGTGAATTCTTGCTCTCTCCTGTAGCTTCCATGGATGCATCATATGTCCTGGAGGGTTTGGTGACCCTCTGGAACAGATTTGGGGGCAGCATGATGAAAATAAACTTTCATCGGGTAAACCCAATCATACCATGTCAGATTTAACCTTATATGTTTTCTTTTATAAGACCCTTGGTATACATAAGTGGAGTGACTTGGAGTGCTTCCAACAATTTCTCACCCTTGCTGTTGACGTATGTGCAGAAGGAAGATGGATCTTTATCTCGTTTGAGAGCATTCTTATGTCTAGTATTAACAGGAACACAAATGTGTTGGCAGTTCTTTGACCAATACCATTTCCTGTTTTTTCTTTTATGGAAAATGAGACTTAAAAGCAAGATGAGAGCAAAGATAAGGCAGCATCCAAAAAATATGAGTGGCTTTTGCTCCATTAAAAATAGGCAGAGAGTACAGGGGTCTTTTTCATTTAGTTTACGACACACACTATTTGTGGGATCCAAGGGGAAGCCATTGTTGCTAATCAGATGGTTGTAGAATTGGACAGAATCCTTGGCTTTGGAGTCGGAGGTGAAGAATCCAAGTCTGGGTTTGGATATTTCATCAGTCAACTTAAATGCAAAATATCCTCTAATGTTGACTTTGTCAATGTGGTAAGCTGGAAGCAAAAAAAAAAAAGTTAATTTGAAATACTGCCAGTTTACTGTTTGAATGAAACAGCTATTTTATATATTCACAAAAAATCATTTTGAAACAGTCATTTTCACTGTTCACTTGCCTCTCATTCTGTCCCCCTCCCTTCCTCAGCTTTCCCTTAGTTTGCTTAATTGTCTCTTTTAAAAAATATAAACTATTTTTTGGGGGGGAGGCAGACATTTCATGTCACTTAAAGAAAACCACTTTGGGAAGAGGCTGTATGGTTTCTGCCACAGAAGTCCCATTTCTAGAACATCTCTAGTAGATTCAGAGAAGCTGCAGGGTGTGTGTGTGTTGGGGGGAGGGGGTGGAGATAGAATCTGCATTACTAGCAGATGCTCAATGAGAAATGGCACTCAGCTGGATTTCACCAGAAGTGCATTTGTTGTCAAGTATTTTGAGCATGTTCTTAATAGTTGTCTTTTGCCATCCACTTACCTCTTAAAGCCTCCTGTACGTGCTTTTCAAGATAGTATTTACGAAGTTCATCATTTTTTAACGACTGATCATCTATCCCACTTGCTGTGATGTAGATATCAATGCCACCGTAACGCTTTTTAATCCAGTTTAGGATTTTGCGTAACCCTGAAGGTACAACTGCTGAGCGAGATGGAGAACTCAGACAGGTGAGATCTTGCAGGAACCGAACATCCTGATCAAATTCATGCCGGCTTCCATTTTTCGGCTCATTGCTCACAAGTCTTGTGGTGAAGTGATTCAGTGCATAGAAATCAGCTGCTCCTTTTACAAGTGTCTTCTCTTCGTTGGTAAAATGTGGTAAAGAGGAACCAGAGAGGCCTTTGCTGTTCTTATAGTCAAGGTATTCTCTCATGGCTTCTGGATAGTCCCCTGTCTTAAAAATTGGATCTGAAAACCAAGCTATTTCAAACTGAAGGAACCTTTCTGCAGCTTCCCAGTGGCTGTCAAGAAAGGGATTGGCAGGTTCTGCCCAGTCCGAATGCAAAGACAAAGATACCTGACCATCCTGAAAGGATCGATACTGTTTATCATAGACATGCCAAGCCAAGGCATGCGCAATCAATAAATTGTGTGCTGCCTGGTAGGTGTCATTACTACTGCTGTTGTAAATAGCACTGAGTCGGTTGGGTTCATTGATTGTGATCCAGAATTTAACCAGGTCTCCAAGTTCCTGAAAACACATTTTTGCATAATTTCTAAAAGCCTGAACCGTGGACTGGTTTAGCCATCCACCATTCTGAACTAAAGGTACAGGCAGACCCAGTGAGCGGTGAGTTGGATAATATAAGGTGACCATGGGTGTGATGTTTAGCTTGAGCATCTCGCTAATCACACAACGATAGTATCGAAGGACTTGGCTGTTGACAGATGACAAATTGCCACTGGGCAGAAGTAGCTGCCAATTGAGCGCAAATCTGTAGTGGGTGATCTTCAGCCTAGATAGCAGCTCCCGTTGTGCTTTAATGCTGACAAAGTCTGTACACTGGGCTGGCCGGGTTTTCAAGTTCACTCCTTTTACTGGGTAAAGAAGTCCATCTCCTGTAATATTCCAGAGATACAGCTTGGGATCACAGAACTGTGGTGAGGAAGCTACTGATTCTGCCTGAAAATGAGATTTGATTTTTAATTTAAGAAAGAACATTGGTTCATTTCCTCCAGCCCTGGACAGATCAATGTTATTTGTTCCTTTAGGTTATTTTATGTCTGTTCCTGCCAGTATTACCAATCTAAGGAATAAATAGGAATCTGGTTTCCCCAGCCCTTCCTTACTAGGTGCCAGTAGAACCAAAATAAAGTAAGTGGTGGTGGGGGGGGCACTACCAGGTTCAGAGCAATTACTGCTGTTGTGTGGAGGTGCTGGTTTGTATAACTACTGATTATGCATGGATGATCTAATTGGGAGACCTGGTGTAAAATGTCACAAGCATCAACTGGATGAGGGTTTAACAAGCCACAATGCAATATAGACAAGATGGCAGTACTGTTGGTGGATGGCTCACCTTCTAATCTAGACTGTTATCAAACCACTCTTGGAAGGTTCAAGTTTGCAGTTAGGGGGTGCTTATTGCAGCAGCATTGTCCATAGAGTCTCAAGCACAAAGTGCCTTATCAACTCATGTTCCAGTGGCAGCCCTACCAAGATGGAGGTATCTTGCCCACAACCTCCCATGGCCAGATAACCTTCTGTTTAGACTATTGCCATGTGTTGTATGTGGGTTTGTCTGTAAAACTGCCTGGAAACTGCTGTTGGTCCAAAAACGGACTTCAGGGATTATTTAAGACTAGATATTACATCTGTTCTTAATCTGGTACACTGGTTCTGCATCCATTTACAAGCCTAATTGAAGTACTGAAGGTTTTAGCCTTAGCACGCTTAAAGGATCTTTCAGGATCACCTCCTATATTTAGTTCTGTGTGATTCTGTCAAGTGAGTTGAGGTGCCTGCTGGAAAGAGGGCCTTCTCAATGGTGACACTCTGATAGTGCAATAGCTTCCTAGAGAAGCTCCCTTCATATCTTCTTTATGGCCTTTTTAGCATGAAACAGGTGAAAGATTTGCAGATTATCTGTGCACTGACATTACAGAGGAAGTAGAGACTAGTCTGAACTACATGAGATGTTCAATGTGTTTTCTGAAGCTGCATGAATCTCTTTTAGAAATGTGACAGCAGCTACAGAAGGGAAATCAGACTTCGGGAGTGCAGTGGGAGAATTGGGACAGACCCCTGTCAGATATGAAAACTGGGCAGTGTGTCAAATTGCATACCAAGCAACAGGAATGAGTCACAACTTCAGCTGAGAGTCACAGGCTATCCAAGTGCTTAGGTGAGGATATGCTTTGCTCACAGGGATTAGAATATCTGGTCTTACCTGAGCCTAGCCATTTGATAACATACGTACTTTCTGGGGACCATCCTTCCATCCACCCACCCTGACCAAAGTGGATATTATTACAAAGAATAAGCAGCATCTAAGGACTCAAGGTAAGCACACATTTTAGATCACCTCAGAGAGCCTACATACAATCTAACTATGGTGTGTACAGTTTTAGTTATTTCAGTTGTCTTAAAGTTATTAGGTAAGAAAGACCTAACTGAAATATTTTAAACAGCAACAAATATTGGGAGGTATCCCTCCCCAAATTAGTAAATGCAGCTGCCTTACTGAACCAGTTTGCATCAGATATTTCTCTCTGTATTTGTTATTCTTTCTTTTTTCTGACTTCCATTGTTAGTAGAAGTTTTCATTTATTTGCATTTTATCCTTCTGAACTTTTTTCAAATGAATCCATCCACCAAGTGCCTCCTGCTGTCCTAACAAGGTTTTCCACAGAAACTAATAAAATGCTACATATTCAAAACTATCTATTAGTGCATATTAATGTCATAACTAGTATAATATATACAATCCTTTATTAGTAACTGGCTGAAGCTGAATTGAATTATAGTTAATGTATCAGCCATTAAAAGTATGTCATCTTGCTCTGTTTCCAGAGAAAACCACTAACACCAAACGTAGAAATGAATCTGAAAATTAGCATAGATTCAGAGTGCCCCCTGTATGTGAGACCCATACACATGCAGTGCTGCCATCGGGGTAGGACCTCAGGGCAAATGTCCAGAGCACCATTCAGCAGAAAGAGCATGAAGGTGCCCTGGCTCAGCAGGGCTGCATTTTACCAAATTTTGAAATGAATGAAGTGATTCACATTACCTTCTAACAAAGGGGAAGGGCAGAAGGCCATTAGGTCCGAAGGCTGACAGAACCTAATTACACTACAGGATACGTGTGTACTCATTTTCACCAACTTGTTCTTCCCTAGCTACAGTCCCAACCCACTCTATGCAAAAGTGGAAGCTGACCTACAGGAAATGTTATTACACCTTGCAAAGAGCCTAAGGCAACTTATATGATTCTCTTTCTATTTTGCCCTCACTGAACCCTGTGAAATAGTATAGGCTGAGCATCAGTCAAAATCACCCAGGGAGTTTCATGGCCAAGCTCCTTTCTGACACTGTAGCTATTATAGATATTGATGCAATGACTTTTGGGCATGTGCAAGGGACTGTACAAAGGAAGAGGACGGGACAGTCCTCTGAATTAGCTGAATTTTGCATGCTGTTCCTTGAAAGACAACCACTCATGGCCAATTATTCTTCCGTTATCATTCTCAAAGTATGATGCAGATAAAATGCGAGGGTAGTTGGTAGGAAAAGAATGAGCTCCTCCCAAATCCTTTCTAATCTATGTGTGGCAAGCTGCAGAATATCAATCCAATCAATTCCATGCCCTCCACAAGGTGCTGGAGATCAGTGGAATACCAAAAGCTCTCCAACACAGCATAATTCTATAAATGTGTATGTACTTAGAAACAAGTCCCACTGAGTTTCATAAGGTTTATTCCCAAGTGGTGGAATTCCATCATTCTAAACCTTAAAATAGACTATGGGTCCAAATGCTCATTCCTTATGTAGCTTGTGGTTGGTTTCATGGGTTGACAAATCTGCAGTTACCTGATTTGTAGGTACCCTATTCTAAAACTGGCAAATGCTACTTGCTGACCTCTTGGATTTCTCAAAGTTTGGTGATTCTGTGGCTCATAATTAAGACAAACTGTCCTAATTATGGGACAGGGAACATCCCTAAGTACATATGTGCAGATTCTTCGTGGTCTAGAGTTTGAAGGAAGATACTCAGAGATATGTTCCAGTCTAAATCTACCAAATTCCTACCAAAATCTCCTTTTCAAAGGGGCTCACGTTTTGATAGGAGGCTCTCAAACTCCATTTCCCTTAAAAAAAGGGGTGGGGGAGGGATGCACTTTTACACTCTCCTGATCCCTGGAGGCTTGGGACAAAAAGAAGTAATGTTGAGGATATTACTGAATGTGTAAATCCCCCTTTCTCAGCCAAAGATCTCTTGTGCCTTGATTGGGAGGTGAGTGGGAAAATGAATTTCAACTCTTGGCATTTGTGTGACTGTGTTAAACACATTTTGAAATTTGTGTTTTAAAATGCAGGGCAGTCCTTCCCAGATGCTACAAGGACACTTGGAGGGAGTGCTTGTAGCTTCCCATGTTGTGACTGGAATAGCTGGCTGGAGAGCCAGCTTTTGAAATCTGAGCAGGGGAAAGGGTAATGGAGGGAAAAAGCTGCAGTTACTATTATGGGCTCATGATGGCTCTGTGTGTGTGTGTGTGTGTGCGCGCGCGCATGCGCGCACGCGTGCACAGCCCATCCACCTGTCCCCAAGTGCCACTTCTGCACTATTGTGTTGGGTGGCAATGGTGCTTGTCCATATGACGAGTGGTTTTTGCCACTCCCATCAGGACTCAGTAGCCAATTCCCTCCACCAAAAAGGAATTGGATGACAAAACAACCCATTATGGAAAACATGACCCATGTTTTGTTGAGGTAGCTATTTCTCAAAAAACAAGCCACCCTGGGAAAATTGGTCTGGGTTCACACAGCATAACAATCCATGATAGGGTGGTCATGTCACATGCAAGTGGTCTTTGTGTTTTCATTCCTCAAATGTCATTGCCTGGCCATTTGCTGTCTACAGTAGGTCTAGTTCACACTTATGAACATATTTTTACTAGTTTGTGCACAGGAACACAACTGTAACAGGAAGGAGTTGCTGTTAGGTTCTTTGAGGTTTCTCAAACAAGCCATGCTGCCTGGGTTCGGACAGCATGAGAAGCTCTGCCCAGGAGGCTAATAGGTGAATGGCCACCAACACATACTGTGTATTAAACAGTCAGCATGACCGGAAGCTTTTCCCCATATTCTAGTCTTTCCATGAAACAAAAATAGGTGCCTTGTCTACATCTACAGTTCTGTTTCATTTACTGTACAACAGAGTGGTCAGTGTGAATCCCAGATGGTGCCTTGCCGAGCACCCTCATAAACAGGGTCCCTGCTCATAGAGGGTTTGGGGATATTGAATTTGTTATATTTGTCTTAGAAACACTGCATAAACAAAACAATTTCTGTTATGGCCTTGGTCCTAAAAATAACTGAAATGCTAAAGAGTTTATTATACTTACCTTAATGACAGACTCCGTCACACCCCAGGAAAAGTCACAGGGAAACTGACCGTACAAAGGTGGGGTAGATTCAGGAAAGCCATTTTCCTGTATTATTTGTTTGTAATAAAATGCAGATGATTTGGGAATCCGCTCCTTTTCCTTACTATTGAAATCTACATAAAATAATCCTCGTCTGTTTTGATAACCATGTTGCCATTCAAGTCCGTCCACAAGAGACCAAGCCGTGTAACCAAATACATCAATTTGATCGTATTTAATAGCTGCATGAGGGGAAATAAAATTTTAAAATAACAGTGTTTGCCAGACTAGAGTGCATTACACATGTTCATGTAATGATGCATTACAAATGTTTCCAAGAAGATTTTGGACAATTCCTTAATTTGGGCAGATATCTTATATCGGAGGTGGAGAGCTTGTTTCAGCCCAAGATCCAATTCAGTTTCAGATAATTTCTTGGGGTTCAGGGGAATGGTTTCTGCTCTGGTGGCAAGCCCAGTGAAGCCAAATGCAAAAAGGGTGGCACCAAAATAGCTCCCAGAGTATATTGTAGCTTAACTGTCTTACTATCAGTAATCCATGGCTTCTTTACATGAGGCTTAACTTGCCACTTTATCAAATACTTCTACTTCTGAATTCTTTGAGGGATTAAATTGGCTCCTGCACAGATTTTTTCCCCCTTCGGTTTTTGTCTACCCTTCTTTATGTTGCATTACAAAGGCACAAAGAAGCAGTGTGGTTTAGTGGATTTGTGCTAATCAATGAGAGTTTCATGCCACAGTTAATAATACCAGACTTTTTTTAGATCAAAACAAACTACCAACCCAACCACCCTGCAGAAATGATTGCAAAACATGGAAGAGGCCCTGGAGAATGACAATGTTATGTAAAACACTTGCAAACTCCTGTGAGTGAGGAATCATGACTACATAAAAAAGGGTCATGTGGAAAGGCATTTAAACTTTTTGAATTGGGGAAAAAATGCAGAAAACCTGGGATACCACCAAACAACTGATGACTACAGGGAAGGGGATGGCCATCCAAAGAACTGCAGAGAGATGGATTTGGCTTCTAGGTCTGAGATTCCTCACCCCACCTCACAGAAATTCAATTTGTTCATCTAGGTTGGAGTAGGGAAACCCTTTGCTGCCAAGGGCTGCATTCCCTCTGGAACACTATGTCAAGAGATGTGAATCAGGAGCGATAAGGTCCTCCTCTCTTTTTCCAACACCCATTTCTCCCCCATTTGCTTTTCCTCCTTCCTCCCCAGGCAGTGGGCTGAGGGTTAGGAACAAATAGATTGCTCTTGCCAGAGGTCTGAAGCGCTTGGCCCCAGAAGGCTTTTGAAGTCAAGCCACTTCTAATCTAGGTCAAACCACAGGCCACAATGGGGGAATTCCCCACAATGAAGTAGACAGACCTTCCTTGGGACTGTAGCTGATGGGGAAAGGATTAAGTTCCTTTTCCATGCCTGTACTGTTAGTGATATCCTGCTAGTTATCAGCCATCATTGAGCTGATACTGTTTGCACTTTTAAAACCCTTCCCCAACCAGGTGCCTTTTAAATGTGTTAGACTATGACTCCCAGTCTCCCCCATCCTTCATGGATGAAGGGGGATGCTCAGAGTTGCAGTCCAACGACTGCAGGACACCAGGTTGTGGAGAGCTGTCTTGGATACAAAGATGTGTTCAAGATCAGGTAGAGTCGGCTCCCTGTTTTGGCAGTTTCAAATCTATTGAGGACTTAAAAAAAAAAACCAAGCAGTTTTGCATACCTTGTAGGACCTTATTTATAAAATTCTTCATTGCGTAGATAATTTTGGTATCTTCAGTTTTTATACGGCTGTTGGTGAACCACCCATTTTCTGCAATCAGGATTCTAGGACTGTTATATTCCAGTTTAATCCAGTTCAACACATCCCTCAGGTTGAGTGAAAAAACTTGTCCCATATTTGGCAGCTTGTTAGGTGGTGTAAAATTATCAGGGCCAAAGGAGAATGAAAAGAAATCAGCAGTCCCTTTAATCTGTTTTTTCTCTGTCTTGGTAAAATCTGGCAAGATAGAGGCAACCTCACTCTTCAGCTCTTCAGGGTAATCTCCATCTCCATGAATTGGCTTGGCAAACCACCCCAAAACTTTCTGCATGGACTGCTGACACTTTGCAAGGTCTGAATTGTTCTCGTATCTATTAGGTTCAATCCAGTGGGATCCCAACGTGATGGACAAAAGTCCTTTCTGATGAGGTCGGAAATGCTTGTTGTAATTATGCCAGACTTTTGCATGAGCCTAATCAGGAAAACAAAACAACACAAAATGATAGTCTTTGTGTAAACAGAAACATAGAAACAGAGTGAGTCAGTAGGGGTCTCCCGGACCATCTAGTCTGATCCCCAGCTCCAGCCAGCTCAAAATAAAAAAAGACTTTAACGCAAGCTTATGACCCGCACTTACTGGGAATTCCTTGTTCATGGGGAATAATTGCAATCCCCGATTCCCATCATGAATGGGGTTCAATGGGTTACCTGCACCAGTCAGCGTAGCACAGTTTAGTATTTGGAATTCAGAATGATATGTTACAGATAGAGTTTCACTCGGGCATTGTTATATGGTATTTGCACTTTCTTTGAAATTAAACTTTCACAGAGTAAAACTACACATCTTAGCTGTAAGCAAACTGATCATATTGCAACTCTTACAACACAAATGGCACTGAGAGCCAGTGTGGTGTAGTGGTTAAGAGCACAGGTCTGGGACTCAGGAAATCCGACTGGGTAACTTTTCAGGCACAGATTCTCATGCCAACCTACCCGACAGGGTTGTACTTGTGGGAATAAGATTGAGAGCAGGATGGCAATGGTTTGTAAATGGATTTGAGTTCTTTCAAGAAGAAAAAGGTAGGACATAAATCTAATAAATACACAATAAATCAGATAATCTATTGTTGCAATGAGTTGAACATTACTTTAGTCATACTCTCCTGAGGTTGCTCTGATACCATAATGCTTGATTGGCTTAATACAGGGTCAGTAGAATAAGGTGAGAACAAGGTACTGCAGGAGAGGGCTTTTGGTGGTGTGGCCTACTTTGTCACTCCTATGTAAGCACACTGCCTTTAGGCATGGTAGAAGATATTATCCCATTGCTAATGCTGAAGACATGCAATTGACTTTTGTAGACGGAGTGGGAAGAGGTGTCATCTTGTCCTGTGCTGTCCTGAGTTGGCTCTGAGCTAATGACAGAATTGCAGTCTTTCATAACTCCTCTCCCTAACCCTTTAACTGTACAACAATCAAACCTGGCCCAGGACATTTTGCTACCTGAACTGAAGGTCAGAAAGGGCACCCACACCTGCCAGTCTACTTACAGAAGCCATTGCATGTCAAGTCAACACTGGCCACAGGACAGAATCCTCCACTACACCTGTGGGATGCAAGCTGGAGTGGGGTGGGCAGGACAGCTTGCACTCTACAAACAGCTTTGTCTTCAAGCAGAAAGGAATGGGCAGAAAAGCTCAGAAAGAAGCAGGTGCAGAGGCCATCTCCACCATTTCCTCATTTCAGCAGCATCTTTTATTTGAAGCTAGTCATCTTAGTCCATGGGCTAAATAAATGTGATTTCCACACCTTGTGCAAGATGTGAAGATTTCTACCTCATAGTACCTCCATGACAAGAAAAACTTCTCCTGTTGAATTTCTGCCAACCACATTGCTGCTAATGTCTAAGTCATTATAAACTCTACACAATGCCGCAGGGTGAATTAAATATTGTACTGTTCTAGACAGAAAATCAAAGGGTACCTCCAAATCATGAAAACAATACAATAGCCTTAAAGACACCCTGATGGTCTTAAATAGTATCCCAAAATCCAGGTTATCCTATATTTCCTAATGCCAGGGTCTGCCCTATTCTCTGGTAGAGTGAATAATCCCCTAAGTTTTGCTCACAGGTTAAGACTAGCTCATTGTGTTTTGACCCAGCACCCTGAGTTCCACGTATTATTCACGTTCATTATTTGAGTAAGCAGTCACCATAGTAAGACATAATCTCTAGAAGGTGATCAGTGATAGGGAAAAAGTAGAACAACACTGGAGATGAGAAAAGAAGTAGCAGTTTTGTTTATAAGAACTTGGGTAAAGAAGGGCTTTTAGATATATATTGACTTGTGTGAGGCAATCTGACCTCTCCTCCTTAGATAAAGGCACCTGTCTGATTATCTGAACTTTATCCTGCCTCTGTAGGTCTTTGCCTTGGGATAAAGAGGCCATCTCTTTACATACAGAGAAAATGCTGAGAAATGTGGGAAATGCTTCTCTGCACTGGATTGCCAGTGATTCACAAAACCAATTTGGTGTAGACATTATTGTACTTGAAAACTTTTACTGGCATGGCATGTCTCTCACCTCTAAGGCAGGTTGCAGCTAACTGCAGTGGCACAACAGAGTCTAAGAAATGCAGCAACCTTGAGGAACATAGTGCAATCTGGTATCAGCTATTTTATGGGTTTCCAATGCTATGGTCTGTATCAGAACATTTGTTCAAGGTCTAGACATGAACAACCTTTGAGATGGAGGAATAGAGAGATGTCAGCATTGGCCAGGTACTGGTATGAGTCATGTCAGCCATGAAAAGCAATAGGTGCTCACAGGATTTCTATGAAAAAAAACGGAATAACTGCATGGACACTGCACTGAACTTCTGGAAGGAGGACTGTGGTCTGTACAAATGGAAGTCAAGATCGCTAGGGCAGGGCAAAGAGGGTAGAAAATGCTAGTGTCTGACAGCTACCTTGGGTATTTAGCCCTGAGTCTCATTTCCATTGTCAGCCCATAGCAATGGATTATTAACTGCAAAGTAAACAAGCATAAAAGACAGATCAAAACATGGAGTCTATTTTTAGCATTTCCCCCCCTCTCCTGCTTTTCTGCTTAACACAGTTTGTTTTTTACCTTGCAGATCAAGGCTAAATGTTAAGAAGAATTAGATAGTGGAGGTATAATCAATAATGCACATATATCCTTCTTAGGTACACATGACATAAATGTCTGCACATTTTCCCATCATAGCGATCAATGTACAGCACTAAATTAGTTAATATAAAGCTGTTATACTTAAAAGCCTGCATTGCGCTAAACTCCATTACATCTGTTCCAACATGGGTCAGCTATGCTTAAAAGGCAGCTGAAAAAGGTAATGTTATCCTTCCCTATGCTGAAACATCTGGCAGAAATATGATTGCATTTTACATACTTAGGGCATATTCTTATGACCTCTGGACTTTGTCCTGGGTGCCATAGGATTATTTATGATCTCATAGCTGGGACTTCAAATGCAGAAGTCCTCACTGCTGGAACCATGCTAGCCAACAGTCACAAATGCAGGGATGGGAAAAGGCTGGGGCCAAGGACTTCTGCTGACTTCCTTCCCACTCCCTGGCAATTTATCTAATTAGCCAAAAATGACTGGCCATTCATGTAAGGGGGAAGCCTTTGAGTTCAGGGGCTTACGTGTAACTAGGTAACACAGTACAATCCCATTAATGTCTATCAGAAGTAAGTCCCATTGGGTTCAATGGGACTTGCTTTCAGGCAAGTATTACAGGATCGCAGCCTCAAACTATGTCAAACCCTTTCAGAACACTTTCTGGACAGATATCATGCAAAAGTTAATTAGTACTGACTACAGATAATGTCCTGACCATGGGAAAAGGATTAGCTTGATTTAGTTTCTCTATTGTGCAGGAGAAACTAGAGGATCAAGTTAGTTACCTGAGGTCTTATTTTATCTTAATAAAGCCAAGAACCTATTCAAGATGATACCTCTTGATGTATCAACAGGCTTATGCTGACTAGAAACCATAGATTAGCCTGTCAATTTTGAATAAATTCAATGGTTACTAGATAACTCAAGAGTTATTTATCTTGTATTATAGCCAATAAGAACTTCTACTGAAACTCAAGGTTCATTTTCATACAACTTTATTTTTTATTTGCATTTTCTTTTGTAATACTGGAGTGTATTCTGTTCCCTGGTACTGTAACATAGCTGTAGACCGAGACAATGACCCTTAACTCAGTACATCTGCCTGTCGCCACTTGGCTATGCCACAGGATATAGAGGATAAAATGAAGAGGAGTAGGATTGTGTAAGCTACTTTGGATTCCTTGGAGAAAAAAGGGAGATATAAATGCAATAGCACAAATGAATATTTCAATGAATTGTTAAAAACTCAGAAAACTATGGAATGAGATGTGAGCATGCGCCATGGGCAGGGAATACTGACTAACTGGAATAATCCTAACAGAAAACAGGGTGGGGAATGGTATGAACAATCCTAGCAAAGGGTATGGCTGGCTAGCATTCTGAATAGAAGCACTCTATAAAACCCTAGCACTAATAAATGTTAAGTTTCTATGGTCCTCCAAGTTTGTCTTAGCAAACAGTTCTTTAGTTTTAGGTTGTCCTGACTCTTTGTGACATGTGAGCATGAAAGTGGCAAGCAGCCTGAGGCACAATGGCACAGCTGTCTATTGCACCAGCTGTAATATTAAATAATGTAAGGAGAAGGACTTTGCAAAATTTCTTCTTGCAAGAAACCTCCTGTTCTTCTCTGGCTGTCTATCTTTCCTGCCACACAGATAGAAGAAACGGTGGCAATGAATGGACTTTCTTAAGCAGCACGCAACATGTATGTCTCCTAGTTTATTGCTTTATGATAATCTAGGAGGGGGGAATAGCAGTACTACAATGGGCTTCATAATCCTTGGGTTTTCTCTGTGGGCTTCCTGTATTTCTGTTGATAAGTTAAAGGTAAACCATTCATTGATCAGAGGGCCTGTACCCAAATTAAGTAAAAATATCTCTTCCTTATTGTTAATGCACAAATAATTCCAGCCTACATTTTATCACACTGATAATCATGATATTAAATCAATCTCTGATTCTTAGTTGGAAAGACTGTGTATTCCTAATGTAATTATTAGCAGGACCTTGCACCTAAAGAAATTACTTTTTCATTATATTTGATACAGAAATGTCTCATGCACAGCAGCAGTATATTTATAAGTTGAATACACTATTTTCTGGAGTGGCTGACTTTTGATATAACAGCCTTAGAGACCCTTTGAGATTTCATATTTGAATTAAAGAAATAGCTCTGACAAAAGATAGAAGTTCAGCAGGTCTAGCTTTCCCTATCACTGCCATCTCTGAGCCATGAAAAGCACCAGATTTAAAGGAACAGAGCTTTTACCTGGAGAAGGACAGATAATTCCAGATGGGTTTCCATCTATAGAAAAGTTTGCTAGCTGACCACTAACACCAGCATGGCTTTTAACAGAATGATATCTATAAATCTGCATGTGAAGTTATTCATGGTATTACAAATAAATTATCATCTCCTTCTGTGCATTAAGCCACTGTTGAAGGCACAGCTATAATGGTCAGCAGAAAAGCTGGCAACCCTACTTTAATAAATTCACAGATTTTTCTTTAACTACAGGCTCCGTGAGTTGGCTGGGGATGCTGGGAATTTTAGTCCACCACATCTGAAGGCTGGCTAGGTGTGTCATGGAGACTTGGGAGTCTCTGGGTCAAACATCATTTCAAGGTCTAACATGGCTAGATCCATATGTTTAAATATGGTGGTATGTCTGCATGTAACATGTGTCCATGATGGAATGTGTGTCCCCAGGGGTTGTGTGGGTGAAGGGAGCTGAATGTGCCCAGTGGCCAAAGTCTCTTTTACTGAGTGCTTCTAAGCGAGCTGAGAAGTCACTTCTGTTGTGGGAATTTGCCCAGTAGTGACAGCTGGTATTTACCAGGCTGAGAACCTAAGAAGAGTCCTGCTGGACAAGACCAAAGACCAGTCCAGCATCCTGTTTCCCACAGGGGCCAACCAGATGTTGGCTCAAACAGGACAGGAGGGGAAGAGTTTTTCCCCACTCTTGTTCTCCAGCAACTGGCATTTGGAGAGATCCTGCCATTTGAAGTTCTGTGTTACTGGCTTAATTTACTCCCACTGAGGCAGTGGTGAGGTTATATTTGTGTTTCTGGAACAGCAGTCCTCTATGCTACATGGCACAACATTTTTATTCATATATCATTATATTCTGCTGTTCAATAAAAGGGAGAAGTAAAAAAAAAACCTTCATGATATGTACCCAAGAGCTTGGACTTGTGTAAAAAATACTTTTGGCACCAGTTCTTGGATTTTTTCTCTCACCAATAGAAACATTATCCTAGGAACTTTCTTTCCTGAAATTAATAAATTTAGGGGAAGAAAGGAATTAATTCATCTCAAAATATTATTCCTGTTTTTCTAAATAAATGTCTTTTATACAATCACCAATATGATATGAGCGTGGGTTGATGTAAGAACCAAAATTAGCTTGTTCTGTAAGAGGAAAAAAAGACATCAAGAAAAGTCCAGTTGACTCATTCACCTGATGTTGGCAAAACAATGTTTATCTGTTTTTGACTACAGGTGGAGAAAACCCCAAATGGAGATCAAAACATGAGAATTTGCCATTACAATAAAACACCTGTTCTTTAATTTCTACTGAAGGAAGGAAAACTTGATGCTTGCATTGATTTTATTTATCAACAGTTTCAGTGATGGCTGTTTTTAAAAAATAAGAATAAAATTCAGAAGTACCATGAAAAATTTAGAGAACATGTCAGTCAAGAAGCTGATAAGAACTTTATTCTCTCTCAAACAAACAAAAATGGCACACAAAAACAGAAAATTCCTGGTTCCACCCAAGTTCAACTATGTCTAGCATTACTTATCCACATAATATATAGCCACTCTCTTCCTACAAGAGATGCTTGGCTAGCAAAGGCTGGGTTCAACTTCCCTGTGATTTGGATCTTGAAATGTTCATTAAATAATTCCTTTTTCATTTAAATTTTGCACTCCTTTATTTACACTGGATGGAGCAATTTGTGGCCCTTGCAATCTACAACTCTCAGCATCCCTCACCATTAGCTATGCCTGCTAGGGCTGATGGGAGTCGTAGGCCCAAACATCGGGAGGGCTACAAGTCACCCAACCCTGATTTAGGTGATCACTGGGCAACACTTCTATGCCACATGATCTTCTGGATAAATGGGGCATTCCATTCTGTCCATTAGCCTGAGAAGAGCAATTAAAGAGCTAGGTCCCAAATATGCCTGCTGTAGCTGTCTCCTGCAGTGGTAGAAACATCCAGAGAACTGGTTCATCTTTCTATGACCATCACTTGCTGACTTATGGAAGAGGTGAGTTGACATTAAAGTGTTATCTATGGCTGTTTTGTGATACTTTTTCACACAAGCAAAAAACCACTTGATTTTCATTCGTAGGTGCTAAACACTCTAGTGCAAGCTTCCTCTGCCCTTCTCCCTTATCACACCTGTTGTTCAACTTTTATCTGCAAAAATGTTCAAAGAAGGTTTGCAAGAGGGCATTGCTTCAATGAGAAGCACATCTTTTTCCACTCACCCACCAGGCCATCAATGGGCTGCAAATGAGTAATGTGTACATGTGTTAAGCAGGTGGGCTGGACTTTTTAATAATGGGTCTATTAGTTCTGTGGCTTTGTTGGCAAGACTGATCCAAAGACTAGGGCATAGGTGGGAAACCTGCAGACAGCACAGCCAATGGTGAAAGAAGATGGGACTTGTAAGCCAAAACATCTGGGCCCAACCCTGGGCCAAGGTTAGAGTTTTACTGTTTTTAGGCATTTAGCATTCTTTGAAAAATCTAACAGGCAGCCATCTTTGTTGTTGCCATCTTTTAAGGTTTGTCTGTGTATCTATGTCATTGGCTCTTCATTTCTTCAACCCAAATGCCTATCCAGGGAAGAAAAAGTGTGTGTGTGTGTGTGTGTGTGTGTGTGTGTGTGTGTGTGTGTGTGTGGTGGCAGCAGCATAGAGGCTGGAATATGGTGGCCACAAAGCCTTCCATTTGAAAGCCATTGCATGTTTGTGCTCTGTGCTCAGGGATCCCACATTGGATAAACATGCAAGGAAAACCTGAGTGACTTAATATTCTTAAGGGTTTCTTACAGTACAATCCTGTATATGTCTGCTCATAAGTGAGCTCAGTGTAACTTACTCTCAGGGAAATGAGTATAAGGTTGTGACCTTAAGGTCTTTATTTTGGACTTATCTCCCAAAGACTGGAAAGAGCTGAAAGACATGAATAGACTCCATATTCCCTTGAAATAAGATGGACATTATGGGGAGTTGGGGTATGTGCTTAATTGTTATTTTAAGGAATGGGAAGTACACAAGAAATAAAAGGTTTCAGTTCTGACAGTTAATAATATTCATTAGCTGTATTCAAAGCTCATGGGAGAAAAACAACAGTGGGTTTTTTTATTGTTTTTTGTTTTGCAGCACTTCTCTTAAGGTATATATCACAGATGATGCAGTAGTCAGTGAGATGATGCAATGGCTTCTTTATGAAACCACAGAGAACTCTCAAATTATGCAGAGTATTTTATATATGGATTTAGGGTTTGGTGCAGTGTTGAAATAAGGTCTCTGATTCCACTAAGCATTAAGTAAATGGAGTGCGGATAATTTAATTTGGTTGTAAAATTCAATGTTGTAAGGGGAAACTAGATACCCTGACTAATTATCAGGAAATTAAACTGGATACAGAATTGGCTTAATTGTCTTGACATTATTCTGAAGTTCCTAAATATTGACATAATGGTTGTTTCTGCTCAGACAATTCAAGAGAACCTGATAACCCTGTTAATTCAATATAGTGGCCACTATTTGCAATGTGACTATATTAGGCTAGGAAGTATTAATTAATTATTCTGTATAGCTGATTGATTTATCTAGCTACAGTTTGTCAAATATAAGAATAAATATGTTTTGAATGCTAATAAAATAATTTCAACATATGCAGAACATCATAACTGGACTAGGAACAGAATAAAGTACAAACGTTTTAGTAGACAACTAAAAATTGAAGACACAAGCTAAATAAAGCACTGTTAAGATGAATTGCTTTGAGTCAGAATGCAATCATAAGCATTACTTAGCAGTTAAACCCACTGAATTCAGTTAGACTTACTCCTTTGTAAAGTCTGCTTCTGTATGTGCATGCTTGCCCTACCCATTGAAACAAATTGAGCTTAGGTCCTTAACTTTTAATGGAGGACCAGAGCTCAGTGAAAAAGAAGACATTTTTCATGTGGAAGGACCCTGGCATCTCCAGCTGAAATGAACTGGGTAATGGGAAGGTCTCTGCCTTAGACCCTCTGCCCTTCAGAGTAGATCAGAGTAGATTTACTACATTTATAATGCAATAAATGGATCAATAGTCAGATTTGGAATAAAGCAGCTTTCAAATTTTGACTGAATCATGTCCTGTACTCTAACCTTTTACTAAAATAGATGGTACAATGATTATATCCACAAAGACAAAAAAGGCTTATTCATTTTGTTCAAGACTTTGGCTGCAGGAAGAAAATATAATACTATTTATATACAAAGATTTTATATAAGCATTACTCTAACCTTGTCCTCTTACATTCTCATGCTACATTTTCTTTTGTATTTGCTGCAATAACACTTGAACTCTTAAGATGAAATCTATCTGTACTGTACCTTGATCAGATTATGTCCTACTTTGTAGAGAGCACTTTCCTGCTTCTCTCCAGGTGCATGAATCCCTGTGCCATACCCATGCCAGGCAATTAGATAAGGATTGTGGATTGTGATCCAGTACTTAACTCGATCCCCAAAAGTCTGGAAGCAAAAAGTGGCATAGGCACTGAAAATGTCAATGAGGGATTCATTTTTCCACCCTCCATAGTTCTCTTGCAGTGCCCAAGGCAAATCCCAGTGGTAAAGGGTAACTACAGGCTCAATGCGTTTACGGACTAGTGCGTCTAGGAGACTATTGTAGTAATGGAGCCCCTTTTCATTGACAGCTGTTGTCATCCCAGTGGGGAAGAGCCGTGGCCATGAAATTGAAAAATGGTAAGAAGAGATTCCCAAAAAATCCAGAGCTGATAAATCTTTCCCTAGAAAAGTGTAGCTGTCACTGGAATCATCTGTCCTGGAGTCGTGTGAATGGATGAAGTGTTCCCATATTGAGGGTCCCTTTCCATCCTTCCTCTGGCTACCCTCCACCTGAAATGCGCTGGTCCCCACACCCCAGAGGAACTTTTGGGGGAACGTGTCATGCAGAAACATCTGGGTTTCATTCACCGGACTGAAATTCAGGTCTTTTCCCCATACAGATCTTCCATCACCATCAAATCCAGTAACAGTCCATGCAAAAACCAATGCCCACAAGGCTACAGATCCTTTCAGTTGTTGGGTAAACATTGTGTCTCTCTGGAACGTATGTTAAAAGTCACGTTTCCCTTGGGAGCGTAGCAAAAATGCATTCATCTTCTGTGATCCCTGCTGTGTAGCTTGTCTTCATCTGCTACAAACTTGCTGGAGTGTCTTATCAAGCTCCAGTGAAAAGCCTGGAACAGTAAAACCTGTTAATGATTAGCTTGAACTACAGGACTCAGGATCAGTCACAAAAAGCAACGTAATCCAAGGGAGGTCCCTTTCTTATAGCCACTGAGACAATTCAATGGGGTCTTTTGCTGTTGCAGAAAATAGGGAGGTTATAATAGTTCTTGGTTCTCAGTGAATGTATGCTTGTTCTGAATGCTTGAAACAGCAGTGTTGGTAGCTGGCTGTCAGAGGATGCCAGTTGCTGATTTGATTATATTTAAGGTAATAAAGAAAAATTGCCTTTTTGACGCAATTACCCAAATAGAGAACAAGCTGCCGCTGCCTACCAAATAATCTGGAATGATCAGGAGCAAAGGCCAACAGCAATGGTTTTCAGTAGCTACTGCAGTAAAAACAGGGAAGAATCTTGTGGCTCATGAAAGACAAACATATGGCGGCATGAACTTTCATAGGTAAGAGCTTGCTTCTTCAGATCCAGAAAGAATTTCTTTTCTTGGCATCATCTGCATAAAAACAGATGGAAGTCCACACTGAGTGAACTATTACAGTTAGAGTTGAGATAAAAAAGAACACAAGTCCTCAATGCTCTGCTAGCCTATGAAAAAAATGATACAAATTGAGATTGATGGTGTCCGTCTGCCAACAGAATGGATCAAATTTCACGTTCTACCCAAACCCTCTTGTATGCCCCTCATATCTGCTCCAGTGGGATAGGTAACCCTCTAGGTTTCCGGGATATGGAGAAGTGGAAAAGAAACTCCCATTGTGCAGTTGGAAATACACTTGCTCACTGTTGCATTTAATGCAGAGGCAATGTAAACTGGACAACAGGATTTGATATACCACTTGCACATTTACCTTAATTAAAAAATGAAGGGTTTGTGGGGTTTGTTTTCATGATGTTTCTTGATAGACAAAATACAGATTAAAACACAACAGAAAGGCAACAGTCTAATGGATGGTTATATGTTCTACATCTCTGTGCGAGGCTGTACAGCTGCTTGGACTACTTTTGGTTTTGTCTGAGAATTGAGATCAAAGTGCTACCGTGTTTCCTTTCCTGCTTTCTTGCTACATAACCTCTAGATGGCACCTTGAAGCAAATGCAGAAATGGAAACAGCATTTTTCCCCGCTTTCTTAACTAAGACCACATTTTACCTTGCCAAAATGCTGTTTAAAGCAGAATTCAAAAGGGAAGTCACAATGTCATCTAAAGAATGCATAGACAACTGCGAGTAGGTAATGATGAGAGCCTTGTGTAGAAAAACCCCTACTCATTTCAGTGAGATTTATGTACTAACATTACTTACTCATTTTCACATCAACATATATGACATGGAACCTTTTGCAATGCAGAGTGTTACAGGACTTGAGGGGTAACATGGAGAGTTTGCCAGAACACACCCAATGCTGGATGTCGTCAAGGCAGATTGCTAGGGGTTTGCAAGTTCCTTTTCCAGGAAATGGCCAACCAAGATTAAACTTCCCATTGAGGAGCCCTTGATAAACTTCTGAGAAACCTCAAATTTTGACAGAGTACCATTCATGGTTTCTTATTTACATCAATGGAAACTTCTCATGTGAACACAAATGTATTGGCTTACTCAGCTGGCTTCTAGGGAGCATGATTGTTCAGTCATAGTGGTAGGCTGTGAGGCAGTATCCAAAGTAGTCAGTCCACAACCACCTGAGCAGAAAGGGACTTCCAGTATGGGACAGGTCAGAGAGACTCCCTTTTGTGAGTTCACAAGATATGTTATTTTCCTGTTTTGCTAGAATTAATTTCCGCTAGTGCCGTGGCAGTGCTGGATACTACCCATGGCAACCAAACTCACCCCTAAGAGAAGGAAGCTATAGCAGAATGTTGTGACTTGGCCATTGAGATGCAGAGACAGGTGGGCAGTGGCATTGCTTGAATTTCTGGACAATAAAATCTTAAAACAGGATTGTTAATTTACATTTTGGTAACTTATAGACTAGCCTAGGTGTTAAGATCAGCAGGGAAGGCCCTGTTATCTATATCCGCTTTACTCAGAAGTTAATGGAGCAGTGGTGTATTAAAGGCCTTCACTGTGGTAGAATTCAGGGTTGTGAATTCTCTCTGCTTTTCTTGGCAAGTCATGATACACCTCTTTATCTGAGCCTCTGTGAGTGGTTGAAGTTTTGGAATTATGATCTGTATAGAGTTTTGATTGCACTTATAAATTGTTTTGTATCCCTTTATTGATAGGTAATGCATCCCATCCTTGAATCATAAGGTGAAGAGTATGCTATAATTTTAAATAATAAATACCATGATTTTGCACTTGCTCAGGATAGAAGATGGCTTTACCCGTTGGAGTAACTGCTGAAAAATCATCAAATGCACATTATGCCATGTCTAACTCTAGCAACATCTAACTCAAAATTGTCTATGCTGACTAGCAGAAGCTCCTCAGAGTCTCAGGAAGAGGTTTTTCATATCAACCCCTACTTGGTTATTTTTAAAATGATAGATGCTATGGACTGAACTGGGGACCTTCTGCACACAATGTATGTGTTCAGTCACTGAGCTGTTTCCATCCTCTATCACATATTTCCTAGATCCTTGAGGTAAATAACACACCCTCTGCATTCCAGTGACCCATTTATAAAATATAGTTAATAATTTTTACTATTTCTTTCCTTTTCAGTTCAAGGTGACTGAATCAGCTTAAATCTAAATCATTTAATTTGCTTGTTTCACAAATGAAAATAAACACATAGGTACTGTTAATCTTCAAATCTTTTTACACTGTCAATGGTAAATTATATACAATTTTGGCAATATTTGCATTTTGATAGCATTTTTCTTTGGAGTATCAATCTACTTGATTTTATGCACTTTGAATGCCTATTATTTTCAGTGGGAAAGTGAAGCACATTTTTAAATCTTTCCCATTTAAGTCAATAGTAGTACATCATAAAAGTGGCTTGCTTTAGCTGGAATATGCTTTGAATAATGAATCTGCTGCTGTTACATGCCATCAAGCTATCTCTGACTTATGGTAACCCTATGAATGAAGCCCCCCCCTGCCCCCCCCAAATAGTCTTGTCTGTCACAGCTCTGCTAAGTTCTTGTAAACTGAAGGCTGTGGCTTCGTTTATAAAATAAATCCATCTCATATTTGGTCTTCCCCTTCTGCTGCCTTCAGTTTTTCTTAGCATTATTGTCTTTCCAGTGAGCCTTGTCTTCTCATGATATGCTTGAAGTACTGCAGCCACAGGTTCATAATTTTCCTTCCAGGGCAAGCTCTGGCTTGCTTTGATCTAGGATCCACTTGTTTGTCTTTCTTTCAGTCCAGGTTATTGACAAACTTCTCCTCCAGCACTGTTTATAAGGTAATCATTTTCTTCCTGTCAGCTTTTTTCACTGTCCAGCACCCACACTCATACATGTCATTTGACCTCTTCACTCCCAAATAGCCATGGATTCTTGTTGAGTTAGGAAGCCCACCAAGTCATCTGAACCTGGATAAGCTGAAAAGCTACAAAGCTTGCTGGCCAAAGCGGCAAAAAGGGTTGTCAATCTGGCCAATGACGGCCAGCAGCATGACTAAGTGGCACTTTGCCCAGTGAGCATTTTCTGCCCCCCCCCCACTCCCAGCGCTCCTGAAAAGGCCAGGAGAGCAAGATTGCTCATGATCAACCCCAATGACCCTCCCCAACATTGGTAGGAGTGTGCTCTGCCATATTCCACCCACTGAACCCCTCTTCAGGACCTGGGGAGGTGTCACATGGCAAGGAACCAGCTTGGGTCTTGCTTGCCCCTGCCAGTCATTTCAGCATGGAAGTGGAGGCAGGTGGAAACGAGATGCTCTGCTTGCCTTCCTCAAGAGGCTCAACATACCCCACCAAAGTTCATTTCCCACCTTCGGGACAGACTGTAATAGGGCAGGAGAAGGAGAATGGCCCCTTCTCATCACTGCTGGGATGTGATTGTGCTAACCAGTGTAAGGGAGGAGGCACATCTCTGTCCTATTCCCTGTCTCCCTGGGAGGAAAAGCAACCCCCTGCCTGTCCTGTACGCCTCCTCTTTTCCAAGTCCCAAGTGGGGTATGGGGCACGAGTGTTGATGCCAGCCTTGCACTGTCTTCCCAAGCCTCACTTGGGAGAGTGGCTTGGAAGAGAGTGGCTTGACTCCCCACCATCTGGTGCCACTGGCAGGCAGCTGCAGCACTGGCTGTGAGCAGCTTGGTGAAGCAATGCTGCTGCTGATCTTGATGAAAGTGGCTTGAGCAAGCCCCCACTGCTGAGATTGACAGCAGTGCCAGCACCCCTCACTGTGGCTCATGAGATCAACTCTTGAGTCTGGGAGAGGAGTATCAAATGATCCCAGCTTCCCTCAGTACTACCTGTAATACATGAGAGAGGACTGCTGAGGGAAGAGGTGTCTCAGGATCCCTGCTGTGCTCCATCAGGGGCTCCAGGCTAAATGGCCACACAGGATGAATGATAAGCCATGCTAGTCTTTAAAATGCTGTATGAACCCAGTCAATATCTCAACAAATGCCAATTAAGCTCCTACACGTCCTTTACATTTCCTTAATGTCTGTGAGCAATTAAGCTATGTCATTCCATTGGAATGTCTGTGGATCAAGGTTAATAAATGCTGTAACCCCTCCTGCTTCTCACCCTTTTCTGCAACCCCGTGTCAGATATTCTGTCAAAGTATTGTGGCCCTTGAAGGAATCAGAAAGAAACCAGTACACTGGATACTGAAAGAGGATAATCTGAATGTGAATTCAACTAGCCATTGTTTCACATTTGTATAGCAAGAATACTTTACCAAAGAAGGCCCCAGTTCATTCTCTCTCTCTCTCTCTCTCTCTCTCTCTCTCTCTCTCTCTCTCTCTCTCACACACACACACACACACACACACACACACGTGCACAGCACATGGATAGGATTTTTTAAAATTTTTATTTTCTTAACATATACAAATACATAAAAGAAAATGTAGAATAAAAGAAAATATAAACAAAGTGCTCAAAATAAAGTTGCCAAGGAAATTATAAACAAATACAGCCCACATATTACACTCCTTTTTTTATATCACAGCCCCTACATGGATAGGATTTTAGATGTTCAGCAATTTTTGAAACTGTAATTGTTATGAGGATGCCATGTACGCTATTTTTCTCTTTAAAGAAAAGATGAGTACCAATGTAATGGATAGATTTTTTAAAAAGTTTGGGAAGTACTTGTAGTTTGTTATTCTGTACACATCATGTACATTTATGGCCATGAATATGCAAAAGGGCACACTATCAAATATAGCATATTTCATATTATTAAACTTCGTGTTCCCTCTTTGTGTTCTATTTTTATTTTTTAAAAAACTTAACACCAGGGTTTCATGCTATCATTCACGGATATCGCACACTTTCTGCAAAAGGCATTTGTGTGCTTATGATTCTTCACTTGTAGTATGCAAGTGCTTTACATAACATTATCCTCCTCCTGAACCTCAAAAAGGCTTTGCAACCATTAAAGCTTTTTTTCCCTTAAAAAGAAAACTCTGATATCAGAAAACCTCTGATCATAGAGACAACATTTAGCTATCATGCTCAGCAGCCATTGATGACATTTTTCAATGAATAAATCGAACCTTTTTGTCTGTCCTGAATTTTCCACTGTTCAACCTCCTTGGATGTCCCTGGGTTCTATTATTAGGAGTGAAGGTGAAAATGGATCTCTACCTCTCTACTTTCAAACTGTTCAGTCTTGTGGAATCTTAAAGACTAACATATTTATTTGGGCACAAGCTTTTCCAGACTACAGCCCAAACTTGGGCTGGAATACTAAACTCTGAGGTGTCACAAGACTATTAAGGTGAAAGCCTAAACTATGTTGTAGGCCTTTTTCCTGACCAAAATTTCATGGGACTGCTCTATTTTTGCTTCAAAAGACTTACACTGCTACTGCCTAGAAATAATTTTTAGTGCTGTTCTTAAAGGACCAATTAGAAATTACCGAAACACAAGGAAATAAATCACCAAAGGAAAAGAGGGCATTTCTTTGCTTAATATTTAGATACGTAGTATTTCGTAATATTTAGTTATATGTATACATGCAAATAACAGAAGTAGTTCTTATAATTTAAATAGAAATACAGTACATCTGAGCACACTGTGGATGACTATGACCAGGTGACCTGCGCTGCCACCTGTTCGGTTCGGTGTCCAGGAACTAGTTGGAAGTATGGTTCTTACGGTTCTTTTCTTCAAAAAGAGATCGGACAGGTCACTACTTGAAACAGAGGAGTGGTGCTCTGCAGGAAGCGGCCATCTGGCCAATTCAGTTGGTAAGTTGCATGCTAGAGCTGCCACGCGTGAGCTTTCAGCCGCTGCCTGGCTCTTTCCGGTCAACCACGGAGGCGACAGCAGCAGCACGGATCTGTCCCAGCTGCAGTGCACACGCGTGTCGAGGCATACAACTGAACGTGAGAACAGCTGACAAGGCCCTCCCGCCCCCTCAGGCTCGCTTCCATGTAGCCTTCTCTCCGCCCCTTGGTGACGAGATCACCGCGCGCGTCGGCGCGACCCGCCCTGCGTTTGTTGTTGGCGCGAAGTTAGCAGGGAGGAGGGCGGCGGGGATGGAACTCGGGTCCTTTGAGCTACCGCCGCGGCCGCCAACGGCATAAACCGACGTCTTGGGAAGCGTTCCGGCCGCCGGCCGAGCACGAGCATGGTGAGCGCGTGCGCGTGGACGAGAAAAACTTGGCTGGAGCCTCTGAGGGGAAGCTCACAAAAACGGCCGGGGGGGGGGGGGCAGGAGCAGCTTTATTCCAGCCCCTCTCCGACCTCAGTGAGGGCATGGAACTTGAAGTGGAAAAGGGGTATAGTGTGCGTGGGTCACCTGTACGAACTGGGCGGGAAAAATGAGTTCCCCGCAAAATAGCCCTTCCTTCATCCAAGTCTAGGCCTTATTATTATTATTATTATTATTATTATTATTATTATTATTATTATTATTATAACATTTCTATGCCGCCCCTTGCCGAAACCTCGGGGCGGCTTACAACACGATAAAATACAATGAAATACAATAGCACATAATAAATTACCATTAATTACAAAATACAAAAAATACATTGATTTACAAATATAAGATTAAAATTATCAGTATAAATTAAGTAAATAAAAATATAGGAGGAGAAAGAGAAGGAAGAAGAAGTTGCCCTGGCCAGATCATATGTTTTAACAATTAAAATGATGTTTAAATAAAAAGGTCTTTACCTGGCGCCGAAAAACCAGTAACGACGGTGCCAGACGGACCTCTTTGGGGAGTGAATTCCATAGGTTGGGTGCCACCGCAGAGAAAGCCCTCCTCCGAGTACTTACTCTCCTAATTTCTTTCATGGAGGGTTCCCGGAGAAGGGACTCTCCCGCAGATCTCAAAGGGCGGTCGGGCATATACGGACGTAAGCGCTCGTTCAGGTAGCCAGGACCCAAGCCGTTTAGGGCTTTGTAGGTCATAATCAACACCTTGAATTGGGCCCGGGCTTCAATGGGAAGCCAGTGAAGCTGACGGAGGACTGGAGTCATGTGAGCATAACGCCCCGTCCCCGTCAGCAACCTGGCAGCTCTATTTTGCACCAATTGAAGTGTTCGGACTGTCTTCAGGGGAAGCCCCACGTAAAGCGCGTTACAGAAGTCTAGGCGGGAAGTCACCAGCGCGTGTGTCACCGTCGCCAGGCAGTCGTACTCCAGGTAGGGGCGCAGCTGATTAATTAGCCGAAGCTGAAGGAAGGCGTTCCTCGCCACCGCTGTCACCTGAGCTTCCAAAGAAAGCTCCGGGTCGAGGAGTACTCCTAAGCTGCGGACCTTATCCCTAAGAGGGAGTGTTGCACCATTCAGGACCAGGTCAAATCCACCCTCTCCGAAACCCGATCTGCCAACCAACAGGACCTCCGTCTTGTCTGGGTTGAGTTTCAGTTTATTTGCCCTCATCCATTCCCTTACCTTGGCCAAGCACCGGTTCAGCACAGCCACTGCCTCACCTGGATTAGTGGAAAACGAGAGGTAAAGCTGGGTATCATCAGCGTATTGATGATTCCGCAGCCCACACCTTCTGATGACCTCTCCCAGCGGTTTCATATAGATGTTAAATAGCAGAGGGGATATTCCCTCCCCCTGAATTAAAAAAGAAAAAAAGCTTCCTCTATTCTCCCTCCCTTTCAGGGTGTTGAAATGGTAGCAGTCAAGTCCACCAAAGTTCAAAAGCCTATGGAATTGTTACAGACAAGAGGCTTGTGTTTTTCAGCAAAGGTTCATGATGCTGAAGCAAACTCTTAAGTAGTTGGCACAGCCCTGATCTACAGAGCTGCAAACCTAGGTAGGCACAAAGGGGAGACACAAGCTCTCTAAGCAAACATACTTGCATAAGACATATATTTGCAAATATACCTTTGATCTACATTAAAAATGATGTGTCATATCACAGCTCTTTTTTGGGTCCAGATATTAAGTAATTTATTTGCATGATGTGTCCTATTTATCTCTGAAGGTAGGAATTTGTAGGACCCAGATTATCCTTGGCTGCTGCCACATCTTCTTGCTTAGTCTAAAACTCTCATCAGTCCTAGCTATCATAGCAAATGGTGCAAAGGATCATTGTAGCTGTAGTCTGAAAACTTTAGAGGGCCTCAGATTTCTTATAAGTCCGCTAAATAAATGAATAAATTCAGCGCAGTTACCAGTGACTGTAAACTAAAACTAGGGGAAGAATCTGTGGGGTCTCAGGCAAGCTGCAGGGGAAGGGAAACAGGGTGCTCACCAAAGTGCCAGTTCAAGGAATGCTTCTCCAGAAACTCTCTTGGTTGGGGTGGCTTCATCAACACATGATCTTTGGCCAACAGGGGAATGGCCACCTACAACAGCCAGCTGGGTCCCCAGCTGATGGGAGTTCCTTTGGCCAAGGATCAGATTATATCAGTTGGTGTGGCTCCATCCCATGACATCATTTGGCTGTTGGGGGCTCAATGGTACAGCAAATTTCCTAGATGAATATGACCTTCATGTAGAAAACTGCTTATAAACAATCTGTTTTGAGTACAGCAATGTCAGAGAAACCTGGTGGATATATACAGCAAAATAGATATGTATTGGTCCAGTAAGCAGAAGTTAAACAGGTATGGCACTGCAAAAACTTGAATAGGAGATTATTGGAATCCTAATATAAAAATGAGATACATATTTAAGAAATAGGTATTTAAACGCAAGGTATGTATGCTCATTACCTGATAGTGTCACTGCAGCAATAGCAGCTTTGTTCTGTGGAAAATGACTGACTTCCTCTTTTTTCTGCGGTTTGTTGCCCCAAAAAGAAAGAAAGATGTGCCTTAAAAGTATATAAAATGATAGGTTCTTATTATATGACCTGCTTTGAAAGCATAGGGCACAATAGGGTGGGGTAGCCTGTAGCCCATTAATCCTGGAGAATTGTGGGCATCCTATTGAGCGTGAAAGGAATGTGACTGAAGTTTGCCTCCATGTCTCTCCTGTATCTTGACATACACTCCTGCACTTCTGTCTCTTCCTTCCACCCCAGTGCCAGTTGGTGTTACGTCCTTTCTGGTGCAGAAAACTGTGGCAGCTATAAGGTTGGAGGGAGGACACACCGTAGTCGGAATTCCAGCTCTGACATCTGACTTCATTTCTGAGGTTGAATTTGGAACCTTATAGCCATCTAGGTAGCATTTAGCAGCCACAGGATTGTGTCCTTAGTTATTTGAATGCAGTTTAGTTCTGCTTCCCTAAGACACACTAGCCTAAGTGGAACATATTCTGAAAACTGGATTGCAGATATAGTCATCATTTTTTAGATTTGTATATCCTAAAGATGAAAAAAAAGTTTCGATTGGATTGTCATTATTTTAAGTTAGAATTTTTGACACTAACTTGTGTCAAACTACTATTCAGAAAAGTTTGTCAATTAAGGAACTGTCATAAATGGGCCCAATAGATAACTCTTCTTAAATATTCTTTAAGCATCTCATGAATACAGAAATTTCAATAATAGTAAGTTCTAAACATCAAAGGTAAATATAGGAGAAGGTTTTCTGGGACAAATGGGGAAAAGCTAATTAGTAACTAATTAAAACTTCCAATATGAAAGTAACCTACCTTCCACTTCTAACCTACCTACTAGTTTTGAAATGGTTTAAAATAATTGATGCACCTCAGTCAAGCTAACATAAAGTAAAAACAAAACACCATTCCTTACATGATATTTTCTTCAAGTATTCTAGAATCTTGTATGAATAGCTAGCTGCTTAAAGAAATAAATATTGATGGTTAATGGGTTTTTTCCCCCTTTGGCAGAAAAGCCTACTTACACTTTTTCCCAGAAAAGAAAATGGGGAGGGGGGGGGTCCTGATCAATTAGTCACAGGCCACACCTTGTTTCATAAAAAACACACAGAGCACTTTTTGTGGCTGTAGTTGGCTGTCATCAAGATGGCTGCCATCTCTGGAGAAAGGGAATTTGAGCAGGTATGAGCCAGATTAGATGACTATTCCCTCTGCATAGTACTTTAAGTGGCAAAGCTGTATCTTATGTGGTCTAATTCACATATTGAATTGCTGTTTCTGATGACAGCAGTTGCCTTTCCAATGGCTCAGTTCCATTTTTTAGACACCTGGGAAGAAAAGGTCTCCTATTAGATTTAATCAGTTTAATTTAGAATAAATACTATTCTTGTGATTTAAATTTCTTGTGATTTAAAAGCCTAGACATAATGCTATCTTTAAATTTAGACTGCTCTTTGGTTTAACTTTAGAAATGGCAAGTTTGCTGCTGTTTTGGTGTTACTTTGTGGTGGGGGAAGTAGAGTATATTTTACTGATTTGGGTGATATCCTGCTATAAGCTGTTCTGGAGGCATTTTTAATCACAATTAGCAGCAATTTCCTGATACAAGCCCAAGTTTGGAAGGCTAGGCCATGGACACTGGGCCTGTATTCAACTCTTGCAAAGCTGGGGCAAATAAGAATTGCTGATATTGGCATTTAGGCATAAGTCCTCTTGAGCCCAGTGGAAAATGATTGCAGAGAAAAAATCTACTCTGTAATGAAATATTATTAAACCAACAATTTTGTAAACCAACAATGTTTGTGTCTTCTATTATGAAACAGGCAATTTTTAGAGCATTCTTAAGAGGTAGTCCTATGCATCTTGAGAAAGAAAAAAGTCCTGTAATTCCTAGGATGCCCCTCCCAGCATCAATGACTGGATAGATCCTGGGAATTGTAGAACTTTTTGTTTTTTAAGCATGCATGAGATTGCATCCTAAAAATCTGAAGACTCAATAAATCTGAGGATGATGCACAAGTTTTTGGACACATTAGGTTTGGGAACAGCCCTATATGTGATCTAAGCCTGTTGTTACACTTATTTAGCAAGACAGCTATTAAAAATCGTTATGATCATTATAATATTGATCTTTACCATAGCCATATGATGCAAGAAAAGTAGACCTCATCTACATATAAGCTGTGGATGAGGTGTTAAAACTGATTCTAGACTGTGCCACATTTACTGAAGTGAGGAAAGGTTGCTTAGTTTGCATAAGTCCCCTTGCTAGGTTCTGATTGTTGCAATGTCTGACCCTGACAAAAGTGGCTTACTAGAATGGTTTACTAATCACCCAGCAACCTGGGAACAAGCTATGACTTTTAGGATAGTTTTATACCTCCCTAGTGTCCTCCCTCTCCTCTGTTTCAGATGACATGGCATCCTGTTCCAGACTAAGGTGGCACTTTGCAGTTAGCACATGTTGGAAGGGAAAATAAGCCACTATTGTTTATTTTCTTTCTGTGGTTGTGCAAATCTGCTCAAAGGCACAGAGTGCCTTCAATTAGAAATTTACTTCATTAATTAGTATCTTTAAGGCCAAAACCACATGTAAGCAAGTAATAATTCTGTGTGGTCTTTTTAACTGCTTTGCTTCATTAGGATATCCGCAAATTCTTTGGTGTTGTAAGTTCTGGAAAGAAACATGAGTCTGACACTGCCAAAAAAAATGAAATCCCCCCAAATAAGGATGGAACTTCAGACAAGAAGTCAAAAATGAAGGAAATCAAGGTTTGTGCATGTTGTTTGGATATATGCCTTTTAATCATATTGTCATGTTTATAGCAATATGTTTCTCTTTGGCTGCATTTTTTTAAAATTTCCCAAACTGTCCTCCACAGTTGATGCTTGAATCATCTTATAATTCAAACAAATTAGTCTAGGATTCCAGGACCTATGCTCTGAGAGCTGCATCAGATATCTGCCAGGATGCCAGACAATTGATATTCTCTCTCAGTCTCTCTCTCCCTCTCCCACACCCAGCCAGTCAGCCATCTTGGATGTCCTTTTGGAGCTAGGTCTTGCAACTAGCTACAGTATGTTTTACATGCCTTCTCTCATTAATACTAGATGAAGAACTCATCTTGTGAAGGAGATTCTAAACAAAAGCAGGTGAACAAGAAAAAGAGAATAATCTATGATTCAGGTAATGTTTATGTTTTTCTGATGTTATTCTTCATTTGTATTGACTTTAAACTGCTTGACTTTGACTCTAGAGAAAAGTCTGCACAATTTCTGCAGGCTTCTCCAGCATCAAAATGTTCATCCACAAAGAAAAAAAAAGGTAAAAGTGGAAGTATTGTTACTGGTATTTGAAAGATGAGCAAGCTTGAAAAATCCATAACATCTTATACTTGAGAGTCTTCAGAGCATGTCACTTATATCATCATCAGTCCATACAACAACTTTTTTCAAACTCTAGATGTTAGGAACTTCAGCTCCCTTCAGCCCAGCCAGCATCAGGAATTCTGGGAGTTCTGGTCCAAAAAGAAAAAGAATGCTGGACACCAGGTTGGAGAAGACTGTCTTACAACAAAACTGCACAATAAGCTTGTAGTATTGTCCTCATATTGCAGGAAGAGGAGCAGAAAGAATAATGCAAAGGTCCTCGATTTCTTAAGGGACCCATGGGCACATTAGGAATTTATGAAACTGGTGTAGAAACCACCACAGAAGATGTGGCTAGTCACATATTTGCTGACATGAGGGAGCTGACTAGTCAAAGGTATAGTAATTCATTTTAAAAAATTGAGAAAAAGCAGAGGAATAGTGTGAACTGCAAAGCCAATCCACATATTTAACTCCACAAAAGCACAATGTAATACCTATTAAAATTGCTGTCATATGTGTGCTTACATGGAATGCAGTGGGAAGTACTTCTGAGTATATATACACACACACTTCCCAAGCTCTGAAGGAAAAGAAATGTGTCCAGCCCCTAAAGGAAAGAAAAGTTTCCTTATCATGACCTTAGGCTAACCCATTCCATTTCTGAACTGGCACTGGGAAAGGAAGGAGAAAGAGCAAGCCTAGGGACGGTGAAGTTGTGGAAGAAGTGAGAGCAAGAGCAAGGCTAGGGGCCAGGAAGGGGAGAAACAGCAAGGTAAAGGGGTGTGGGCAAAAAGAGTGGGGCTAGATGCTGGGAGTTGAGAGAATCAGTGGGATAAATGGGAAACCAAGAAAGGATAGGAACAGGGAAGGGAGTGAAATAGCAAGGAAAAGGGTTGTGGAAGAGGAATAGCAAGGCTAGAGGGGTAGAGTAGAAAGAAAAGCCAAAGGGCAAAAAATCTCTGTGGGCTGAAGTTTGGGTAGGGACAAGAAAAAACTCTTCTCCTGTTGACCAAACATCTGATCAATGGAAGGTTCAGGAAGAGGAAGGAGAATCTGATTTCCTGATGTTCTTCAAGAGTTTTTTGAATTGCAATAGTTTTTTGAAGGGTGTGGAGAACTTGGAGGGTGCTGTTAGAGGTCCCTGCAAGCATCACATTGGAGACTCATAGAACAGTGTGTTCATATAAATAAATCCACAAAATTTGGCAGCCTGTTTACTTGCTCCTACCTAGGTCAGTTGTATATGGTTTAATATTGAAAGAGACAAATGTTTGCAAAATTTTTCTGATTAGTTGACTTTTGCTATCTCTCTGCAACCAAGTCTACATTAGTGTATAGCTATGGCAACCTAGCAGGCTTAGAGCTGAGATGATGTTGGAACTGTGGAGTTTCTGTCATTCAGAGCCTCAGCCAAAGTCTCTGATATTACTTACTGATTTAGACTCTTGGCTTTTGCTGCTCTTATGTTATGATAGGGAGTATATAACTTCACATGCAGTAGCTAGTATGTAAGCTGTATGCTGCTTGTTCATTGCTTACCTGGGAGGTAGCATGTTTAGAACCTCTTTTTCAAACAGTGCACCTTCTCATATGAAGATAAAGTGTTTAATGCTGTTATTTGTAATTCTACATTTCAGAATTTGAGATAGTCTTACCTAACTGTGGGCTAAACATTATGCTGTCTTTCAGTGCTGTATATTTAGTGCTGTGGCTCTGCTTGATATCTATCACTGACCAATGGGAAATCAGTATTTGTTTATTCGGTTCCTGTTCACAGAGATAACTTGTTTTGTTTCTAGGACCACTGGTCAGTTGATCTGATTGAGTGGTTGATTTTGATAGGAGAAGGTATCATTTATCCTCCTAGAACGACTGTGCATTTGCTCACATAAATTGCCTTGTGTAGATTATAAAGAAGCCTTAGTCAAAATCTCAAGGAAGTGCAGTGACAGTCTTCTGTTCTGAAGGTGTTTTATGTCTGCATGGATACAGAAGAATTAAATGATACCACTGTGTTTTAATTTGCAGATTCTGAAGAGGAGATGCAATTGGCAAAAAAATGTAAGAAGCCTCCAGATAGAAAACAATCTTCCAACTTCAATAAGGCCTCAAAGAAGGACCCTGTTGTTTATGTTTCAGAGACAGGTAAAGGGTTCAGCTTTAAAATTGTTTAGTGTATGGGGGTTATGCTCTACTGGATAAGTCTGTTTAAATATAGACCATTTGGTAAAACAAGAAGCACAAAAAAGGAAGCTTGGTGCATTGATTATAAAAGTGGACTTTGTGACTTGTACATGGCTCATTTTTTAACCATTGTTACATGTGGATATCGGCTTCTAAGCTTCAGACTTGTTTATCAAAAGATGCTCAACTCTTAAGGGCTACTGTAATATCCAAAAGCAAACTACTATTTTGTAGGTAACCACTGTCTTTATATACTACTGCAAATGATTCACTTGTGGAAGTGTTCATATGCTTTTGCATCCTGTTAAAAAAGGCAGATATTTATTTTTTGTTCCTTTGGTTCATGTTTGTCTGAATGGGTATCATTTGTTGATGTCACAGAAACTAGTTGCTCTGTTTTAATTAAACAGGTGGAACGTGTACTCAAAGATTATTGAAAGCATCAGCAGGAAAAACATATTATTATGTGGGAAACAGATTGTCTAAAGGAGAGGATCCTTGATCAGACAAGGGTGGTTTTGGTGTGAAGCTAGACTGAAGATTTGGTATGGAATATGTTCTGGCTGCTATCTGTAGCTTGGAGGAGGAGAAGGTCTGAGTAAACAAACAGAGTAGAGCTCTCTTGTGCAGGTTAAAGTACAAGGATAAGATCAGAGGGTATATGTTCCTTTACTTTTGCATTGCCTCCATGAGCAGGCTGCAGTCTTTTATATGTTTGCTTGTGAGTACATCTCCATGAGATTAGAACAGGTTACTCTTAAGCAAGTGAGTGGTATAGAGTGCAGATAGAGTTGAATTTCTAACTGACAGAGCTTATACAATATTATTTGTATCAGTCACTAGCCTTTGCAACATAAGTAGCTGACATGGGTTGATGGTTTTTGGCATCTTTGAGGCTTGTTCAATGTTTCCCAATATGGATATGCAGATCTGATGCCACCTGCAAAACCTAGGCTCTACCCTCTAGATGCCGTATGTTTCAATAGCTTTTCTGGGTTTATTGGCAGTTAAACCTTTTATACTTCCTTGACAATCCAATTTATTGATTAAAAGGTGGAGTATAAAGCAACCTGAAAAATGACTTAAAAATACAAAATATGAATCTTTTTTTCTAGTTTGTTCACTGCATCTTGATTACATTTCTAATCCAAATCTATTTTTTGGAAAACGTACTTGTCTGTTTAGACAAAGGCATTTCTTTCTGGCCACAGAGAACAAGGTGAAAACTTGTTTATAAGGCTGGTACAAAATGTTAAATGCAAATAGCTTTGTAACAAAATGTTACTTTTCATGCCTGACTGTTCACTAAAAGGTAGCTGTCAAGAGTAGAGTATTAGCATATTTTGAGTACAGTGTGATGCAAGCTATGTGATGTGGATAATGTTGCACCTAGAATGGGGAAAAATGAGGGAGTGAAAAGCTCTCAGGGCTACTTTTGCTGTTTTAAAATTGACAATTGCTCCTTGTTGAAAAGAAGTTAGTTTTCCAATGTTCATGATGGACACACACTTTCTAATGTTGCTGTGGGCATACCTTATTTAAAATAACCAGAGGTGTTCTGTATTATGTAACTTTGGTGTTGCAGCAAAAGTTTTCCATGAACTACATTCTAGAAAGCCTTGCTCAAGTTAATTGTGAAGTATCACAACTGCAGATCATGGTTATTCTTATCTACTGACTGTCAGTTAATGCTTAATTTGACATACCTTATAATTGCTTATACATTGCTTATCTTCTCTGCTGGTTCTGAGCAGTGTTTTAGCAGTTGACAGTACTTTCAGCCATATGTTTACTAAAAAAAGGGGTGTATCACAGTCGACCAGTATGTGAGAGAATGTATTTGTTGTGCAGAATTGATTCCTGTACTCCCCACTTTTTTATACTGCAGACCTTATGGCTGAGCAGATTTAAGGCAGTGGCCTTATTTACATGTAACAGAGGGAAATTAACTGAACCAAGTTATGCAAATCTTTCGCAATGTCTGTTTCTTCATTGTTGACCATAAGGATTTGTAAATTTTCTATAGCGATGAATTTGATTTCTTGATATTAGCTGCAGTCCTGCTTTTACTTTCTTCTTTCACTTTCCTCAAGAGTCTTTTCAATTCATTGTAGCTTTCTGCCAGTAAGACAGTATCTTAAATTACTGATGTGTCTTCTGCCAATTTTCAACTTCCCTGCAGCTTTCCTTATGATGTTCTTCATATAGGTTGAATGGATAAGGAGATAAGGGACGCTCCTGTCTGCCACCTTTGCCTATAGAAGACCATTCTGTTTCTCCATATTCTAAGAGAACATGGCAAAACTTAAGCTTCTTGTCCAGAATGCAGGTTATGCAAAAGGACACTCAAGGGATAAGACACACCCATTTATTTCAGAAAAGTTTTATTGCTATTCCATTGTTAGGATCTCAGCAGCTCCAGGTCTCCATCTGCTGGCCTAGCACCAGAGGATCAACCCTGACAGTTGCAGGATTAATTCCAGACTCTTCTTCAGCTACTAGGGCCTTTATGAGTACCACCTTTGAGCCCTGGGGAAAGAGCTACTTCTTTCCTCCAGAAGATGTTTCAGCAAAACTGGTTTCCTGTGTTCTGTAGCCCATTGTGCTCACATCTAGAAGGACTTGCTCCTGCTCCTTGTTGTGTTGCCTTACTGGTTCTTGACCTCTTGCCTGCTCTCACTATGGTCTTGCTTGTTGGAATACACCTTGCTTTGCTCCACTGCCTACTCCCAGTTCTGACCTTGGCTTAGTTTACAATTTGGGCTGGTAACTAGACTGGTGATTTAATTCCAAACTTGTATTACCTTGGTTCCACTTGCCTGGGTTCTGGTGCATCTGCCCTATATTCTGCCGCCCAGTGTGGCATTTCACTTTCTAATATTGCAGGGTATTCCTCATAGGATTCCTTTTTGAGAGAATTTGTAATCTTTAATCTCTTCTGTATAGCTCTTCTGCATACCATTTCCACCTTCTCTTTATTTTATCCTGGCGAGATAGTATGCTACTTTATCTAGGTTTGAATTTCCTTTTGATTTTTTGGATCTTCTGAAAGATGTCCCTTGTTTTTCCTCTTAGGTTGTTCTCTTCCATTTCTGGTCATTCCATTACTGGTCATTGTAATAATTCTTTTTGTTTCTATATGATAGTAAAAATCAAAATTTGCATTCAGGATTCTGACTCTATTCTTCCACTGTTTGCTTTTCCTCCTTGCTTGTCCTTAGCAATTGTTTCTTTTGCTCACCATGCTTTTTCTCTCTTTTTACTACAGTAATTGTCTTTGCACATTCTTCCCTAATAATATAGCTAGTTACAATCCCCAGTTCTTCTTGTTCAAATTCAATTGAATCCAGTAATGCAAATCTGTCCTTTATGGACTTTAAATTCTTCAGGTATGTTGTAATTTGGTACTATGTTTCTGTTAGTGATCTTTTTCAGCTTTACTCTGGTCACTACCACAGTCTGCTCCTGGTCTTGTTTTGGCAGCAACAATACAGTTTCTCTCTTACTTCCATTTATATAGTCTGTTTGATTTTTATATTGACCATCTGGTGATGCCCACGTATATAATCTGAGTGGTTGCCTGAAATACGCTTTTGTAATAAATAGATTGTTGGCTTAACCAAATTTTTTGAGTCATTTTTGGATCCTCTGAAAGATGTCCCTTGTTTCTGACCCCTAGGCCAAATTCTCAACAGCACTGGCTTTGGCTTTGCTTCCTAGTTTTATGTTCCAGTTATCTTTGATTACCACCATGTCTTGTTTTGGTATTTTATCAATTTTCTCTCAAATCTGCACTAACATTTTCAATCTTTTCTTCTTTTTATTGTTGGAGCATAGACTTGAATGATGGTTATGTTGATAGGTTTTTGAGAATTCTTGTTGATATTGTTCAGTTGGACTTTACAGTATAATCTCTTACTGCCTGTGCTACTTTTTGCTTCAGTATTAAGAGTTACTCAATTTCTTCTGAGAGTAAAGCCCTTTGTGTTTGACTTACTGAAAATGTCCCATTTCAGTGAATTATCATTCCCTCACAACCAAGTATGGAAATATTTAACTGTTGCATTTCTTGCTTTATGGTTTCCAGTTTGCCTTGATTTTTTGCATCATTATTATGCATCATTGATTTTTTGCATAGTTGCATCATTAATGGCAGTGCTATTCACACTTGTCCATTGCTCTTCCCCAGTGAATGCCTTTCAACTTAGGAGCCTCATCTTCTGGCACTGTCTGGCTGCTCAGTTGGCTTTTAAAAAAAAAGAACAGACAAATGTATAGCTAATAATGCTGTCAATGGTTACTAGTCATGTTGGGAATATGGAACCCCTTAGGATTAGAAGTTGCATGTATTTGAATACCAGCCACTGGACAGCAACAGTAGCAGAGGCTGTTGCTTTCATGTCAGTGGATCAGTCAATGGATGATTCTGACTCGCTCTATTTCTGTGTTTCTATGTTCCCTGTGTTTTTTTAACTGAATGAAACGTCCATTTAGATTATATGCATTTCCCCTTACCCCAAACATGCTTTTTTGTACACATTAATTGAAGTGAGAACTGTATCACACAATTTGAATAATTGATAACTGCATTTTAATGTGTATATTACTCTAAGTGCAAATTAGGTTAATCCTCTTAAGAATGTGGACAAGATGAAATGTTGCATCCTCCGTACTTTCATGCCCTGTGATCTCTAGAATATGAGAGCCAGGATCATTAGCCTGATCCGGTGGGTGGAGACAAATGGTTCTTGCATTCCTAACTTGACTGTTTAAACTCAGCTAGAATAAATGTCTGTTCTATAAATAAAGTCATTTATTAGGTAGTGAATTGTAGGTAAAGTACAAAATCAGTTGTTTGAAAACATAATTGCAGCGTTTTCTGCCTTTCTTTGTCTATCTCTCCCTCTTCCACCCTCTTTTCTCAGTTCTTTGACTTGGTTGGGATCAAATTCTAAAGTGTA